TAAACCTTCATTATCTCTTTGGATGTTTTGCTGTTATGGGGAGCGTTTTTTGTTATTGAGATGAAGTTTCTTTTGGGGGGGTCTTGAGTATTATCCGCAAAGGGGGATGCTCCATGGACTTTGTTCAGTCCCTGAGGTTGAATATGTGGTGCCCCCCCCCTTGCCACTGCTACTACCAAGTCTTTGAACAAACTTCCTCTTCAGGTTGGTTAAAACTGAACCTGGAAAAAAAATCCATTCCTTTTCTTGAAAAGGGAAGTGAGTACCTATTTCAACATCTAGTTTTTACGGCAGCAGTAGGAGCCTATTGGCTAATTCGTGTGATGTCATTTTGTTCACACACACCCCCGGCCTCCAGTTCCTTGCAGCAGAACAATCTGTTTGGGAAAACTCTTTAGAAGCTGTTTAAAAGACCAACAAATTTATGATGACATAAACTCTTGTGGACCCTAAGCCAATTCATTGGTTGCTTCTTTGGCATATATTTAAAGGAAAAGATGGATGTTGGATGGTCATGAGATGCAAAAATTGGAGTCGCTGACTTAAATATATGCTAAATAGGCACACTTTTTACACTAACAAACCGGCACTTCTGGCAACTGGAAGTTCTGGCTCCTTCCTCCCCAATCTATACCGCCAAACCTAATCCCCCAAATTCAAGGAGAAACATTTGCTTTTCATGCAGATGTTTATTTAGCAGTATTAAGATGAATGTACTAACACCTGGAATGTAGCAGGGAACCATTCACAAGAGTGGGATCCCCCCCCCATCTTGCTGCTATTCAGCTTTTCCCTTGGATCCCTCCAAGTGAGATGGTTTTAAAGCAGCTTAAAAATAATTTTAAAATGTCAGTTAAAAATGCAGCCTTCAACTAGAGGACTTCAGGGTTGCTTCTACATTAGGCCCAACTGAGGCCTTAGTCTTCTTGTGGAACTGAGAGATGCTGAGGGCCATGTAAACAACTGCTCCTATTATAGAGGATGAAATACCTAAGAAAGTACTTGGTACTCTTTCTATATGCAATGGCAGCAACCAGAAGAAATTATACTCCAAGGTGGAAGGACAAAGATAGTCCTACAGAAGAAGAATGGCAGAATAAGTTGGCAGAATATGCGGAATTAGCAATGCTGACTGCAAAGATAAGGAATCAGTATGAGACAGATATAAGAGGGGAGTGGGAACGCTTTGGATAATATTTAAAGATATACAATAACCAGATAAATTTCCAAGTAGGGTAATACATGTGAGCAGCAGTTAAAAACAACCAGAAGAGGGGGGGTAATTAAGGGAATGCAGCTCAACAAGAACAAAACAAGAACCCATGAAGGGATGTGCGGGGAAGTCCAAGAATATAAGATAACCAAAGATAACTGTACAGTGGTACCTCGGGTTACATACGTTTCAGGTTACATATGCTTCAGGTTACAGACTCCGCTAACCCAGAAATAGTACCTCGGGTTAAGAACTTTGCTTCAGGATGAGAACAGAAATCGTGCGGCGGTGGCGGGAGGCCCCATTAGCTAAAGTGGTGCTTCAAGTTAAGAACAGTTTCAGGTTAAGAACAGACCTCCAGAATGAATTAAGTACGTAAACAGAGGTACTACTGTATAATGGATGTGTCAAACTATGACTGCTCCTGAGAGCCCTCTTCAGAGCATATTTGGCCCCTGGGATACTGGGTAGTTATGAAACAGACTGGACAATAGCTCGAGTGTAGGTGTTGAAAGCCCCGACTGGACATGAGTTCAGGCTAGCTGGTGAAACCAGCGCAGAGGGCCTCCTTTGTTGCCTCCACTGCTTCCTTGAGTAATCACCCAGGCAAGTGGTGGTCTGAGCCCTCCTGACATCTACATCAGTGGATGGAGCCTGCAACCTCTTGGAGATCCACAGTGATTTGCTTGGCAAACAGTTGGAGGACAAAGTTGCCCACCCATGTAGCCTGCTTGATGCCATGGCTGATGCAGCTCCCAGCGAGGTTTGCAATGCTCCATCAAGCCTTGTTTTGTGGGACTGGTCTTTGTGGCCTGACCAGGCCACTTTGTGCCCAACCAGGTGCCCTCTCAACCCTTTGAGATCCAGGGTGTGTTGAGCGCATCTTTGCAGGTGGTGCCTGCCACCTGGAAGGAGGTGATAATGTGGTCATTCCTGACGAGACCCAACCCTGAACCTTTTGGTATTAAACAACTACCACTCAGTTGCTGAAATTCTCCCTTTTGGGATAGGGACTCAAGAAGGTTGTCGGCAGTGCAGTTGCGGGTGTTTTTGGAGGAAACCGATTATACAAACCCATCCTAGGTTGGGTTCAGTCCTGAGTCTGGGGCAAAATCAGCTCTGGTCTCCCTGGTGAGATAGGACAGATTCCCACTCTTTGAGTTTTCCAGAAACAATGGAAAACATTCTGTTCCGATGGCATGAATGTATATATTTTCAGGGGTCCGCCTTGGGTGTTTCATTGTATCATTTAAAAGCTACATTTAGTCATGTTTTTAAACTCATTTTTATTGTGTGGCTGTGAATCGTCTTGAATTGTACATTTTATCAAATAAAGGATCAAATGATGAGTGGTGCAGAGAAGGAGGATGGAGAGATGATGGTTTGCTGTTTCTCTTGAAACACTAGAATTGTTGTGTGGGTGTCTGTCCATGTGGTTTTGTGGTGGATATCCTCTAGAAAAACTGTCTTGCAGCACATTTCATTAGGCAGTGTACCCAGGTAATTTTTCATTTTAGAAGGCAATCATCTATTGCCTACACCAAAGGACATTGTTTTTATTCAATGAACAATTAACGAAACTTGATCTTTGAAATAAACTTTGCTTAAAGAATATAAACTTTTAAAATGAGTCACAAAATACAATGTGTTTGCTGTAATGAGGCATTTACAGAGATGCAGTCAGTTTTCATGAGCGTTATCTTTAACCAGATAATGAGCTAACCCAAATGGACTGAAACAGATTAAGGTTTCTTCATCTTCCTGTCCTAGACAATGAGAAGTCGCTCACTTGGTGTGGGGAAAAGGTGGCGAGGGGACCTTGGATGGAGGCAGAGCAGTGAGACAGAGGCAGGTAGATGCAGGCAGAAGAAAAAATCTGGAATGGATCTGTAGCTTCTCCCTGTGCCGTTTCCAGGGACAGACTCAGGCAGAAGCTGCAGTTCCATTCTGGCCTTTTTCTTCTCTCTCTGCTTTCCTTCCTCCTCCTCCCTTCTGCCTTTCTCTCCCCTCAGTCCACTTCTCTGCGGTTCATGGCAGCTGGGTTACTGCTCTTTATCATCTCCTCTTTACCAGGACCCCTGGTTTTTTGAAACACTAGGTGTGCCTGGACCTATGACAGCCAGTATCCAGAAGCTGCCCTCCCTCAGCCTTCATCCAAGGCATAATTAACTTATGGGATTCATCGCCACAAATTGTTCTTAGGGAGAGCAGCACAGGTGGCCTCTTAAAATGGATTAGGCAAATTAACGCGAGAGAGATTTGAAGCAGCAACCTTCATATTTAGAGCCCCACTGCCATGCCTCTCTGCCTGGGGTCCTCTTGCTGGACTTTTGCACAGCTCATTGGCTGTGAATTAGCTCTCCCAACTTTAGGCAGAGGCCTGTTTGGATGGAGGAAGCACAACAGATTTCAGAGTATGGGATGAAAGAAAGGAGCCGAGGGATAGTAGAAGTTGTTGGAGGAATATCTGTTCATTTACAACTGTACGAGGTGAGTGTGGTGGTGAAGAGAGAGAGAGAGAGAGAGAGAGAGAGAGAGAGAGAGAGACCAGGCAGGTAGTGGAACTCTCTTTTTTTTAAAAAATCATTAAGCACCTTATCCCAAGTCCAGCCGTCTCTGGCCAGGCAGCTGCAAAATCTCAGGCTTACCTCCCAGATGTAAAACGGCCCACCCCAAATCGTGTGCACCCTAAAATGCTCTGGATTTGTGTTGGGCACAAGTGTGGAACCCTGGCATGCAAGGCCTGGAAGAAGCTGTAATGTTGTATCGTAGAAAGTATGTTTTACACCAGGACAGACACAATTTGTCCTGTGTTGTTGTAGCCAAAGCTGGTCCTGCTTAGAGTAGACCCACTAAAATCAACACACATGGTCCAACTGCTTTCAGTGGAGCTACTCTGAGTAAAACTAAGTTGAATAAAGTCTATTATTATTATTATTATTATTATTATTATTATTATTATTATCATTTACATTTGTTCACCACTTACTATGTCTCAGTGCAACTCATGTTTACAAAAACACACGTGATTACAAATTTTTTGAATTCATCAGAAAGATGAAAGAACATTAACTGGCTAAAAGTGCTCGTCCTGCAATATCAATGGTCATCAGCTGTGATTCCTACATGGCAGGGGGTTGGCCCAGCTCGCCCTTGGGGTCCCTTCCAACTTCCCATGAGTCCATCAAAGCAGGTGATACTTGTGCAGCGCTGTTTTTAGCAGCTGATAGCCACCAGCCACCAAAAGCCATTAAGCAAAAGCCACTAGCACCATGGAAAGAAGCTCTTCTGTAGATCCCAGAAAGCCCCTTTGTGGCCATTGACTCGTCCTCGTTCACCCTTCCCAGCAGGAAGGGTTAGGGTTAAGAGTTTTCTCTGAGCTGTTATGTAAGAAGCTGCAGAGAGCCTCTGTGGTCCACAGCTGCCCGGAACAACAGGTTCCTGCTCCCAGTCTGTGGCCTCTCTGTTGGCGCCTGTGTGTATGAAACTGAGGGGGGCATGGGGGGGGAAGGACTTGTTGGAGGGTTACAGGAGGTGCTCTGACATCCTCTGGGCAGCTGATCAAGTAGATTTTGGCTAGGATGAAGGCTGCTTCCATCTCTCTGCCCCCCAAACTTCACTCTGTGCCAAGATACATGCATGAGGAGCAGATTCAGATGAGGACCTGGCTATGGAATTCTCTCTCCCTGGGGAAAATCCAGCAACGCCCCCTCCACCCTATAGAATTGCAGAGTTGGAAGGGACCACGAGGGTCATCTAGTCCAGCCCTTTCAAAGCAGGAATCTTTTGCCCAACATGGGGCTCGAACCCACAACCCTGAGATTAAGAATCTCGTGCTCTGCCTTTAAGTACGCTTTGAAAATGCTTCTATTTGCAGAGGAGGTTTTCTTTTTTTAAAAAAAACCCCAATAGTTTGGCATGGTTTCTGAGAAGATTTTCCGTGCAGCTACTCTGCATTATGTTGCTGTGTCATCATGAATTATTACGTGGTGGTCTTTATTGCTTCTGAATTTTGTAGGCTGCTTGGAAGAGGAAAATTACCAAGCAGTGGGGAAATCCGTGTCCGCTGTGAAATAACGTGGACACTTTAGTTTCCCATTTACTTTTGATGGTCTGTTAAACAATACGACAACAATAGCAATATCAAAACATTGATATTGTTTTATTTTTGGAAAATTTATAAAATATTATATAGGGGGGAAAATACTTTTGATGGTCTGTTAACATCTAGCACAGTTGTTTCTCAGCTGTCCAGATTAAAAGTCACTCCCATGGCTCTTTTTTTCCTTTGTCCTCCCAGCAGGTCTGAAAAAGTTGACCTTCCTCATCAGGCTCTATGTTGTGTCTAGAGATGGTTTTGATAACAACTCTTCCACAGTCTACCAGCAGGTGGCAGGGTTTGCTTAGAGCTGGCCAGCTCAGGCATCACAAGGCCCATGGAATTGTGGGAGAATCTGGCATGATGTTTAACAACATAAGAAGAGCCCTGCTAGGTCAGGCTATTGGGGGGGTGTGTGTGCATCTAGCCCAGCATCCTGTTCTCACAGTAGCCAACCAGATGCCCCCATGGGAAGCTCCCAAGCAAGGCCTGAGTCCAGTAGCAACTCTTCCCACCTATGATTCCCGACAGCTGGTTCTGAGAGGCATACTGTGGAGGGAGAATGCAATCAGTCCTAGAAATTCAAATCACAAACCTCAAAAAAAGAGAGAGAAGTTTTAATATCTTGTATTATTTTTTTCTTTTGCAAATAAATTATCTAACAACAATTAGCGACACCATGTGAAGGTGTGTTACCTGGATGAAGCTAATTCAAAATCACTTGTCCTGGTGCATAAGCTGAGTGCAAGTCTGTAGTGGTAGTGTTTAAGAGACTTACCAACATGTCTGACAACATGACCTACTCTAGTATAAACTTTATTCTTCATTGTAAAGCAGGCATAGGCAAACTCAGCCCTCCAGCTGTTTGGGGACTACAATTCCCATTGTCCCTGACCACTGGTCCTGTTAGCTAGGGATCATAGGAGTAGTAGTCCCAAAACATCTGGAGGGCTGAGTTTGCCTATGCCTGTTGTAAAGCATGAATAATCCTTTATTAATGGATTATCAAAGCTCAATTATCAACCAAATTATTTTTTTCAATTAAATTTTGTTAAGTTTCAACGTTTTTAACAAACATTGTCAAAAGGCAATTTCGTCTTTTCTCTTATTTTTGTCAACTTCCCCCTTCTGCTACACCGTATCTACATCAAGCAAAATATGTTTAGAGAGTAAACTTCTCAATTTATTCCCATGTAAATGCATTTCCCTTGCTTAAAAACAAACAATTTCCCCCACCCAAATATGGGTCTGATGCAATTTTTTAACCCCCCCCCCCATGATAATCTCATGTCTTTTAAACAGTCCCAAGGCTGTTAAGGTATTTCTGAGGAAGGCAATTGGTTTGAATTAATTGAGTTCATTTGTTTTCTTTACTTCAATGTGTTTCATTTTACATTTGCTTATATTGTATTTGCCATCTTGGTGGCCATTCATTCCAGTTTGAAGAGATCCTTTTGGAATCCCTTCCAATCCCCTATTGATCAGCAGGCAATACTTGCAAGCAGAAAGCTTTTAACTAAAGGCACACGAGTCCCGAATACATCAATAGCAGTGGATAAGCAGATGTTGTACATTGTCTTTTATTGGAGTGGGAAAGCGGGGAAGCACAAATTAGGTCTGAAAAGACCACTGGGCTGCAGTGACATGAAAATGGTGCCATCTGGATTCTCCATGAAAACTGAGTGAACAAAGGAGAGAAAAGGGTGACTGTGGGAGCAAGCTATATCTGTAACACTTTCCAAATCTCAAAACCTCCTTTATTCTGGGACACGGAGGAAGGAAGGGTGGGCTTTGGTTCATCTTGCTTGTTATTTTTAGGCATGAATGATATTGTAATGCACTTTGTCCTTTCAGTGTATGGCTTCCTGAACTTTGGGCAGCTGAGGTATATTTTTGTTTCTGAATTTAAAATGAAGTCACCCTCGCTCCCAGAAAGCATATAGGAGAGGAAGTGTGAAGACCCTCCCTTTGAAGAACTCAGCCCTCAGGGTTTTTGCATGAGCCACTGATCTCGATGTAACTCATACAGTGGTACCTCGGGTTAAGTACTTAATTCGTTCCGGAGGTCCGTTCTTAACCTGAAACTGTTCTTAACCTGAAGCACAATTTCTGGGTTAGCAGAGTCTGTAACCTGAAGCGTATGTAACCTGAAGCGTATGTAACCCGAGGTACCACTGTAATTAGCAGGATGCGGACTCAGAACAGGGGCATCATGCGGTGATGCAACAAGGAACCTCCGTAAAAGCATGAGCAATTTCCTCCGTATCTTTGCACTGTGAGTGACTGGATGCACCAGCCTCACCTGATGTCAAGATGTGGCAGAATTACCCATCCCTCCCCCCGAAACTGACCGGAAGGAGGAAGGGTCTCATGCAGTGGGCAGCTTCCTCTGCAGATAGGCTTGCCTTATCAAATTACTTTCCTCTTTGGGCAGCACAATTTGGGGAATGGCTTCAGTGTTTTGCTCCTGGTTCTCTGGTGTCACCGTACCTCTTCTTTCAAGGGGCTCCAGACGCCTTGCCTGTTGGACCCTCGTCCTGAGTTCTCATGCACTCTAACGCTTCTGTACCAGCCAAGCTGTCCTTTGGCATCAGCTCCGTGCTTTCATCTCCCTTGACATGAATGACGCTGTCTGTGCAGGCTGCCACACGTCTGCCCTGCTTGCAAGTGGCCAAGTATGTGAGGGGGCGCAGAACTGCAGAAAGAGGAAATACGCGCAGGATGAAAAGCAGCCTGTGTTCGAGGAAACTGCTAGCCAGGCAGACATGGGGCTTTGATGGATGGGGAGGGAGCATGGGGGCCAGGTGGGGGGGCGTGGAGGAGGCGTAGCAAAGCCTTTTCAAAACAGCTCTTGCAGCTGAAAACTTCATTCAAATTGTGATTTAGATGCATGCACCCCACCAAGAAAATGTGTTGCAGCTTGCTGGTGCTGCTTCCAGGCATGATTCAAAGCACTGGTGCTGACCTATAAAGCTAGCTTGGACCTAGGCTATCTATTTATCAGCTGGATAGCTCAGCTGGTTAGAGTGTGGTGCTGATAACACTGAGGTTGCAAGTTCAGTCCCTGCAAGGGACAGCTGCTTATTCAAGCATTGCAGGTGAGTGGACTGGATGAGTCTCACGGTACCTTCCAACTCGATGATTCTATATTCTATATATGAAAGACCATATTCCCCCATGAAAAGCTGCTCAGGATCTGAGATCATCGAGGGAGGCCCTTATCTCATTCCTGCCATCCTCACAGCCACACTTGGTAGGGACACAGGAGAGAGCCTTCTCGGTGGCTGCTCCCACTCAGCAACTCCTCTCCTGGAGAAGCTAGACTGGCTCCCTCCTTGTTGTCCTTCCACCAGCAGGTGCATATCTTCTTCTTTTGGGAACTGACTTTTTAAATTTGTATTTTAATAGAATTCTTATTTATATTGTTTCAATTCTATTAGAGTTGAATGACTTTGTACTGATTATGTGTTTAGCTTTTATGTATTGTAGCGGTGCTGTTTAAATTTGTGTAAGTTGCTTTGAGGTCCAGTCTGGAGAAAAGGTGAAATAATAATATTAAGTACCAATTACACATTTGGACACTTTGCAGAACCATGTGAGCAAAAGAAGGGAGCCAGTTCCCTCCCCCCAATATCTTGCAGTTGAAATAATCCAATGGGCACAAACCATACTTCATAGAAGGGGTCTGAATCTTCCCTTTCTGTTCATCTTCTTGCAGATGTGCACCAAACTTTTGCACAATCTTAGAATTATAGAATCAGAATTGTAGAGTTGGAAGGGAACCCCCAAGAGTCATTGAGTCCAACCCCCTGCAATCCAGGAATCTCAGGATCTCAGCTATCTTAACAATGGTGGAAAGGAGCTGGGCAAGGGGAAAACCACTTGGACCCATGTCTACAAAGCATGAGTCAATCAGAAAACCGTTCTGCCCCGTGTTTTCAAAGCTTGAGACAAGCAGAAGTGTGGATGAGCCCATTGTTATAAGTGCCACATAATACCCATTCCGCATTTGCAAGAAACCAATCTTTTAGTGTGGCAGCACCTACACTTTGGAATTCCCTGCCTATTGACACCAGGCATGTGCTTTCTAAAAACATTTTTGTTTGGACCAGCCTACCCAGATATTTAAGGGACGCGGGTGGCGCTGTGGGTTAAACCACAGAGCCTAGGACTTGCTGATCAGAAGGTTGGCGGTTCGAATCCCCGTAATGGGGTGAGCTCCCGTTGCTCGGTCCCTGTTCCTGCCCACCTAGCAGTTCGAAAGCACGTCAAAGTGCAAGTAGATAAATAGCAAGAAGGTAAATGGCGTTTCTGTGCACTGCTCTGGTTCGCCAGAAGCGGCTTAGTCATGCTGGCCACATGACCCGGAAGCTGTATGCCGGCTCCCTCGGCCAATAAAGCAAGATGAGCGCCACAACCCCAGAGTCGGTCACGACTGGACCTAATGGTCAGGGGTCCCTTTACCTTATACCCAGATATTTAGAATGCTGTTTTGTTTTCTGTTGTTGTCTTCAACCTTTTTTATTTATTGAATTTATATACCGCCCTATACTCCCAGGTCTCAATCTTTTCACGGTTTTAACTAATAATATTTTTCGTTTTGTTAACCGCTTGGAGAGGGGTGGCTTTCCTTTTACAATCAAGCCGCATATAAATTTTATGAAATAAATAAATAAGGCACCCCCACCCCAAATCTGGAGGGGGTCAACAGGCGAAGAGTTTCGTCCAGAGACCCCCACCACGGCCGATGGACTTTTCGGGCTCCTGCTTCTTGAAACAAGAGGAAGAAGAGCGCACAACCTCTTTTTCTCCGCTGCGCGCTCCGGTGCCTGCTTCTGCCTTGGCGCCTGCGACTGGACAGGAATGGTACGCTCCAGCCGGAGACACTCTCCTCGGAAGGGAATGGTAGGTCCCGCCAGTCTTCCTCCTCCTCCTCCTCCTCCTCCTCCTCCTCCTCCTGTCGGGCTTGAACGTGGCTTTGTCTCGGTGGAGCCTCCAGGCAGGTCTGCCTGTCTGGCTCTTCCGCAGGAGGGAGAGAGAGACGAGAGGCGCAGCAGCAGCAGCTTTGTGCGCCATGAAGGCAGCGGCGGCAGCTGGGGCTTTGGACGGAGCCCCCTCCTGTATCTGAGGCTGCAGACAGCCCCCACCCCCTCAGCCCCATTTTGGAGGCTCTCACAATGAGGCAGCGGCTGGGGGACTTGAAAGCCGCCGGTGACGGTAGAGGGACCCCCGAGGAGCTGCCCGCCAGGGGCGCCATCAAATTGGTGAGTGGCTGGACCGGAATCCAGAAGGAAGGGACAGAAGGGGGGGGGGACCTCGGGGAGGGGGCGCAAAACTGGGCACACGATGGTGTTGGTTTTTTTTAATGTATTGGTTGGCTGGCTGCAGACGGGGGCCCGGCGCCTCTTGGGCAGACGCGCGGCTCCTTTTCCACCAGGACTAGAAACGTGAAGGCGTTTTAACTTACCAAGGCTGCGCGTTAGCAGGGCGCGTTGGGTAGATCCAGACGCTAATTGTTGTTTTCGGGACCAGAGATAATAGCGGAGTGTTGAGAGGCGAAGGAAAGCCAGTTCGGTTTAGACTGCGAAACCATCCATCTCTCTCTCGGCTTCTTGGCTAATATTGTTGCTGTGGTGGCTTGGAGAGGGGTGAGCTTTGGATTTTCGAAAGCTGGGAGATTTTCCAGATCCAAAAGGAAGACGTTTGAGTTGTGGCTGGAGAGCAGAGAAATGGACGCCATGAGCCCGTCTGGTGGGATCTGCCTCTGCTGGGTGTCAAGGTAACCGCTGGGCAGGTGTGCTGCCGGTGTTTGTGGAGGAGGGAGACCAGGCTGGACTCTTGGGAGTGACTGGCAAGATGGTAGTGGGTCCTGTACAGAGGAGCAGCAGATGCCCTCCATCTCCCACTCCATCAAGCATAAATTTCAGGCCAACCAGTGAGCAGTTTCTTTGATTTCCAAGGGCACAGTTACGGTCTTGGTGGAAGCCAAAGCATTGGATCGGGTCCCCACTTTGGTCGGCTTCGGTTGTTGGGATTGTGCCATTTCCCCAAGGCAATAGTGGGATTTATCATGTGGGTCATCTCCAGAATTATAATCGCCAATTTGTAGGCAATACAAATATAGGCCATCATAAAACATCCATATATAAAATTTTAAAATATATACAAATAAGCAGCTGTGTAAAAATACGTAATAAGGATTTTCATTGGAGTTCCTTCCCGCTAAATAGTGCCATTCACCACTCTGAGAGATATAAAAATTCAGCCACCCTTGCAGTTACTTCCGGGTTAGCGCCAGACAGGTAGAATCTGATATTTTCATTGTGATGTTAGACTACCCCAAAAAGGGGGATAGCACGCTTTTGAGTAGCTGGGTGTACAATGGACAGTAGAAAAGAATATGTTCTACTGTGTCCGGCAGATTCAAAAAACAGCCACAGATCTCCAGAATTTCCGTGACCTGTGGCAATTATTTGCAGCCTGACTTTTTTTGGGGGGGGTCACCCTGTAAGAACCAATAATCCCCTCCTAAATCCTGCCTCCCTTTCTCTTCTGGGATGGGCTACCTCCAGCTTCCTCTCTGGAATTTCTCGGGCAGGAGTCATGGAAGTTTGCCTGGGGCAGTTATAATATTCAGTGTACTAATTTGTTTTTACAAATGCTGTACTTTGAACAATTTGAAAACAGAAGTGCCAGGAGGGCCCCTCTGAAACTGTAGGGTCAGTAAATTTCACTGGGGGGGGGCAGGGTTCAAAGCCAACTTTTGCTCAAGTTTCAGTTGCAATACGAAGAAAACAAAACCATGTATTTACAGTTATGGGGGCGGAGAAGTTGTGCATTGCCACAAACCTGATTCATGGGCCCATTTGGCTGCAGGAAGAGAAATGAAAACCACTTTGTCCTTCTGTGTGCTGGACCAGATATCCAGCCAAGGACAAAAGTGTGCCTGAGAAATTAAGGAGCTCAAGGCACTGCACACAGTCCTCCTCATCCTCATTTAATCCCCATAACAGCCCTGTGAAGTAGGTTAGTCTGAGAGGCAGTGACTGGCTCCAAGGTCACCCAGTGGGGGTGATTTCAACCTTGGTCTCTGCCAGGTCCAAGTTTGATACTCTAAACCCCACCCTACACTGACCTACCCCACACATCTTGTGGGGCCCGGAACAAAACCTTGGGGGCAGTAAGTAAGATCCCTTATTTTATTTATATTTTTATTCCACAAAATGTATACACCGCTTGATTGGGGGGAGGGGGAAAAAAACCCTCAAAGCGGTTTACAAAAAAGATAGGACAATAAAATGATCAACAAGAAAAATCAGCAACAATAATTAAAAACTTTTAAAAAGTTAACATAACAAGAGACTAAAAACATATTTAGACACATACCAGCTTTCTAGACATTTCATCTGAACAAAAATGTTTTTAGCAGGCGCTGAAAAGGGTACAGTGAATGGGGGCTGCCTGATGTCAATAGGCAGGGAGTTCCAGAGTTCCACACTAAAAGATGGATTTCTTACAAATAGTGTAACAGTGCCAATTCCACAGGTCAAAGTGGCTGAGTGGGCACGTGTGGAGCAAGGCGATCTCGTAGGTAAACTGGTCCCAAGCTGTTAAGGACTTTATACCCTAATAGTAACACCTTGAACTTGGCCTAGTAGCAAATTGGCAACCAGTGCAGATTTCTGAGCACAGGTGTTACGTGCTGCCAAGGTTTGCCTCCTGCCAGCATTCTGCACTGGCTGCAGCTTCTGGACCAAGTGCAAGGGAAGTCCCGCATAGAGCGCATTGCAGTCATCCAGCCTTGTAGCTACCAGGGCATGAGATACTGTGGTCAACCTTTCCTGCTGCTTCTCCCACGGTGTGTGTATGAATTGGTGCACTTGCTTCATTCGGCAGCTGTTTCTCAAACGTTTTGGACTTCTAAAAACAACTTCCTCCTCCAAACACGTGCCATGCGCTTACTGTCAGAGGCTGAGGCACACGGGGACACACCCGCCCTAGGCATGGGCATGTGAGCGTGAGCAGCTGTGGACTGGGGCAAATGTGTGTCTTGTTTGCGTGTGTGGAAGATTATACCCCCCCAAATACTTTTGCAGGTGGGCAGCATGCTGTGGCACTCATGCCCTGAGAATGCAGGCAACTGCTTGGCCACTGTGAGAATAGGATGCTCGACTAGATGGGCTACTGGCCTGATCCAGTTCTTATGATTGGTTTTTTAGCAGAAGCACCAGCTCCCCTCTTCTCAGACTGGTCCTGATGAACAAAGTTGCTCTGTTCAGATCTGGGCAGAGGGCAAGTGAAGAAGAAGAAGAAGAGTTTGGATTTGATATCCCGCTTTCTCACTACCCGAAGGAGTCTCAAAGTGGCTAACATTCTCCTTTCCCTTCCTCCCCCACAACAAACACTCTGTGAGGTGAGTGGGGCTGAGAGACTTCAGAGAAGTGAGACTAGCCCAAGGTCACCCAGCAGCTGCATGTGGAGGAGCGGAGACACGAACCTGGTTCCCCAGATTATGAGACTACCGCTCTTAACCACTCACTATACCACAGTTACCTAAGGAAGGGCAGGTGCTCTCTGGAAACCCAGTTCTGTGTCATGTCTGAAATCGACCTCCACAGGTGAATTGAACATGTCCTGAAATCGGGCACCAGAATCTCAGATTCAAGGCTCTTGGGAAGCAAAGCTTGGAATAAACATCTCACTGAGAACCCAAAGCTAGAGAGTCGCTTCTAGGCACTTTGGACCATCGTTCTCCAACTTACCACCCTCCAGATGTTTTGAACCACAACTCCTATCCGCCCCAGCCAGCACAGGTGTGTAGTCCAAAATGCAAGAGAGCCTGCTGTATCAGGGCAGCCTCCTATTCTTACTCTGAAACCCACAAACCCACAAACAGGACCTGAGCACAAGAGCCCTTTCCCTTCCTGCTGTTTCCAGCAACTGGTATTCAGAAACATGACTGCCTCCAACCGTGGAGGGCACCAGGTTGGGGAAGACTGTCTTAGCCTGTTTTGCCCGATGAACCCTGTGGGTCTGCACTGTAAAATGGCACCAAGGAGCAGAAACTGGGGGTGGGGGGTAGATGGGCAAAAGGAGACTCAAATTTGCGTCTGCTAATCTGTAGGTTCCAGGTGTCAATCTGGGAACAATTCCTATAGCTGCCTGCTCAGCTTGCTGCCTAGGTGATGCTCAACTTCACGGCCACCCATTCCTGGCTTGTTCCCCCCCCCCCCTTCTTAGCACTCTTTAAACTGGGCAGCTCCAAAACAAGAGGATGGGTTCTGTTCAATGAGATTTTGCTCAGAGTAGACCTATTGAAGTGAATAGCAACGGTCTGTTTGTTTCAATGCGTCTGAAAGTTAGCTGAATGCCACCCATTGTTTCCAAATAGAGAACTGGCCTCTGCCAAGGGAGGCACCAGGACACCCTGGCCAATATGGAACTCACTCCCATGGGAGGCAGTGATTGCCGCAAAATGAGATGGCTTTAAAAGAGGATAATAAAAAATTCAGGGAGGAGAGCTATTTTGGCTATGCTCCTCATCTAAGGATGAAAGCAGTAATGCTTCTGAAGGCTACTTGCTGGAAACCCCAGGAGTGGTCTTGTGTTCGAATCCTGATTCTGGGCTTCCCATCGGGGCATATGGTTGGCCACTGGGAGAACAGGATGCTGGACTCGATGGGCCATAGGCCCTCTTTCCTATGGCCCATTGAGTCCAGCATCCTGTTCTCCCAGTGGCCAACCATATGCCCCGATGGGAATCCCAGAATCAGGAATCGAACACAAGACCTGCTTTTCACCTGCTTTTCCTTGTTGCACACAAGTGGAGAGAGTGAAGGGAAGCAGCCTCCCCCCCCCCCCATTCTCTAGCCCCTAAGCTAGCTTGCTCTGTGCCTCTTTACGCCAGCCTGCTGCCCTCGGGTACATTGGAGGATGCAGTCGCCTTAGCCAGTGTGGAAGTAAGATGAAACTGCCTCTTTGGCTGGATTTTGCACATGGAATGAGGGAGAGAGAGGGGGGCCATCTTCAGTTAGCGAAATGTCTTGGGATGCCTTGGACAAAGAGATTTGGCTGGAGTGTGGCAGAAGAAGGAGATGCTGCCAGATCATCCACTCATTTGGCTTGATCCAGCAGAGCTCTTCATATGTTCTGATATAAGCAGAAAGCTTTGGGTTCCCTGGAGCTCAGGATGGGCTTTGACATATCCCTTTGCAAGGTGGAGCCTGTTCCGTTGCGCAGGAGAGGACTCTCAGTGTGCTCCTCTTTCACCTCCTCCATCCCCTGGCACTCATGAGTGCGCAGGAGGCCGGCTGCACTTGGCCATCTTTCCAGTTCGGTCTGGGACCATGGCAGCGGCCTGCGATGTCCCTTTGGCTCCCTGCCTGCCTCAGTCACATGGAACGGCCATGACGCAACAGCCGTCTGTGCTGAGCCACTCGCTTTGGGACTAAGCCGGCCAGCGCTGCTGTCTGGGACTCTTGGCTTCCTTGAAGCTGGGCTTCTCCACTGCCCCCACCTCGTCCCAGCCTAGTGGAAGTGATTGAAGTAGCAGCCTGGGAAGGCCTGGCTTTTTCCTCTTTTCTTTTTTTGTTCTATTTGCGGTGTGAGCAAATAGGCAGCCTGAGCCCCCACATCCTCTCTCCCTTTTGTCGGGGCTGGCTGGCTTCCAGCCGACAGCTGCAGCCACTTGGCCCTCTGGCCTCTCGGAGACGCCCTTTCTCTCTTTCCGCTTCTCTTTCTCTCTGCCAAAACATGGATTGCTTACGACCTGAGTGGCTGTGTGTGTGTGTGCGTGTGTTTAAATGTGTGAATTCCAACATTATCCCAAACCCGTGAAAATCTAGGGCTGCGACATTGAGTTGATTTAATGGGACGGACGCGGATGGTGCTGTGGGTTAAACCACAGAGCCTAGGACTTGCCAATCAGAAGGTCGGCGGTTCGAATCTCCGCAACGGGGTGAACTCCCGTTGCTCGTTCCCTGCTCCTGCCAACCTAGCAGTTCAAAAGCACCCCAAAAAGTGCAAGTAGATAAATAGGTACCGCTCTGGCGGGAAGGTAAATAGCATTTCCGTGCGCTGCTCTGGTTTGCCAGAAGTGGCTTAGTCATGCTGGCCACATGACCCGGAAGCTGTACGCCAGCTCCCTTGGCCAATAAAGTGAGATGGGCGCTGCAACCCCAGAGTCGGTCACGACTGGACCTAATGGTTAGGGGTCCCTTTCCCTTTCCCTTTCCCTTTACAAACATTCAGAATAAATAGGCCAATGCGATCTCGTCGCCATTTCAGCAATACAGCAAGGGCAGGGTCCTGCAGTGTACTTCGGTGGCAGAAAATCAAATAGAGAAACTTGGCTACTGTCTTGGTGAGCTTCTGGTCTCTCCCCTGTAATAAGAAGCGTATAACCTCTGTCTCTGGTTTCCATGTTGGGATACATAGGTAGTCTAAGAATTGTTGGTGGAGATCATCATTTTACAGTTAAGGACCATGTGAGGTAGAATTTCCACCAGGTGGGCATCACATGGGCAGATCCTATCTCCTTCTGCCATACCCGCAAACCTACCCCAAAGGAGGTTAGAAGGAAAGAAAGCCCTTCTTTCTTGTGGGTTAAACAAAAATTGCAAATAATTAAGGTTAAATTCCTGCGCCCAGGAGAGTCGAAAATAGATGAGCCAATTTTCTGACTCAGCGGAAGGCAGCTTTCCAGGTTCCTGTGCTTCTGTTGAGGCGGCTTGTGCCTTGCTTGGGGATGGCAGGCAGGCGGGCCAGCGCCTTCTCTGCCCTAAGCCTTGCCAGTACAGACTGCGAGTGCCGCAGAGGTCAACAGAGCCCCGAGGCTGCCCTTCTGGAGGTCGTCCCTTGGATGAGAGGCGTGCTGGAACTTGTCCTGTCCAGGTGCACAACCTTCCTGGCTGCGTGCTGTCCCCCTGAGCCACTCCTCCTGAACTTTAGACACACAAACAGACCGAAAGAGCACTCGTTCCTGAAGGGGTTGGTCTCTGTTGTGGTGGCGGCGGCGTCAGTTGCAGAGGGGTGGCATCTTGCACAGAGGATCCCACTGCTGACTCTGGAAAGCTTGGCTCCTGGAGAGCCGCGAGGAGGAGAGGAGAAGGGAGAGAAGCCCCTTCCAGCGACAGGCAGTCCTGCCGCAGGCAAGGTATGGAAGCTGCTTTTGGGATGCCTGTCTAGAACCGCAGGATTGTGGAGCTGGAAGGTACCCAAAGGATCGTCTCGTTCGCCTCCCTGCAATGCAGGAATTGCAGCTCAAGGGCCCAGAAAGCACAAGCTGCTCTTGTGCAGGAGGGCTTGGTGGGTGTCAGAGACATTTGGGTTTTCTGCTTGGGTACCAAGCCTCGCTGGTTGGCTCACGTCCATCTGGGGTGCCAAAGGGGGTTTGTGAGGAAGGGGGGTTTGTCAAAACTGTTTGCCCCTGCACGAAGAAGATGGTGCAGAGGAGTGCTTGATTCTGGATGCCTGCGGAATTCATCTCCCCAAGGGGAAAAAGACAGGTGTTCAAAAATGGTGTTCCTGGGCAGGTGCAGAATATGTTTTCTTTGGAGAGAGGTGCTTCCTTGTCTGCTTGGTGTGCTGTAGGATCGGGTGCCGGCTTGTCTTGGGCAGAGTAGACCCTCCGCTGCTACTGCTGCTGCTTTGACCAAGAGGTGGTCCAGTGGCAGAGGACATGAAGTGACCTTCATGAAAGACAGTGTGGTGCAGTGGTTAGAGTTTTGGACTAGTTTGTTGGGCTAGTCACTGCTGTTTGGCCTAACCTACCTTTACAAGGTTGTTGTGGGGATTAAAGGAAGAAGGGGGAAAAACCATGGACACCGCCTTCAACTCCTTGGAGAAAAAGGTGGGATACCAATGCAAGAAATAGAATCACGGAGTCATAGAATTGTAGGGTTGGAAGGGACCCCAAGGGTCATCTAGTCCAACCCCTTGAGATGCAGGAATCTCAGCTGAAGCATCCGTGACAGATGGCCATCCAACCTCTGCTTAAAAACCTCCAAGGAAGGAGAGTGCACAACCTCCCGAGGGAGTGTGTTCCACTTTTTAAATAAATATTAAATAATAATTCACCTTAACGTGTTATTTGCAAAGAGCAATTTATCCCTTTCTTGGTGCAATTTGCAAAGGAGGGGGTGAGGCAGCCTTTGCTAAGTAAACTGGTCCTGAGTTGCTTTGGGCCCTATTGTGCTTAGTACTCGAACCTTGAACCGGGCCCGGTAGCCTGGGCCAATCCACAGACAAGGCATTCCACTCTGGCAACCCCCACAAGCAGCTGCCTTCTGCCCCAGCCGCAGCCTCCAGACTGAGCCCCACCCAGCTAGGCTGCCACACGCGTTGGCAGCAGAAAAACATGGCCAGGCGTCATTCCGGTGTTGCAGCCACCTGTTCCAGTGACAGGCCAAGTGGAAACGTTGCTCTGCGAGTTGGCAAGAGGGGTCAGCCTGTCGGAAAGGCCCACACCCCTTTCGTTCCCAGGGTGGAATGCCGCAGTTACTTGGGGCCTTCTGCACGAGCTCTGAGATGCTCTTTTCTGCATCATTGTTTTGCTTATTCTCAGGGTCATGTGGACTTCGGACAGAAGATGTGTTGTCAGGTTCAGTCCTCCTCAAATAGCCTGGCTTTTGCCTGTCAGAGTTTGATGCTGGAGCAGTTTTGCCATGGGGGGCGCGGATGTCTTTCTGTATTGACCTTGCCAAGCCCCACTCCACCCCCCAGTGATGGGCAGCACTGACCTGGGGGAGGAAAAATAATTGCAGTGTGGTGTAGTGGTTAAGAGCGGTAGTCTCGTAATCTAGGGAACTGGGTTTGCGTCTCTGCTCCTCCACATGCAGCTGCTGGGTGACCTTGGGCCAGTCACACTTCCTTGAAGTCTCTCAGCCCCACTCACCTCACAGAGTGTTTGTTGTGGGGGAGGAAGGGAAAGGAGAATGTTAGCCGCTTTGAGACTCCTTAAAGGGAGTGAAAGGCGGGATATTAAATCCAAATTCTTCTTCTTTTGCATTGTAGAGTTGGAAGGGACCTCGAGGGCCATCTAATCCAAACCCCTGCAATGCAGGAATTGCAGTTAGGAGGAGAGTTTCCCCATTATTTAGTCACATGGTAGAGCAGGAATGCCAACTCGGCCCCGCGACTGTGGGTGCCTGGAGCCATGGCTGCCTGGCACTGAAATTTGTGGGTGCCTGGGGAATTTTGTGGGTGCTCAGGCACCAAGGGCAGGCAGAAACAGTCAGTGTTTTTTGCTGCACCTGTGGCTAAGACGGCTACCTGGATGCCACAATTTTACTAGCCACTCAGCCAGTCACAGCACAGGAAAAAAGGCGTGTGCAGAAGGATGCGACAGGTTTGTAAAATTCTGCATGGTGTGTTGGAAGTGGGGTGGTGGGAGAAGCTTCCCCCCACCCCTCTTTGGATGCCAGAGCTTGCATCTGAATGGCAGGACATATTTGAAAGGAGGTGCTCCTTCGCACCTGTGGAACTCATCACCACAAGATGTGGCAAGGGCTCCTGGTTTCGGTGGCAGCTAAGCCAGTTCATGGAGAGAGGCCCATCAGCAGCCAAGACAGCTAAATGGAACTTCCATGTGCAGAGAAAGTCTACCAGATTCTGGGGAGCAGCTGCAGGAGAGGCCTCGTTCCTTCAAGTCTTTCCGGCAGCTTCACAGAATGCATCTGATTGGCCACTGGAGTGGATGTTTGCCTTCATCCGGCAGCCAGGCTCCTCTTTTGTCAAGAGAAAAGTCCCAGCTGAGCTGTTCTGTCGTCTACTACACATAGGGAAGTGGCAGCTGATGCAATGATATGTGCCCAGGGATGCCAATCCAGGCACGCTGCCACCAGGAACTTCACTTTGCACCTGGATGGTGGCATCGGCTGGCCTCGTTTTACGGCATGGCTCTGGCGTGTCCCGTCTTCTACCTCTCTGTTAAGTGAGCCCCTCTCCCCTGCCATCTCCCCCCCACCGCCAGTCCAGGATTGCATCAAGGTTTGGCAGGCCTGGGCATCGCCCGCTGTTTGGTCCCGACTAAGAAGAGCCTCCTGAACTAATTTCAAGGAAGAGTAAACTTGCTGGAGAGGGAATACCCCATTGAAGGTGTCTTGCCCCAAACCTCACTGATGGCAGAGGGAACCAATGCAGAAGGGAGAGAGCAAGAGCAGTGCAGTGCAGTGGTTAGAGTGCTGGACCAAGGCCTGGGAGACCTGTGTTCAAATTCCTGCTCAGCCATGAAACTCATTGGGTTTGACCTTGAGCCAGTCACCTGTATCTCAGCATATCCTACCTCACAGGATTGCTTTGAGTGTCAAATGACCAGGGGGAGAACTATGCACCACCCTGAGCTCCTTGGGGATGGGGAGAAATTCAATAAATAATACCCAGATAAGCAAGCCAGTCTTGTCAGCTGAAAGCAGACAGGGGGAGAATGAAACAAAACTCTGGACATGCTCAGAGGCACCTGGCTAAGGACAGCATAATCTGTGGCTGTGTCGTTATTGTTATGTACTGAAGTTCTCACCCTGGGCCAGCAGGGGGATACTGTAGATAGTTCAGGTCCACATATGCAAATAAGGGATCAAAAGTGACGTTCAGTGATTGGATAGTTACAGAAAGTTGTTACAGTTACGTTGTAATGGAGCTCTATATAAGCAGGCTGGCTGAACCCTTCAGTTCAGTTCTGTTCTGGCCTGTGAATAAACAAGAGCTGTTTGGAGAATTGCTGTGTTGTCTCATATGTTCACCCACAACTTAACAGTTATAGTGGGCCATTTGCCTGCTGAGAGCTCCCCCCAAAATCACAAGCACAGGTAACCTCCCTGCCTTGCAGCATAGCAGATTTCAGCTTATGCAGCTTCCCCAACCCTCCGCTTATAAAGACAAACTTCACTCGCCCGCCCCACCTTCTCCCTACCTGTTGTAAGAATGACTGTCTGCGAAGGGACACGCCACCGAGAGTGCTGCGTGCGACTTGCTCTGTGTCAAAACAGTGTGAGACACACTTGTTTACAATCCCACGCCCGGCTGTGGAGATTTCCCTTGACTCATCACCAGACGGAGTGTTTCCTGTGAGTTAGCCGGGATGTGCGGCTGGCTGGTGGATGACTGGCTGAGGAGCTGGTTCCAGGCCTGCCTCAACTCAACTGAAGACTTGCCTGGGCTGGCAATATCCCAGAGGCCCCCACTCCAGGATACCGTATTTTTCGCTCTATAAGACGTACCACACCACAAGACTCGCCTAGTTTTGGGAGGAGGAAAACAAGAAAAAAAATATTCTGAATCTCAGAAGCCAGAACAGCAAGAGGGATCGCTGCGCAGTGAAAGCAGCAATCCCTCTTTCTGTTCTGGCTTCTGGGATAGCTGCGCAGCCTGCATTCGCTCCATAAGACGCACACACATTTCCCCTTACTTTTTAGAAGGGGAAAAGTGAGTCTTATAGAGCAAAAAATACGGTACTTAAAAAAAAAAAAATTATTAAATGCATTTATGTCCCAGCTTTTTCTCCAACAACCCTGCCAGGTAGGTGAGGCTGAGAGGCAGCGACTGGCCCAAGGTCATGCAAGGAGGCTGAGTGGAGGATTTGAACCCTGGTCTCTCCCAGGTCCCTAGTCCAGCACTTTTCTAACCACTACACCACATTGGCTCTCAAATATATATAATATAACTATCTGGATGGTAGAACATCAGATTTCTTGGCTCTCAGGATTTTTGACTGGAGACGTTTTGAGACTTACCTGGGATGTTTTGCATGTAAAGCACATGCTGTACCTTCCAAATCTGGGGCAACAGCTCCCCTCTCTTCTGTCCCAAACTCCAGCAGAATCCCTTTGCCCAAGCCAGCCCAAGACATTTTGCTGCCTGAAGATGCTCCGTCTCTCATTCCATGCACAGAATCTGACTGGAGAGGCAGTTTAATCTTACTTCCACACTGGCTAAGGCGACGGCATCCTCCAGTATACCCGAGGAAGGCAGGCTAGCCTAAGAGGCACGGAGCAAGCTAGTTTAGGGGGCACAGAGAGAATAGTGGAAGGCCACTGACTCAAGAGGCAGCTGCTTCCCTCTTTCTAATGAAAGGGCTGGCCATGCCCTTCCCTTCACTCTCTTCACTTGTGTGCAACAAGGAAAAGCAGTTGGAAGTAAGGACAGAAAAAGAGGCTTGCTGGGTCAGGCCAGAGGAGGCCCATCTAATCCAGCGTCCTGTTCTCAGCGTGGCTAACCAGATGTCCTGATGGGAAGCCCCAGCGCAGGATTTGAACACAAGACTGCTCTCCCCTCCTGTGGTCTCCAGCAACTGGATATTCAGAAGCATTCAGAAGCAGGGCCCCCTATTTTCCAGGGGCAGTCCTGGATTAACAGAAGCTGCCCCGGTTTCCGATTTGATCCGGGAATGTTCCACTTTTCATTCGGGTGTCTCTATTCTCATCAGAGAAATGGAGGGGACGTCTCTATTTTCATAGGGGAAATGTTGGGAGGGTAAACTATGAAACTTGCCCAGGAGGGGGCAGCGATAACCACCAGTCTGGATGGCCTTAAAAGAGGAGAGGGCTATCGATAGCTATTGGACACAGTGGCTTTGCTCTGCCTCTGCAGCCAGAGGCAGTAATAATAATAATAATAATAATAATAATAATAAGTTTTTATTTGTACACCGCCCAGTCTGGCTGGATTTCCCCAGCCACTCTGGGCGGCTTCCAACAAAGGTTAAAAATATATTAAAATGTCACACATTAAAAACTAATAATAATGCTTCTGAATACCAGCTGATGAAAACAGCAGGGACTGGATTGGTTCTCAAATCCTGCAGGCATCCGGTTGGCCACTGTGAGAACAGGATGCTGGACTAGATAGGCCTTTGGCTTGATCCAGCAGTCCTCTTTTTATGTTCTTTTATGCTCATAAGGCAGTTTGCTATGTAGCTTGACACAAATGGAAAAATGAGCGAGGTCCCAACCAAAGAAGAATGGGAACTTAAACAGCTTGCGGACCTAACATATAGAATAAGAACATATGTTTAAAGAAGATGGGAAAATGTTTATTGAATATATTGGGGGGGGGGGGCCCTGCGTACACTTGAAAACATTGGCAACGTTAAGATAAATTCAACAGTGTAAATAAGCTTTGATGGATGTATTAATGGAATGCTGAATGGTTTAGTTTATGTAAAATATGTTTTGTAAAATGAATCATGGAAAGAGAAGAAGGGAAGTCATTGATATTTGAAGGTTGTTTAAATGAATGTTTTAAAATGTAAAACAGAAAATTTAATAAAAAGCATACCAAAAAGAGAGGGGGGGCTTTTTTTTTTTTTTTTGGAAACTTAATGCCCTGCTGGTTACCGCTGCTCCTGCTCACCTGGGGAGGGAGGGAGTGCCTCCTTCCCCGCCCCTCAATGCTGCCGGCTTAGGTTCCAGCTGGGAGAGTTTCCTGGCAGAGACAGGCGATGAGAGGAGGGGAAAGCCAGACCCAGCCGCTGCAGAGGCAAGTACCAGCAAGCCGGACGGCTCCTGCGCTGGCCGCGGATTGCGGCCTGTCTGGGCCCAGCCTGGCAGGAGCGGCTTTCGAGCCCTTACTCACTGCAAGCCCCAGAGATGCCCCACCTGCTTAGTCAAGGCTTTGTCACGGCTGGGATGCCTCCTTCAAATCCTCCCGGAGCCATGAATCAGCCAGCCAGCCAGCTGGGGACAGGCCCTCTCTGTCCTGCCCTGGTCTGCAAGACCTGGCTTGGGGGCGAAGTGGGGCCTTAGGGGTGAGTTTCTGGGGCTGGAGCGGCTGGCAGCCTCCTGCTGCCCTCCCAGCGGTTGCGTTTCCTCCGGGGAGGCTCCCTTGTCGCACCTGAGGCTTCTATGTCCGGCCGGGAGAGTGGCATTCGCTTTCAAGATGGCCGTTGAAACAGCCAGCAGCTGTTGGTCCCTCCCTCGTTCTCCTCCTCCACTGTCTCTGGCTCTTTCTGCGCATTTGCCACCGATGTCTGGTTGCCAGCGGGTGCTGGGTCAAATGAGTTTCATCTCCCATCTGAGCCACCTGCTGATTCCGACTCCCCATATCTCCGGGGCTTCCTGTTGCTTCAGCTGCTGGCTCCGTGGCCCTTTCCCTCCCTCGCAGCTTCGAGTGCAGAGAAGGAAAAGCCTTGCAGGAGACTGCTTTCAGCAAGGCTCGGACTTGGGGGCTGCCACGTGGCCTGCTGGCTTTTCAGCCAGGAGCCTGCCTGGCTGCCTTGGTTTGTGTCTGAGGGGTGTCACTCTAGGAACAGTGCGATGGGAGGGTGGCCTGGCTGTTGCACCTGGTAAGACAGACAGGCATCACATCGGCTCTGCAGGAAGTGTGGTGCTGCACCAGGTAGACTCCCGGCTGCCTGTTTGGGGTTATGCTGGGGAGCTTTAAAATGGCGGCAGTAACTCCTGTGCTAGGGAAATCTTTTGCAGAAAACATATCAACAGGGCACCGAAATGATAATAATCGAGGCAATAAAGTTGCATCTTAAAGATGCAAATAAAGATCATTTGCATATGTCTACAGTGGTACCTTGGGCTATATACGCTTCAGGTTACATACTCTTCAGGTTACACACTCCGCTAACCCAGAAATAGTGCTTCAGGTTAAGAACTTTGCTTCAGGATAAGAACAGAAATCGGGCTCCGGCGGCACGGCGACAGCAGGAGGCCCCATTAGCTAAAGTGGTGCTTCAGGTTAAGAACAGTTTCAGGTTAAGAACAGACCTCCGGAACGAATTAAGTACTTAACCTGAGGTACCACTGTAGTTACTTTCCATACTTTGAAGGACCAAGACCCCGAGGTGGTTTTTGCTGTCCCCCTTCCACTTCCTGGGCTGCCTTCTGGTAGGAAATTCTCCTCAGACCCCCTCTGACTTTTTGTATTTTGTCAAGGAATTGCCCGTCTGTTTTTGAGGGTCTCTCAAAGGCTGGACCCTGAGGTTGTTGGTAAAAGATGGATGCTGGTGGACTGAGGTCACTGAATGCTGATTTCTGCTCTTGCTTTGTGCAACTGTGGAGTGGCTGAATTGTCTGGCCTGCACCACAATTGCTGTACATTTTGCCCATCATGTCTGAGCATGGAAATCTGTATGGCTTCCAGTGAAATAGCACTTCTCTTTTCAGATATCATAGAGTTGTAGAGTTGGAAGGGACTCTGGGGGTCATCTAGTCCAACCGCCTGCAAGGCAGGAATCTCAACTGAATCATACATGACAGATGGCCATCCAACCTCTGCTCAAAAACCTCCCAGGAAGGAGAGTCCATCACCTCTCGTGGGAGCCTGTTTCACTGTCGAACAGCTCTTACTGCCAGAAAACTTTTCCTTTCTTGTAACTTAAATCCATTGGTTTGGGTCCTATCCTCCAGAGCAAGAAAAAACCCAAGAAGAAATGTGGGCACTATTTACAGTCGGGGGAAAATCCAGGAGACCCCAGTTCAAATCCCTACTCAGCCATGAAGCTTACTAGGTGACTTTGAGCCAGTCACTAATCTCCCAGTCTCAGAGGGTTGTTGCGAAGATAAAATGCGGGCACGGGGGGAGAATCGCTCTTGGAGAGAAGGGAGGATAGAGGCAAAATAGAAACACAGAATTGCAGAGTTGGAAGGGACCCTGAGGCTCATCTAGTCCAACCCCCTTGCAATGCAGGAATATGCAGCTGTCCCATACGGGGATCGAACCTGCAACCTTGGTGTTACCAGCCCTGCACTCTAACCAACTGAGCTATCCAAGCTGACATGAATAGCATACTGCAAAACGTCTGTGATTGCAGCTTGGCAGTACAAAGTTTGGGGTGCACAGCATTTGGATGAAATTTGGAGCATAGGAAGGTGCCTTATATACCGAGTCAGGCCATTCATTGGTCCATCTGGCTCAATATTGTCTTCACTGACTGGCAGCAATGGCTCTCCAGGGTTTTCAGGCAGGGGACATTCCTGTCTCTGCTTGGAGCTGGGGATCGAACCTGGGACCTTCTGCATGCGAAGCGGATACCCTACCGCTCAGCTATGGCCTTTCCCATGAGGGTGGCTGGAACTTGAACTCTGATGTGGCCCAAACTGTATTGGGGCAGATGGAAGTGTGGGTGAGCCTTTCTCATCCCTTGACTGTTCTTGGTGACAAGCCACAGGAAACCGGCTGGTTCCCAAATCCTGGATTTGAAATGATTGTGCCCTGACAGAGGGTCTCTTTCAAGCTCGCCTTGGTCGATTTTGAGGGCGAATATTCTGTGGGCTTTTGTCTGGTCAGCATCCTTGTTCATCACGCAGAGATTATGCAACGCTTCAGGCAGCATCCAATGGCTACCTCGGTGCAAAATAAAACATGTGCCTTTAAAATAAAGTAAGAGTGTAGTCCTCTTGGTTTTGGAAAGGAGGTCGACCTAGTCTTTTGTCAAGCCACAGTAGTAGTTCAGTAGCAGTGAATATTGGGCAGCTGAAGAAGTTATATCATTGCCTTTCACTTCAGTTTTGATAATAAGCTTCAGGTCCAAAATATAAATGGCGAATTTCAAATTCAGGGTTGACAGTGAAAAATCTGAATTTAAAAACCTGACAGACCCTTCAGTGTTTGGCTCACAGACCAAAACAAACAAAAACGAAAACAAACGGTTAGCCAATTTCTAGCCAAACCTTCAAATATTTGCTGAATATTCTCCGTATTTCAATAAATCAAATGCTGCTTTCAGCATTTGCCAGTGTAGGAAAGGTAGGCATGGCTTGGTGTTGAGGAATTTGACTGAATTGACAGCTGACCTGCAATGGCATATTTTATATTTGACATGCAATGGTGTTCAGTAGTTTGCTGAAAGCTTATGAGGTTTCATATTTGAACTGCCAAGAAGGGCCAAAGCGCTCAGATTTTAGCCTGGGACACCGACATTTCACCTTCAAAACAGGGATGAGAACAGAAATGTTAAGCATTTTTAAATATTGGTTTTAGGTTTCAGCAGAGGCAATTCCAGTAGCCTGGGCTGCACTGCCCCCTCCTGGATCAATCTGTCATCTCCAGCTCCCTAAGGTGCCGGATTCAATTCCTGCCTGCTGCACTGTGGTCTCAACTTCTGATATAAGCACATCTGAGACAGAGGAGGCCATAGCCTGTCAGAGGCAGCGATGCTTCTGCATCCTCAGGAGGGGAGAGGGCTCTTTTGCTCAGACCCTGCCTGATGGCATCCTAGTGATTGGCCACTGCAATAACAGGATGCTGCACTAGATGGGGCATTGACCTGGTCCAGTAGGTCCTCTTTTTCTGTGCTTGTGCCATTGTTGTACATGAGGTCACAGGGCATCAGGCAGCCCTCAGCCCGACTCGGATGTGTGCTTAAAAATAGCTCTCTGGGGTTGCTGAGCAGCCGCAGGCATCCAGGGTGTCCCTCACAATCGCAGGAAGCCTTGTAGCCGCTCTTGCATTGTTCTGCTGCAGACACTTGCTTCCGGCGCCTGTGTGGGGAGGAGCTTTGGTAGGCCAGGGCCACCAGCAGACTCCTCTGTGAGCCCTGGGGGTGGGGTGGCGCACGTTACTTCAGGCACGAAGGACTCAGGTACCCCTCCTGTGACAGGGGCTGGGACGTGGGTGGCAGGGCATGAAAGGCCAGCTTTTTACGAATGGTGAGCTAACAAGGGAGCGAAAACAGCTTGGGGGTTTGCACAGAGGAGATGTGCAGGCAGCCAAAGGGAGATCCATCCCCCAGTGGAATGGAAGAGAAGGAGGAACGGAGAGATGCGGCGACAATCTGGATTGCAAATGAATTTGCGAAAGAAAGAGAAACGCAAAGGGAGCTGTTTCCCTGTAACCTGTGCATCTGAACGATGTAGAAGGTGAACCCACTTGCAGTTGGAAAGTGGTGCATGCCATTCTCCCATCTCATTCAAGCACAGGGGTCAGCAAACTTCTTCAGCAGGGGGCCAGTCCACTGTCCCTCAGACCTTGTGGGGGGGGCGGACTGTATTTTGAAAAATAAATAAATGAACGAATTCCTATGCCCCACAAATAACCCAGAGATGCATTTGAAATAAAAGCACACATTCTACTCCTGTAAAAACACCAGGCAGGCCCCACAAATAACCCAGAGATGCATTTTAAATAAAAGGACACATTCCACTCATGTAAAAACACGCTGATTCCCGGACCGTTCACGTGTCGGATTTAGAAGGCTATTGGGCCAGATCTGGCCCCCAGGCCTTAGTTTGCCTACCCATGTTCAAGCCTTTAAACCTTGAAATTCACGTGGGGTGGGGTAAACGAATCATCGAGAAACTAATTTGGGCTTATCCTGGTTGGAAATGAATTGGAGAAATCTGGGATGGCTAGGAAGAGGAATGAAGCTGGCTTGCTTCTGCTGATACAGTATAGAAGGTCTACATTTGCATCTGTACAGGAAAAAACCCATCATTTTGCAAAAGGTTTTGCGTTTTTGCAGCATCAGTCAAGGGAGGGCAAGGTGCCCTTAAAGAGTGAGCAGGGAATCAGCTGTGGACTGGGGCTCACATCACCGCTGGCCTGTTAGCTCTGCTGCCAACATGACTGCAGGTGATGGATGTTGGAAATCCAAACCCTGCATCAGGGAGATGCCTCTCCTCTTGGTCCTGGAATTAGCCCCTGGCTTGACCTTGCTGTTTCTCTCTCCCCTCCCTCTGCCAGGTATGCCACCACGCCGAGTGCCAGCAGCTGAACCACAACAGCCCCCTCCACTTGTGTGAAGCGTGTGACGGACGCTTCCACGGTGCCATGCATTTTGACGGGCACATCCGCTTTGACCTGCCGCCGCAAGGTGAGGGGAAAAGCCCAAGTCACGCGGCTGGGTCAAGGACAACTTGGCACGGCCTCCTTTTCACAGGGCTTGTCCGAAGTTCCTAGACAGAGGTTGGATGGCCACCTGTCAGAGATTCTTTAGCAGTGATTCCTGTCCATGGAGGCGCAGGTTAATTCTGTGTCCAGGGCGGCTGTCTACCAGCTCCACCTGGTATGCAGGCTGGGACCCTACTTGCCCGCAGACTGTCTCGCCAGAGTAGTGCATGCTCTAGTTATCGCCCGCTTGGACTACTGCAATGCGCTCTATGTGAGGCTACCTTTGAAGATGACCCAGAAACTGCAATTAATCCAGAATGCAGCAGCTAGACTGGTGACTGGGAGTGGCCTCCGGGTCCACATAACACCGGTCCTGAGAGATCTGCATTGGCTCCCAGTACGTTTCCGAGCACAATTCAAAGTGTTGGTGCTGATCTTTAAAGCCCTAAACGGCCTCGGTCCTGTATACCTGAAGGAGCGTCTCCATCCCCCTCGTTCAGCCCAGACACTGAGATCCAGTGCCAAAGGTCTTCTGGTGGTTCCCTCATTGCGAGAAGTGAGGTTACAGGGAACCAGGCAGAGGGCCTTCTCAGTAGTGGCACCCACCCTGTGGAATGCCCTCCCATCAGATGTGAAGGAAATAAGCTATCTTATCTTTAAAAGACATCTGAAGGCAGCCCTGTTTAGGGAAGTTTAATGCTGTATTGTTTTTAACACTCGATTGGGAGCCGCCCAGAGTAGCTGGGGAAACTCAGCCAGATGGCAGGGTATAAATAATAAATTATTATTATTATTATTATTATTATTATTATTATTAATTATTAGGGATGACCCAGGGGAGGTAACCTTCCAACTCTGCAATTCTATGATCTCTTTCCAAATGGCTTAGCTGGTGTGCTCTTCAGTGGGCTTCTCCCCGCCCCCCCGGGCAACACAGTGAGGGCTGGATCCTTCATGGGCTATGTCTTCAGCGCTTTTCTCCCTTCCAGGTTCTATCCTGGCCCGGAACGTCTCCACACGGTCGTGCCCACCACGCACCAGCCCTGCCTCAGATGTGGAGGAGGAAGACGAAGGGCTGATTGATGGGAAAGGGTGAGTGGAGGGGAGGGCTGGCCGGCCCAGGAGGCGCTCACAACAGGAGAGCTCCCCTCACTTAGAAAACTAGTGTCTCAGGGAGAAAGGGTCCAGTCTAGCCTTTTCCCTGGTGCATTATTTTATACGCATACATACCACTAGTGATTCATTAAAAAAAGGGGGGGGTGAAATAGCAGGGCAATTTACAATTATACAAAAAAAACAAAACAAAAACCCACACCATAAAAAGCATACTTAAAAAGTTGAAATCAGAAAATAGCTAACAATTGTGGAAGGGCGCATTCTCAATTGCTGGACTGAACAAAAACTATTCCAGCAGGCGTTTTAAAAGTTGAAACAGAAGGCGCTTGCAATTTCATTTGGCTTTCTTAGTGGGGGGTGTCTGGTGGGGAATTTGTGCCATTTGAAAATCTACTTTGAACAAAAAAACAAAAAACCCTGGTACAATCCACTGGGAGCTGTATTGCACACCCCCACTCGACACGTCGGTCAGCTTGATAGGAATTCTGCAAAGGCGTTAATAAACTGTATGGGAGCTGGTGGGGCAGAACGTTTCCTGCATCAGAGGGGAAAGTTGTGCCTGCCTTCCCTTGCTGTTGTGGGGCAATATGAGGGGGACCTTCTAACTCCTTTCTGTCTGCTGGCTGGTCTGTTTCAGGGACAGGAAGAGCTCAGCCTTGAAGCTGCCAAAGAAGAAGGCTCGCAGGAGGCACACTGACGTAAGGAGGCCACTTGCGCTCATTCCATGACTGCACCTTGCTATCACTCTGAAACCCTGGGAATTGGGTCTGGCCTCATCCTGTGCAGGACCCTAGAAGTCACAGAGGCCTCTTTGCATGCCCTGCGGAGGGCAGGAGGGGTGGGAATGTGCCCTGGTGGTCCTCCTCCACGCGCTAAGAAATTGGGGTGGGACAGAGGCCTGGCGACTGTTTTGAATTCTGGCCGACATGCTCCTGCGTTTCTCCCACAGGACCCTAGCAAGGAATGCTTCACCTTGAAGTTTGATCTGAATGTGGACATTGAGACGGAGATCGTGCCAGCCATGAAGAAGAAGTCCCTGGGGTAAGGAGGGCAGAGAGCAGCTTAGCCTGGGGTGCAAGCTGGGTGGGGGCTTCACTCGTTTTTGGGAGCCTAGGAAAGCTGTGGGTCCAAGGCCTCAACTGGAAACAGCTCCAGCAATCCTGAGCCCATCAGTTCAGTGCAGGATCCTAACCTGCTCCCAACACCTGATGTTCGGAGGGCAAAGGCCTGGCTAGTTCTGTTGCTGAAGTTCTGACTGCTCTGCTTGGAAATGGGTGTGGGAAAACAAAGGTAGGTTAGGCTGAGAGTGAGTAACTGGCCCCAAGGTCACACCTATCTGAACAGGAAGGTCTTTGTAGCCTGTCAGCAGAAGGATAACAAGGAGGGAGCCAGTCGGTTCTCTTTGAGGAGGGAATCCCACAATTTAGGAGCCACCACAAAAAAGGCACTTTCTCTCTCATCTCACTGCTGGCTGTGCCTCTAGTGTTGATGGGACCAAGAGAAGGTGCTGACCCAATGATCTTAGCGCCCAGGCAGGTTTGCATTGGCAGCTACGACCTTCCAGGCATTCTGAGCCCAAGCTAGTTCCAACACATCGATTAACTGGCAGCTCCACTTACTGGTTCTCTCTCTTTTCTTTTAAAACCCAGTGAAGTGCTGCTGCCGGTTTTTGAGAGGAAGGGAATCGACCTGTCTAAAGTGGACATTTACCTGGACCAGTCCAACACGCCCCTCTCACTCAACTTCGAGGCCTACCGGTTTGGAGGACATTACCTTCGTGTGAAAGGTAGGCTGCTGTGTGTCTCTCCTGAGGCTGATGGGAGATGTTGTCAGAGGGCTCCAGGTTGGGAAAGCCTTTTTGGCAATATGAGAGGGACCATTCTGTCCAGAATTGCCCTCCAGACCTGTCCCATGGCCTCATCTTCTGCATTGCAGCCAAACCTGGGGATGAACTCAAAGTGGAGCAGGCGGTGAAGGACTTCAAGTCGCTGAGTTTGCCTATCCTCCGTCCTGCGGGCACTGGCCCGTCCTTCCCCAGCACCCCCTCTCTCGACCGCCTGGAGCAGTTGTCGCTTCGAAGGGAGAGTACCGACATCCTGGTGAGTAGGGGAAAAGAGATGGGGTGGACAGGAGTAGGGACCCTGCCCTTGAGATCGAGGAAGCCTGTGGGTCTGCAACTTGCGCTGCTCATTATTTCTCTGTTTGTTTCACTCCATCTCATAATGTTTGTGCTAAGGCAAAAACCCGAGCAATATAAAACCAAGCAAGGTTTCTTGTTCGTTTGTCAGCAAGAATTTGTTTATCAATAGCAATGCAGAGTCAAAAGCACAAACAGGATTACTTGCAGCCTTATAACAGTATATATTTACAGTAGATAATTGAGCAAGTCAAATGAATTTGGATATGCCAAAGATATTGAAAAATAAAATTTTAGGAACTGCAGAAAGAAGGGGAAGGAAGTCAAATTTTGAAATGTGAAATTGATTGTAAAACTAATGAAATGTATAAATTTGAAAAGTATAAATAAAAAACAAGAAGGACATCAGTTGAAATCAATGAAACATAGGAGTGATGCCAAGGATGTAAATAATCAAAAGCAGGGAACTCATTAAAAAAAAAAAAAAAGTTAAGCACATCATGAAAGCCACACTAAACAATTGATTGAATCTATATTGAATCTTATGAATCTATACACATATGCCTAGATGCAAATTTAGAAATGATCACTATAATTTAAGTCGAAATGCAATCCATCTTCCTGTTTCAGGGAAGACTGTGACTCTGTGACCTGCGTGCTGCCTGCTGCCCCAGGTACAGCAAAGGCACCTGTCTGTACCCAGCAAGGAGTTCCCAAAAGTGATTTCTGACAAATGTATATTTTGGTTTTATGATATTCTGGAAACTGACCCTGGGCAGGAGTAATGGTCTTGTACTGCCACCCTCCCAACAGGGTAGTAGAGGGGCAGCAGTTAGGTTAGGCCTTTTTGGGTGCATTCCAGTAGCTGGTCTGGTGCTCTGGCTAGTGCATTCCTCCCAAAAAATCTGGTGAGCACCATTGCAGGGCTGGAGGCGCAACACCATTCCCATGGGCCAGAGGTTGCTCTTGGTCCTGGGATCATTCTCAGTGATGGAGGGCAGTCTGCAAATCGAGGTACCAGGCAAAGACATAGAAAGAGGTGCTTGGCTTTGCTCCTGCTGCCCAGGTCCTGTTTTCAGCCTTCCCATGCATCTTCTCGCTTCCTTTGGCAGCCTGACGCTGCTGAGATTTTCCTGCAGCACGTTTGTGTTTGTGTTGACTGCACAGCACAGCAGAGGGGTGGTCCGGCTTGTGTCAGGAGGAAATGAATTGTTTGCCATCCGGTTGTGAGTGTGTCAGGGATACCCGGGCGAGGAGGCAGACACGAGGCATGCCCGCCTCTCGTGCACGTCTGAGCCTTTGTCTGTTTTGCACGAGAGAGTTGTGTGTCACTCAGCATGACAGATTGCCTTCCGTGCCTCATGCGGCGTTGGAGCAAGACTCTAGGCGTGGCTCTGCTCTGTGGGAGGAGTGGATGGATCTGTCAAAATGGATATATTTGTGCAAGCCGTTTCCCCTAACGTAATGCATTTCTGTACGCTGCTTTTCAACACACCTGCTCCTGACACATAATATGCGTCATTTGGAGTGCCATGAAATTTGGAGAAGTGCAAATTTCAAAGGGTGGCTGTGTTTCGCTTTGAGTAGTGCTTCAGGAAGTGTCGATTGCGGAGGGTCGCCTTCAAATGTCAGTCGAGCTGAACTTTCCCAGTATGTTTCTGGGGTGCCTCAGTGCGCATGTGGAGGGACTTTGCTTATTCACCCCCTTGCTGTGGTTCCTGTATTCGTTAGGACCTAAGAAGAGCCTGCTGGATCAGGCCTATGATCCATCTTGTCTAGCACCCTGTTTTCACAGTGGCCAAGCAGATGTCTCTGCTGGCAAGCCTGCAATCAGGATCTGAGCTCAACAACACTCTTCCTTTCCTATGGCTTCCAGAAACTGGTATTTGGAAGCATTTCTGCCTCCGACTGTGAAGGCGCAGCTTATCAATCATGGCTACTTGCCATCAATAGCCTCCACCCCCTTCCCACTTCCCACTTCCTCAATAGCCTTTCCCCTTATAATTTGGTTGTAATTAATTAATTCACCCTCATTGTAACCTGTCTGCTTTGTGGCAGTCCAAACCACCCCATTCCCATCAATGGTCCCTCTTAAGTTCTCATCCAGCAATGTCTGGGTGGAAATATTAAGGCTGGGGTTCCCTACACGGCTGCATCGTCCCATATCCACTTGTCTGTTGCTTGCTTGGCGTCTGAGAGGAGATGTCCTCCTTCACAGCCCATCAGTGGCAGAGGACAGTGGTGTAGCGTGGGCTGCCAGTGCCCAGGGCTGTGCAGAGGGTGGTGGTGGTGGGAGGGAGGGAAATGGACAGAGTCCACATGTGCATTCAACTATATCACCCACAGAGATAAGAAAAGAAGAACCATTCTGTTATCTGGAGAGGTCGCTTCCTGGTTCACATGGAGAAGCTGTTTTCAGTGGAGCCCAGTGATGGAAGCTCACAGCTGTATTGAGGCAGCACTGTGTGTTCAAATTTTGCACCCCTAACAAATTTTGTGCCTGGGGCAGCTGCCTCTATCACTCCTCCACTCTACGCCACTGGCAGAGGATGTGAGCCAGAGGAGGGAGCTTCTCTGGTCACTCAGCATCCCTCCTGGCTTGCTGTGGTGGCTGGTACCAGGGACGGAGCGACAGGGGTGTGATAGGGGCGCTCTACCCTGGGTGCCACCACTAAGGTGGGTGGCAGGTCCTGGGTGGCACTCACCATGGGGCCTGCAGTGTGCTCGACCCATGCGTCTCTCCTGGGAGTGACGTGGTGGCTTGGGCATGCGCAGGCTCTGCTGCCGAAAAGCTCCGCCTGCTGCCCCCCCAGCTGTAGGGCAGCTAAGGGGGAGGAGGCAGGCAGACTCCTCGGAGCCCTGCAGGTGGCTGGCCCCGCCCCCGTGCTCTGCTGGCCCCGCCCCTGCTGCCCCCACGTGCCCCTGCCCCTGCCCCCCGGGCACCCAGTCGGCTTGCTCCGCCACTGGCTGGTACCCTTTCCGACAAGCAGAGCAGAGGGCAGGGAGAGATCCACAGTATGTGCAGACACGTCTAAAGGCAGGCAGAACTGCAGAGGAGCTTAGAGCAAGTGTTGGGTATGTGCCCAGGGTGTTTATTTGCTCCTCTCAACAGCAGGTAGCCAAGGCAAGCAACTGTCCCTTAATGAGTGCTAATGGGATCAGAGCCTTTGCTACGCAGGGAGCTCACCAGACTCCAGATTATCACGTCATGCGGCTGATCTTTATTAGATTTAATGTAGCAGAGACACCTTGTGTCTCAAGTCCTGCGCCCAGGCGCCACCAGAGCCCCAGATGGGTGCAGCGTTTGCTACCTGAAGCCCAGGTTTGCCCCATCCCATATTAAATGGGGAGATGGTGTGCTCTGGTTTAAAACAAGCAAACAGACAAAGAAACCAGGAAAAATGTCCCCCAACAGGAAAGGACTGAAGATCCTTCTCTTACCACCCAAACCACTTTGCTTCTAAGTCTATCCATAGGTTTTATTTATTTATTCGATTTATATCCCACTTTTTTCTCCAAGGACACAGTTCCAGTGAAGTGGAACTGGTCTGTGACAGTAATAATAAATTCATTCATTCACATTGTTCAACCCTCCTTACTGAATCTCCACAACAACCCTGTGAGGTAGGTTGGGCTGAAAGGCAATGAGTTGCCCAATATCACCTACTGAGCTTCCTGGCTGAGTGGGGATTTGAACCCTGGTCTCCCAGGTCCAAGTCTGACACTCTAGGCACTACACCAAACTGGCTGTATATCCTTTCTGCTCTCTCTCTCCCCCCCTTACATCCTTCTACTCTGGAGCCACCCAAGGAGGTTCAGGGGGGAAAAAGAATAACAATTAAATACAGTTATATCCTGCCATAAAACCAGCTTAAAAATTAACAGTGAAAAGAAAACAGAGATGGCAGATGGCCATTCTCAAACACTGACTCCTTGGCAGTCCTGGGAAAGGGAAGACTTGAGTGTGAACCATAATTGGGGAATAATTTGTGCCCCTTCCTCATTGCCCCTTTTTTTGTAAAAATCAGCCCTCCCACGTTACCCGAAACGAGGCAGGTGCACATTAAAATAATTGGTTCTGTCCTAAACCCATCATGCACTTGCTGGTCATCTTCAACTGTCTGAAGGCTTGTCACACAGAAGATGGAGCAAGCTTGTTTTCTACCTCTCCAGAGGGGAGGAACTGAACCAATGGATTCAAATGGCAAGGAAAGAGATTCCAACTAAATGTTAGGAGAAGCTTTCTGAGGGTAAGAGCCATTTGAGAGTGCCACGGACAACCTCAGGAAGTTCATTGGAAATCATTAAAAGAGAGGTTTGCTGCCTACCTGCCAAGGATCCTTTAGTTGCAATTCCTTCACCCCAAGGACCCTTCGAGGTCCCTTCCAGCTCTATGATTCTGTGATTCTATGGTTCCACCTCCTTTCTTGCCTGCTGCTCCCGTGTCCAGAAATAATATATTGAGAGCCATCGGTGCCACAGCATCGGTAGGCTGTAAAGTAATCTTTTAATGAGAAGAAACTTCAACACTGTGATATCATTTTGAATAATGTTACCGTACGCCACCTCATTTTGTATAAATTGCTCTTTAGTTAAGGCTGCAAATTTGCATGCCGGTGCGACTCTGACTTCCGAGTGTGTTACTCGGAAGTCTATGCCTTTCCCAAATCTTACCTGCTTGGCCCAAATGGGAAAAGCCCAACAGGCCAATGCCTACGTGGCTCTTGCTTTGTAGGAGATTTCTTAAAGCCGGTGAGAGATGTTTTTGTGTGCTGCATTCCTGCAATAGCCCTCTGTTACGGAAAATCTAGGTGCGAGGCTGCTCAGTCACCCAGCTCATCAGGCAGAGCCCTGTGGAATAAAGGAAGGAGTCCAGCCACCAACACTTTGCTGTAGACCAAAGTTTATTGTGCAACAGGTTCAAAGGGGAATTTTGAACACTGAGGATGGGGTGAGAAGGACTTTTAAAAGTTTCTATCTTATCCCAGCATACAGTTCATTAAACATCATCACTACATCATTGCTACATGAGAAAAGGGGAGGGTTATACATTATTAACATAGGAGGAATGTGTTGGGGCAACAGGGTGATATAGGATATGTATTGGGAAATAGATTCTAAGCACCTACTGCAAATGGACAATAAAACTTTGGTTTGCGTAGTCTGCCACCTGGGCAAGTCTGGAGGAGTGCCTTTGCCTAGCGATTGACACCTATGAGTACCTTCCTGTAAGTATGTGACCTCCTGCCTGAGGGATTATGGCGGGGACCAAGTGGTTTCCAAGTCCTTGGCCAATGAAGCAAATTGGTGGTGGAATGCAGGAAACTGGCAAAGGAGCTGATTTTATATGATTTTTAAAGCTAGGTAACTTCCCTGAGCTGTCAAGTCGAAAGGGTACGTTTGTGCACAATATTTGTAACATTTAACAACTTTAAAGATGTGCCCCCCCCCGTAATTTCTGTAACACATCGAAGGAATGGAGCGGATCCCAGGTGAGGAAAGGTGGCAGGATTAGGGACTGTTTAGAGAAAAGGCAAGTAAGTTTATAAAATTATGCGTGGCCTGGGGAAAGTGGATCGAAAGATGTCCCCCCCCCCCAACACTAGAGCTCATGGACATTCAGTGAAGCTGAATGTTGGGAGGTTTGGGACAGACAAACATAGTTTGTTAAACTGTGGAACTCACTCCAACAGGTGGTAGTGATGACCACCAACCGAGATGCATTAGACAAATTCGTTGAGGAGAGGGCTGTTGATGGTTGCTAAGCATGATGACTGTGCTCTGCCTCCACAGTTGGAGGCAGCAATGCTTGTGAATACCAGTTGCTGGAAACAGAACAGGTGTTTGGAGAAGGCTCCTGTGTTCGGGTCCTGCTTGTGGATTTCCCATAGAAGCAACTGGTTGGCCACTGTGAGAACAGGATGCTGGACTAAGATGGGCCAGTGGCATGATCCATCTGGTTCTTCTTATGTTCATATACATAATAATAATGGTGATAATAAGCCGGACCCAAACACAAGAGCAACCTTCCCTTTTGTGGCTTCTGGCAAATGCCATTCAGAAGCATACAGGAACCAGGTCCCCCACTGTTGGGGCAAAAGAACCTCCAGCAATATCTCCCTATATACATAAAAATGTAAGGCTGTCATCACCCAGTCCCCATTGGAGAATTTATAGTGCCGCAGCAGAATCCTGGATTTGTATGAAGCCGTGGCAGAGGAGGGGTTTGAGTGTCACAGGGGCCAACCAGGTGCCCTGTTGGGAAGCCCACAAGAAACACCTATACCATCCAACATTTCTCCAGTGAAAATAGGGATGTCCTATTCTATAATAATAATAATAATAATGTTATTTTTTAAACCCTCCCCATCTGACTGGGTTTCCCCAGCCACTCTTATGTCATTTCTCCTCTGCTTGGCTGTAGTCAGAAGAGTGATGAAGGAATGGGAGGAAGCACAAGGTCTGCATCCTCACTCTGTGTACCTTTGAGTACCAGAAAGAGGGTTTGTTTGTTTGTTTGTTTGTGTGTGTGTGTGTGTGTGTGTTTTGCAGCAGGTGTTTTGCAGCAGTGGCTGTCCACTGTTGGAAACTGGATGCTGTGCTGGAAGGATCTTCTTATCCTTGATTTTGCAGTACACTGTTTGTGCATGTGTGTGCACAAAACAGGGTGCACAACACCCAACCCCTCAATCTGTTTTATCTCGTTAGGACACATCTGTACCGCTTAATCATTTGCATTGCTAAGCAGTGTACATAAAAAAACAGGAACTGGGACGTTAAAACAGCAACAACTATAAAAAACCTATCATAAATCCAAACATAACCTTGGAATGTCTGCTGGAGCAAGAAAGGCTTAGTCATGCGTCTGAAGTTCTGCTATGTTTCAGTTAAAGCTATTCTATTGGTTAACTTAACAAACAAACAAACAAACAAACAAACAAACAAATCAGGATCATAAGAACATAGGATTTAGGGTATTGGAGCACCTTCCCTAAGGCAATGCCACTAAAGTGTTGGGCACTTTTGAGTGAGCATAGGGAAAACTGAGAACAAGTGTGCTCTGCAACAAAATGTTGCAGTGCTTACTCCTCTCTCTGGCTTGTGCTTTTGTTCAGGGTTCTGGCCTGCCAGCTAGCCAGCCAGTCAGCTGTATCCTACAAACTGTCAAGAGACTCAGTCGGGACACTTCTATCTTTCTCTCCCCCCCCCTTTTTTTTGTTTGTTTTACCTTTCCAACTGATATTCAATACTCTGTGACTTCTAAGGACTCTCAATCCTCATAGGGCTGCTTTTTTCGGGGTGGGCTTTTTTCGGGGTGGGCTGTATACCCCCTTAGGCTTCTTATTTATTTTTTGCTGCTTCTGCAAACCTGGGAATATTGAGGTAGACTGCCTCTGAGCACAGACGTTCCATCTAGCTATCATGTCTGGTAGCCATCGTTCAATGTTCTTAAAGCTGCGCTTTAGGGACATGAAGGAAGTCCTGTTGGATTGAACAAAATGTCCCTCTAGTCCAGTGCCAGCTTCCCACAGTGGGCAGCCAAATATCTCTGCAAAGTCCACAAGCAAGCCTCTCCTGTCTCTGCTCCAATGATACGGAGATCTGTTCCTGTTTCAAACATTTCCCCTACTTCAGCTCCTCCCCACTCCTGCTGCACTCCCTCTTTCCCCAAAGTTTTGCGGGGAGGCTGGGCTGTGATGCTCAGGTTTCTACAGAGCAGCTTGTGACTGCTTCTTGCACTCTGAACCCCATCTAGCCACCCCGCCCTGCCAGCTGTCTGTTGGGCTGGCCCGGCCCCTACAGCTCCTTCCCTGATCTTTGGATTCCTGCGGGCGGCTGTGCCAAGCTGCCTGCCAGCCTGCCTCGGAGGTGAGCTTGGAAACCTCGCCCCCATCCAGCTTGTGGTCGAGGGCAGCTTCTCAAGTAGGATGCGGTTTCTCTCCATGGCCAGCCGGACTTGGAAACCTTTGGAGCCGATCTGCTGCCTGCTTTGGCCTCTGTGCTGGGCTTGAAGAGCTGGAACTGATCTCAGGGGGAAAGGGCTCCTTTGGTCCCTCACCCCATCCTCTCTCGGCCTGACATGGTTTGGAGGCAGCAACAGCCTCGCAGCCTCACCTTGTGGACATGCTGAGCCCCAGATGGACCACATGGAATGTCCCCACTCATTTCAGTCCACCCAGGACCTCCCATCTTATCCGCTTCTTCCGTTTCCCTGATGAGCCCCCTGGCAGAGAGCCGCAGAGAGACAGCCAGCCAGCTGTGGCCCCAGGATTTGTTGCCTCTAGGATCAAGATATATAATTCTCAGCTGGCTGATCCTGCAGTTTGTCAAGAAGCGGTGAGGTCTGGAGGAGCCCCAGGCGTCAAGGAGGAAGAGCGCCCCGGCTTGCAAGCACACTCCCTGAAAAGACAGCAATGGGGTCCAACAGAACCTGGGGATGGGCCTGGCACTGGAGAGAAACGGCGGCTGAGTGTGAGTTGTCCTGGGCAGAGAGGAGGGATCTCAAGGGAACAGCTGGGAGTGAGAGAGGAGGATGGGTGGTTCTGAAAGGAACAGGGCAGCTGATTCTCAAGTGGAGGATGTGGAAAGAGAAAAGTTTTCTCTCCCTCTCTCAACACTAGAACTTGTGGGCGTTCGGGTGCAGCCTGATGTTGGGTGCAATTATCTGTATGGTGAAGGAGGCAGGAATTGCTACCAGCTAAGATGGTTTGTTGGGTGGCGCTGTGGGTTAAACCACAGAGCCTAGGGCTTGCCGATCAGAAGGTCGGCAGTTCAAATCCCCGCGACAGGGTGAGCTCCCATTGCTTGGTCCCTGCTCCTGCCAACCTAGCAGTTCGAAAGCACATCAACGTGCAAGTAGATAAATAGGTACTGCTCCGGTGGGAAGGTAAACGGGGTTTCCGTGCGCTGCTCTGGTTTCTCCAGAAGCGGCTTAGTCATACTGGACACATGACCCGGAAGCTGTACGCCAGCTCCCTCAGCCAATAAAGCGAGATGAGCACCGCAACCCCAGAGTCTGTCATGACTGGACCTAATGGCCAGGGGTCCCTTTACCTTTAAGATGGCTTTAAAAGAGGAGTGGACAAATACATGGAGGAGAAGGCTGTCAAAGGCTGTTTGCCAGCTGCTGGAAGCAGCAAGAGGGGAGAGGGTACTCTTGTGCTCGAGTCCTGCTTGCAGGTTCCCCACCTGGTTGGCTGTTGCAAGAAGAAGATGCTAGGCCCAATGAGCCTCCTTTGTCCTGTTCCTGCAGGCTTTTCTTATGTTCTTAGTGGTGCTGGCCGCTCCTCTGATAGGATGGGCAACTGTCAATTTCATATTTCCCATCGTTCATGAATCTTTTTCCTCCTCTTCATGCGCATGCACCTCAAAAATGGATCCTCTCTGCCTATAAAAACAGGAGCTTTTGGGTCTCAGGGTTGCTTTGAAATTGCAAGAGTTAGAAACCATGCACCGAATTTGGGCTCCAGCTGGAGCCAGTCACTAGCCAGTCTACCCTGAGCGCTAGAAATTCAGTCAATACCAGGAATCCACGGTGGCAGGAAGATCTTTGCAAGCTGGCAGGAGTGTGGACCTTTGACCGCCAGTTTCGATTATTTCTTGCTATTCGGGGAAACAAGGGGGAAAACCAGGTTGACTTACCTGGCCTCTTCTTCTCCACTTTGTTATATAATGGCCTTGGGCAGCAGCCAGTTTCTGGGGCGGTGGGGGGAGCGAAGGAGATCCTTCCTCTTTCCTCTTATCCTGGGTGGACTAATTTGTTCTTTGCGCTTTCAGTTTCTTTAAGGGTAAACATGCAGAGCATTCAAACTTTGTACTGTATGTGTGTAAGCTTCATATGAAATGTGTATATTCTCTGCACATAATACTTATATGCACGCTTCATTGTAATCCTTGCAACAACCCTGTAAGGCTTTTCATTATTTTCTTTATCATTAAAGTTTATCTCCTTTCGGGATAAAGATTAACAACTTAATACAGTCACACCTCAGGTTACAGATGCTTCGGTTGTGTGTTTTTGGGTTGCGCACCGCGCCGAACCCAGAAGTACAGGAACGAGTTACGTCCAGGTTTCGGCACTCGCATATGCACAGAAGCGCTAAATCACGCTTTGCGCATGTGCAGAAGCACCGAATTGCGACCTGTGCGTGCGCAGACGCAGCGCTACAGGTTGCGAATGCTGCAGGTTGCAAATGTGCCTTCTACATGGATCACCTTTGCAACCTGAGCATCCACTGTAATAAAACAATATGTGAAATTGTCATCCCAAAACGACTTAGCCAAATTCATGGAGGAGAAGAGCTATGCTACCACCCACAAGGGCTATGCTCTGCCTCCACAGTCAGAGACAGTAGTGCTTCTGAATGCAAGTTGCTGGAGACTGCTAGAATAGCATGAGACACTTAATCTCAGGATCATGGGTTCAAGCCCCACATTGGGGGAAAGAAGGAGGAGGAGGATAATAATAATAATAATAATAATAATAATAATAATAATTTTATTTATACCCCACCCATCTGGCTGGGTTTCTCCAGCCACTCTGGGTGGTTATTCTTGCACTGCAGGGGGTTGAACTAGATGACCCCCAGGGTCCCTTCCAACTCAACAATTCTATGATTCTGTGAAGCCACAGAAGGAATCCAGCTCTTCTGCCTGCTTATGGCGTTCCCAGAAGAGGGATCTGGTTGGCTGTTGTGAGTACAGGACACCTTTCACCCGATCCAGCAAGCTCTCCTTATGTCCCTAAGCTGAGTTGCTTTTGTAAAAGAAAGAAAAGTGGTTAATAATAAACTTAACTAAGAATAATAATGGGGCAGCCATGCCTGTTAGTTTCAGTGGGTCTGCTCTGAGTATAATTCACATGGGATTGAACCGCCTGTCGTGCATCTCTTGAATGCGCTCAAAGCATCCGGACCCCGTGTTTGCCTTTGCGTCCAAACTGCTCTGCTTTTCAGCACTGGAGGCGGCTTCACAGGGGAAGGGGGTCCCCGTTTGGGGAAAACAGCCCTCCCACCCCCACAGGGCCTGGAACAAAGAGAGGAGAGGGGCTGTGGGGGGACCGGCTGGGAAAGGCCTCCAGCCTTTGAGGTGCATTGTCTCCCTGTCAGCTGCCCGGCTCAGCTGGCCCTGAGGGCAGGCACCCTGTCACCCGGGGTGAGCTGCATCGCGCAGTAAGGTGACCTTGGGGATCCAGTTGTTTGTCCCAGCTGCTCCGTGGGCCCGGAGGAGGGAGAGTGTGCTGGAGCCTCTCTCCTCCTCCTCCTCCCCATTGAGGCACTGGGGGGTGGGCAATGGTGCCATCCCCTACAGGTCTGCAGAACTGCTGCTGCAAAGGCTGCAGTAGCTTGCAGATGAGCAGTGTTGGGTCTCTGCCTGCTGGACGCCTTTGAGCTGCAAGGCCCTGATCCTGGAAGCTGCTGCTGCACCCTTGGGGTAAGGCTTGGCATTCTCTCTCTCTCTTCCCACCCCCACTGCAACCCCTGGGGCAATGCTTCTCCCTGCACCCAAATTGGCCCGATCCATTTGCATATTTCAGGGGAGGAATGAGGATGGAGGCAGAGAGACCTTCCTAGAGACAGGTGAGGCAGGAAACTTGGGGATGGAGGTGTCTGGTGTGACACCCCGTGTTCATGGGGGCTCTTCCTGGGGAGTCTCAGCTGGTGCTCTTGTGGCTAAGTTCTCGGTGGCGAAGGGGAAGAGCTTTACTGGAAGGTTTTTCCTCAAGGTGCTCTGGTTTTCAATCTGGTTGTTTTGAGGTTTTGCTGCATTCGTCTCTGCTGAGGGGCCTGCCTCAGCAGCTGCCTTCTCTGCTCTCGGCATTTTGCCGCTCTGTTGCTTTGATTGCCACACATCGATGTTTCTCCCGCCTGATGTCAGCGGCAGCCCAATAAATGTGACCAAATAAATGTGGCGCTCTTCAAGATGCCACGCGACTCAGTCAACGGTCTTTGCCTCCATTGGGGTTTGTTTCCTGTTCTATTGATTTTGTTGCAAAATCAATACAGCACACTTTTCTTTGGATGCCACAGGACTATGTTTAACATTTCAAATGAAAGATCTGGCATTAGCATATGCGATGCTTACACGTTGTCCAAAAAGATGGTACCTATTTGCATCACGTTTGGTGTATGCTAGTACAGTTGTTCCGAAAGTGGGTGGTACCACCCCCTGGGGGGCACCTACAGGTAAAGGTAAAGGGATCCCTGATGGTTAGGTCCAGTTGCGGACGACTCTGGGGTTGCGCTCATCTCGCTTTACTGGCCGAGGAAGCTGGCGTACAGCTTCCGGGTCATGTGGCCAGCATGACTAAGCTGCTTCTGGCAAACCAGAACAGCGCACGGAAACGCCATTTACCTTCCCGCTGGAGTGGTACCTATTTATCTACTTGCACTTTGATGTGCTTTCGAACTGCTAGGTTGGCAGGAGCAGGGACCGAGCAATGGGAGCTCACCCTGTTGTGGGGATTTGAACCTCGACCTTCTGATCGGCAAGTCCTAGGCTCTGTGGTTTAGACCACAGCACCACCCGCATCCCTTCTGGGGGGCACCTAGGGGGCACCAAAAGGCAAGGGGGCAGCGGGGGGGGCACTGGAGGTGTAAATGACCATCAGACTTTGAAAAGTGGGACTCACTGGATCAAGTTCATCAGTCTTGTAGAATTAATTAAACTAAGCAGTTTTAATGGGATTTTGAATAAACGTGCAGTTGCTGCTGCTTTGCGTTTTATTATTATCTTCCTTCTGCAATGATTCCTATGCATTATTCAGAATGCAAACTGCCATTCTGAAAAATGCTTCTTATAGGGTAGATGTAAATGCATAGGTACGTATAGATTCAAATTTAGAAATGGTTACTGTGATTTAAATAGAAGAGCAATCCATCTCACTCTCAGAAGGAAGATGATAACCGTGTGCCTCGGTTATCCATGCCCTTGTGACATCCAGGCTGGATTACTGTAGTGCGCTCTGCTTGGGGCTGCCTTTGAAGACGACTCAGAAACATCAATCGGAGCAGAATGTGGCTGCCGAGTAACTGGTTGAGCCCAGCTGGTTGAATCTAAGCGGGACTATTCCAATTGCACTGGACCCAATTTACAGTGCTGGTGATGACCTATCATGCGGGGTAGGGAACTGAGTTACTTGAACCTCTGCTTGCACATACAACCTGCCTGCAGCTTCCGATCTTTTCCACAGATGATGCTTAGATACCCATCTGAAAAGGCAGTTAGGTTGAAAGGCACAGGAAACAGGGCCTTCACAGTGGTGACCCCCTTTCTGTGGAATTCGGTCCCATAAAACATCAGGAAGGCCCCCCTCCCTAGTTCTTTAAAAATGGGAAACTTAATCCTAACTTTTTCAGTGGCTAATCATGAGCAGTGGAAACAGGGTAGAGAATTCCTTCTGATATAATCTGCTGGTTAATTGCATGATTTGTGCTGGTGTGGTGATTTATGAAATGGATGCTTTTAGCAGGCAACAAATATCGTTTTGCTGCTGCTGCTGCTGCTGCTGCTGCTTCGGCAGTTATTTTGTAACCAGTTTTGCGACAGATTCTCCTTACGAAGGGGGCCCTAAGATACAAAAAAAGCAAACCAAAAAAATTGCCTTGGAGTGAAGTGATTGGAGGGGGGAGAGAAAGTGGGATCGTTCGCAGCTTGGAAAGCGGCAAATCCACTTCTGGCTCTCCTATAAAGAAAATGTCTGCCTGGTTCCACCTGGAGGGAACATTTGTACCATCTCAAAAATCCTGCGGGAACTAGCCTCCTCACCAGAGATATTTTATCCTGTGCCATCCTCCAAGCCAAGAGGCTTGTGTGTGATGGAGAAGAGGAGAAACGTTCAGAACTGGCCGATCTCTGGAGGGGAGGGGGAGAGTAGGGAGAGGCGCCGAGGGAGCCCAGGAATGTCCTATCTCCAGGGTGCCCGGCAAGCTCCTCTCAGCGATGCAATTAATGCGAAGGCAGGCGGCAAACAGAGTGTTGATTCAAGGCGAGCAGCCTTCTCCTCGCCTCCCTGCTCACCAGCCAGCTGGAGGGAGCCAGGCTCTTGGCCCTTCCTTGTCTGCCTTTGTGCTTTCGTTCCTTGGGATTCTTCCCAGGGCAGAGAGCAAGAGGCTTTGGCTATAAGGTGAGTCTGACAGACACAAGGATCCTTTTCTGCTCTGGCGGCAGGGGGAAAGGTTTTGGGGCGGCAGCCTGGCACTCCTGCAGATGGTTTGGCCCTTGCAGGATTGTGGGTTTAAGTCCTATTCTCCTACTGCCCAGGGGAGAGCCAGAGTCTGGACCTTAGGACATTTTTGGGGGGGAGGGAGGAAACCGCTTGCGTATTTGCACAAAACGCAAATTTCGGTCATTCGGTTCCCAATCCCTGGAAAAGATAATACTTATTATTCTTGTTGGGAAGTAGTAATGTTCTGTTTAAGATTTGGTTTTATTGAGGTTTTAAGCAGAGGTTGGGTGGTCGTCTGTCAGGGATTCTGACAGACCGTGATCCCTGCATTGCACAGAGTTGGGCTGGAAAACCATTCCAACTGTACAATTTTGTGATTTATAATTACCAGGATCTTGTCCTTCAGGTCTTATGGTATTCTCATCTGAAACTTGAAACGTCAGTAAGAATTCCAAATAGTAGCAAATTTCACAGCAGGCTTTTGAACAGGACAGACCCTCCAAGTGCCCCTATTTTCCAGGGACCGTCCTGGATTTACAGAAGCTGTCCCAGTTTTTGATTTGATCCTGGAATGTCTCACTTTTCCTTAGGATGTCCCTATTTTCATCAGAGAAGTGTTGGAGGGTATGGGGTTATGCGACCCCTGAGCCAAGGAGATAAGTAACTATGCTACCTTTAGAAGACATCTGAAGGCAGCCCTGTATAGGGAACTTTTTTTTAATGTTTAATGATTTACAATGTTTTTATATATGTTGGAAGCCTCCTAGAGTGGCTGGGGTCTGGAGTTATGCAACCAATGAGCCAAGGATACAACCTTTAAAAGACAGCCCTGCAAGGAAAGTTGCCCAGAGTGGCTGGGTGGGGTAATAATAATAATAATAATAATAATTGTTGTTGCTGCTATGGAATAGGATGTCCCTATTTTCATTGGAAAAATATTGGAGTGTATGTGGTTATAATTATTTGTATATAAAACAAACCTTTGCCATGTAGCTGAAAATGAATATTTTTGTTTTTGTTTTGGTCTGTCCCCTAGTTTACCTTAATTCTGAACTAATTTTTCAATATATATAAAATTTCGGGTGGTTCTTTAGATGCGGCAACCATGACTGGTGTATTTGTTTCAGCTCAGGGAGTTCAGCCTTCTGTCTTCCCGACAGCTTTTGCCGCTCATTGGCCAGCTTAGATATGAAAGCCAGGCCAGAATCTCTATGGGTCAAAGAAGGATCCCTATGGGCTGACAGCCCAACTCGGATTACCGTCCTAGTAGCCAATCCGCTGCCTCCACTATATCTGAAGGAAGAAGAGATAGAATCATAGAACTGTAGAGGGGACACCAAGGCTGATCTAGTGCACTGCAGAAATCTCAAACACCTTTAAAAGGAGATGTTAAATGAATAGAGATCTAGAGATGATCTCAGCTGCTCCAGATCCTGGCCTGGGGGCGCTGCAGAGCACCTGTGGCTGGGTAGAGGGCATGCTGGGTGATTGCGCAGGTCCTTATCAGGCTTAGAATAGCATGGAGATGAGACAAGAGGCTTTGGGATTTGTGCTTCTTTGCCCGGGTCACGAAAAGGCAGCTGGCCATTAGCTTGCGCACCAAGAACCGGGCAAGATGTTTCTCTGCACTCTCCTCCAGCTCTCTTTTCTCCTCAAGGTATGGGCGGCTACCGTGCCCCTGTGGGTTCTGGAGACAGGCTCCCTCGTCCCCAGGGTGCTCTCTGCCTCTCCTGACAACCCAGAGGCCTTCTTTTCGGCGGCAGCCATGCTTCTGAACAGGGTGGATTTGATTTAAATCACTAGTCAGTAAGACTTGATTTAAATCACTAGTCAGTAAGACTTTATTTAAATCATTTTTATTTTATTTTTTACAGAAAGGCTCATTCTTGCTGGTATAATCTTAATATTTACAACCAGATAAAGGTTTCATTTTTGGAATAATAAATTTTCAGAGTAGTTTTTACAGTTATATCAAAAATTACTGATTTGGTTATGCTATTAGAAATACATTGACAGATAATTCTGAAATTTTCTGCTGTACTTTATTGGAAGGAGAAAAACAATCACTTCCTTAATAACAATTTAAACAATTTATTTAACTAAAACAATAACATTATAGCATATGTATCCATGTTTGTTAACTGATGTGGTTAAACAATTTTTTATTTTTAAAAAAACTTAGACTGAGTTTTAGCACACATGAAAAAACTTAAAACAAATCCTTATTTCCTGATGTATAGCCTTTGGACTATAATGTCACTTAGAAAACTATCTTTAGAAAGATTTTTCCTCCAAAAGCATTTTATTTTATAAATCCAATTTAAATAATAATAAAATAACCGATTTAAATTTTTAAAAATCATTGATTTTTATCCACCCTGCTTCTGAATACCAGTTGTGGGAAACTGAAGGAGGCAAGAATTTCTCATGTCCTGCTTCCTTCTTTCCCTTGCGGTTGGCCAGTGTGAGAACAAGACTCTGGGCTCCCTTTGGCCTGTTCCGGCATTCTAATCTTATGTTCTCCATCCCTCTCACTTCTCTCTCCTTTCCCTGTTTGCCCCTCGCAGGCCCCCGGAAGACAAAGGAAGAACATGAACGAGTTTTTGGGGGACGCCAGCATCCCGAGCCACGACCCCCTGCAGCCCTCCAGCGCCTCCTTGCCCAGCAATGGCATCGACACGTGGAAGAACCGGGCTGCCAGCCGCTTCAGCGGGTTCTTTGGTTCCGGCAACAGCGCCAGCCCCTTCACGCGGGTACGTTGCCAGTGCCCACCACTGCCGCCCGTGGGTTCCTGCAGGCCCTTTTCTTTTGCAGGTGTTTGCAGCTGGGAAGGGTGTCCTGGAGAGGTAGGGAGTCCCCGCTCCTTGCAAAATCAAGTGGCATCAGATCACGAGGAAGGGTAGCCAGAGACCAAGGTAGAGACGCATTCTTAGAGGAGGCCATTCATGATGGAACTTTCATGTCCAGAGGCAGTTTGCAGCAGCAGCGGGTGGTTCTTGTTGTCTTACTCTGCTTGTGGGCTTTGGGGGAATGGAGCTCAGTGGGTAGAGCAGGGGTCAGCAAACTTTTTCAGCAGGGGGCCGGTCCACTGTCCCTCATACCTTGTGGGGGGCTGGACTATTTTTTTTGGGGGGGGGGGGGTTAAATGAACGAATTCCTATGCCCCACAAATAACCCAGAGATGCATTTTAAATAAAAGCACACATTCTACCCATGTAAAAACATGCTGATTCCCGGACCGTCCGCAGGCTGGATTTAGAAGGCGATTGGGCTGGATCCGGCCCCCGGGCTGCCTACCCATTGGGTAGAGCAATCTGCTTTGCATCTGGCATCTCCAGGTAGGCCTGAGACCCTGGAGAGCTATTGCCAGCCAGTGTTGACAATACTGAGGTAGATGGACAAATGTCCTGACTAAGCAGAAGGCAGTTTCCTAGGTTCCTATCTGGTTTTCCACTATGGGAGGCAGAATGTCTGAGCACAGGCAGTTGTGGCTCATCTCTTTTGGGGCCGGTTCACCCTTGACCATCCCTCTGGTGTGTGAGGAGGGAGCATGTCGGGGTGGGTGTGGCCTCCTCAAGTCTTGCATGCACACATTTATAGGATGTGCGCGCACACAAAAGCAGACAGTGACACTCTCGCAAGCACACAACCCCCCCCCTTTCATTGGCTGATCCATGCAGATCAACTAAGGAGGGCAGTTCTTGCCCCCTCAGCGGTTTGTTAGGATGGCCAGTGAAGGTTGCTCTCTGAAAGACATGGCACAAAAGGAAAAGGGCTTGGGAGGGAGGAGGAAAGAAATAAACTCAAGGCCCATCCATACCTAACCTTTCACTTTCTAGGTGCATGTCCATGCTTTCCTGCTCCGTGTCTGAGCACGTTTTCCCCACCCATGAAAACCCACTCTTTTGCGCTGAATTGGAGAAAACAGCCATTTTTGTTCCCCTCAGATTGCTGTTTGCTCTGATTCAGCAGCAAAGAGCAGATTTTTGAGGGGAAAGCGGCAAGGCAAAAATAAAAAGCTGTCGGGCACAGTCCCAGAAAGCCCGGACCAGTGCCTAGAAATGTGGAGCAAAGGTAATTGTGAATGAATCTTCAGGCACTAGTTACCAAGTTCAGTAGGTCATGGAACTGGGTCTAAGCGCAAGGAAAGAACTGTAGCTTCCTTGCCTTCCGGTGGCCTCAGTTACGGCAGCTGGCAGTGGGAGGGAGGCCTGTTATCCGTGATATCAGGGGGTCATGTGCTACTAAATACTCTTTTCCGGGAAGCGTCGGTGGGAGCAGGCTGGTTCCTTCATGCCCTGTTTTGGGAAATCAGAGGCAGGGGACAGAATAGCTCAGCATTAGATGAAGAAGTCTTCAAGATTCTATCCTGGCATCGCCAGACAGTTTTGGGAAAGACTATTGCCTGAATCCTTGGAGAACCACAGCCAGTCATTGTAGACAATACTAAGCTAGATTATTATTATTATTATTAACAATTATTTAAATTTATTCAGTTATTTTACAAAAAGAAACTCAAAACGACGCTGTAATAAACAAACCCATGGGTTTAAAACCAGTAGGAGAGAAAACTCTAGAAGGCAATCCTGTTTTTAATAGGCAGGATTGAAACATCCCAACTACTCAAGATTAATTAATAGCTAAAGGCCTGAAGAAGAACAGATGGTTTGCCTGATGCCTAATGATATTTTATTATTATTATAAATTACATTTATATACAACTTTTCATTTGAAGATCACAGAGCGGTTTGCAGCATAAAAACACAAAATGAAAGCACAAAATACACATGACTGTAACAAAAACCAACAACCCCTGCCCACAAACATATTTGAAAGGCAATAGATTGCTTAATCAGCCAAAGGCCTGCTTATAGCGTTACTACGTAACACAAATGAGAGACAAATACACTAAACACTAAACAGGCACCCGGTGAGTCTCCTTGGGGAGAGCATTCCACACGCAGGGAGCCACCACTGAAAAGGCCTGTTCTTGTGTTGCCACTCTCCAGACCTCCTGTGAGGCGGCACATGGAGAAGGGCCTCAGGTGACGTTTGCAAGGCCTGGGTCGGTTCATATGGAGAGCATGGACCAGTAGTAGCCTGGTTTTTTTCGGGGGGGGGGCGGCGGGTAGAATCCTATACTATTTTGGTCTGGTCCAAGAAGGCTTCTTTTAGGTCTTTGTCCATCCATGATACCCACCCCAGGGAACCAGCTGCCAAAGGACAGGAAGCTAGGAGAGGATGTTCCCTTCATTCATTCAGCGGGCCGTTATGGGAAACAGGATTCGAACCCCCGTCTCACGGGCCTTCTTTCCCCCTCCCCACGTGGTCCCGCACAACACCCCTGTGAGGGAGGCCAGGTTGAGAGGCAGTGGCTGGCCCCAGGTGAGCTTCATGACTCAGCGGGGATTCGAACCTTGGTCTCTCCCAGGTCCTAGTCCGGCACTCCAACCAGGGCACCACCCCTGGCACTGCGCAGCAGCACCCCCAGACTTCCTTTTTCAGCCCTCCTTTCTGTGCCCCTCCAGGAGATGGACAAGATGGAGCAGCTGGAAAGCCGGCTCCACTCCTACAGCCACTTCGGCCTCCCCAAGTTCCCCCAGCAGCTCCGCTTCGATCAGGATTCCTGGGAAGAGGAGGAAGAGGATGACGATGCTACCCTGTGCCTGGAGGACAGCTGGCAGGAGATCATTGAGGGCACAGAGGTGAGGTGGGAGCAGGGCCCCTTTGCCGTCCAGCTGGCGCGTCGGAATTCCAGTTCTGAAAGCCACCCTGAAGGGAGAGAGCTGCTCTTGTGCTTGGGTCAAGCTTGCGAGTTTCCCCTTGGGGGTATGTGGTTGGCCATGGTGAGAGCAGGATAATAATAATAATAATAATAATAATAATAATAATAATAATAATAATATATTTATACCCCTCCCATCTGGCTGGGCTTCCCCAGCCACTCTGGGCGGCTTCCCAAAAAATATTAAAATACTGTAATGGATCAAACATTAAAAGCTTCCCTAAACAGGGCTGCCTTCAGATGTCTTCTAAAAGTCTGGTAGTTGTTGTTCTCTTTGACATCTGGTGGGAGGGCGTTCCACAGGGCGGGCGCCACTACTGAAGGCCCTCTGCCTGGTTCCCTGTAACTTGGCTTCTCGCAGTGAGGGAACCGCCAGAAGGCCCTCAGAGATGGACCTCAGTCTCCTGGCAGAACGATGAGGGTGGAGACGCTCCTTCAGGTATACTGGACCGAGGCCGTTTAGGGCTTTAAAGGTCAGCACCAACACTTTGAATTGTGCTGGGCTAGATGAGCCATTGACCTGATCCAGCAGACAACTCTTCTTACACTTTTACGGAGAAGGCTGGCTGCTGTGATCTTGACCTAGCTGGGCTCAATTCTCCAATAAAGCTTTAACCTGAACCCCCTACCCCAGTGAAGGTATCTGGCAGCTGATTTAAGACAGACAAAAGGGAAGTCCTTTCTCCCCCCGCACAATTAACTTTGTGGAAATCTGCATCCCTGGATGAGGGGCAGGCTGATGCTAATTTAGATGGCTTTGATTTATTCAAAGGGATTGGACAGATTCAGGGTAAGTTCTGCGAGTGGAACCTCCACTTTTAGGAATAGTATACCAGTATGCTGGGGTCAACCAACAGGGCAGGGGTTTGCTTTCAATAATAATAATAATTTTATTATTCATACCCCACCATATCTAAAAACATAATGGCATATCTAAAAACATAATAAAAACATCAATCATTGAAAGCCTCCTGATACTGGGCTGCCTTCAGATGTTTTCTAAATGTCAGGTAGTTATGTCTTTGACATCTGATGGGAGGGCGTTCCACAGGGAGGGTGCCACTACTGAGAAGGCCCTCTGCCTGCTTCCCTGTAGCTTCGCTTGTCACAGTGAGGGAACCACCAGAAGGCCCTCGGCGCTGGACCTCAGTGTCTGGGCTGGATGATGGGGGTGGAGACGCTCCTTCAGATATACAGGGCCGAGGCCGTTTAGGGCTTTAAAGGTCAGCGCCAACACTTTGAATTGTGCCCGGAAACGTACTGGGAGCCCTGCTTGTGGGCTCCCCAGAAGTTTCGAGCCTGCCAACTTGCTGCGCTACTGACTCTTTGGAGGAAGCAGGGCTGTTGGCTGATGGGCGGTCTCTTTGAGCCTCACTTGGCCTTGGTTTTCCTTTGGTATCAGGTGATTGACAGGTGGCTGGGGCCCCACCCACTCGTCAGAGCGGTCCTCTGAGGGTGGGGAAACCCAGGATGTGGCTGGCTGGGTCCAGTTCCCCACCCCTGGGGGGAATGGATTCAGAAGGGGGCTTGTCATATTCTTAGGAAAGTAATGGTAAAAAGAAAAAGCCCCTAACCCTGCCTCTGACTCTTAACCTTCCTAGGTTTTGACACGCCGGCAATGCCACCAGCAGGAAGCTATTTGGGAACTACTGCACACAGAAGCCTCCTACATCAGGAAGCTGAAGGTCATCACCGATGTAAGTGTCTTAGATGAAGGGATGTGTTTAATAATAATAATAATAATTTTATTTATCATTTATATCCCGCCCATCTGGCTGGGTTTGAGGACACAGGTCTTGAAGCATATTCATTAATTCATTCGTAAAAAATATTTAAATACTGCTCTTCATACACACACACACACACACACACACACACACACACACCAGTGTGGTTTATAAAAATACAGGTAGCCCCCTGTCTAAGCATGTTCAATATGTGTGCGACTGTGTACAACCACATCGTGCCGAACCCGGAAGTGACCCGGAAACATCATAAAGATGCCACTGAAACGTCACTAAAGGGCAGAATGGGGTGGGGGGTGGGGATGGGGCAGATTGGGGTGTTTGCAGGCTTTTTCAGTGAGTTTCAATTATACACCATGCGTGCGGTGTCTCAGAACGTAACTCCTGCATAAAACCATACAATGCAAACTATATATAAAAAAGTTTAAACCAGAAATGTAGTACCTTTTGTGGAGCAATGTGCTCTCAATTGCCTTTATAGATGCCTGATGGAATAGAAAAGTTTTCAGCAGGTGTTTAAAAGTTGACAGACAAGGTGCCTGCTGAAACTGTAGTGGCAGGGAGTTCCACAGAACAGGGTTAATGACACTGAAGACTCCGTTCCTTGTTTTTGTCAAATGAGCCACACCTGCTCGGGGAACAACCAACGATGCTCCTGCAGAGGATCTTGGTGGCCCAGCTGAAATATAAGGGTTCAGGCGTTCCCTGGGGTACCCTGGGGCTGAAGCTGTTCAGGGCTTTGTCAATTAATACAAGGACCTTGAACCAGGCTGCATAGTAGATGGGCAGGCAGGGCTGGTGCTTTAACAAAGGCATCACATGTTCTCAGCCAGATGCCACCATCAGCAATCTGGCCACTGCATTCTGCACCAGCTGGAGTTCTCAAACCAAGAGCAAGAGCAGCCCCACAAAGAGTGCATTGCAGTAATCCAGCCTTGAGGTTGCCAGTGCATGAAATACAGTGGTCATTCTATCCCTGCCCCGGAAGCATCCCTTTCCCTTCGCTTAAAGCAGTGTCAGGTCCAAAGCCCTGGATCATGACCAACATCACCTTTGTTTGCTGGCTCTCTAACCAAACGGCGACCCCCACAACCGAGCCCCATTGCAATAGCTCATTTCTCTCTTTTTCTCTTTCCTCCTCAGCTGTTCCTGTGTTGCCTGTTGAACTTGCAGGAATCGGGGCTGCTTTGTGAGGTAAGCTAGCATCCTCTCCCTTTGAACATGGCTGTTGCCCCAGAAATGTCAGATGTCACCCTCCAGAGCCAAACCTCACTTTCCTGTGCCAGCAATGGTCTGCCTCCTGCTTCTGGTGGCTTTGTAGCGAAACGCCGTCTCTGAAGCACCCTCCCCTCTGCCCCGCTGGTCTCTTATCTGCTCTGAGGAAGTGGCCCAGTTTTTCTCTCTCTCCGCCCCCCACCCCCATTTCTGACAAGAAACCGTCTTGCGATCTTTCACTGTTTGGAGAAATACCTTAACCACACGGCACTCTGGCAGGCTTGTGGCACACAGAAGCTATTTAAAGAGATGAAAGAGATATACCCAAGGCAACTCTTGCATCATGCAAATGCTTCTCTTGGGTCCCAGCGGTGTGTTGATCAGGTTTTCCCAACGAAAATGCACTCAACCTGTTCGATCGAGAAGGAACGCTGGATAAATGTAGTTGCATCAGGCTGCAGAGCAGAGCTGGGGAAAGGAAGACGGGTCCATCCTTTAGGTGCCTTTAGGATTCCCCTAAGGTAAACGGCGTTTCCGTGCACTGCTCTGGTTCTCCAGAAGCAGCTTAGTCATGCTGGCCACATGACCCGGAAGCTGTACGCCGTCTCCCTCGGCCAGTAAAGCGAGATGAGCGCTGCAACCCCGGAGTCAGCCACGATTGGACCTAATGGTCAGGGGTCCCTTTACCTTTACCTTTTTATGCTGGAAGTATTTCCATCCAAGCTATCACTTTAAGAACTGTCGCCTGAGTTTTCAACAGTTGGGATGACTTTGATTGATTGCATTTCTATCAGGTCTTCTTTCCTCTAAGGCAGCCATAGGCAACCTCGGCCCTCCAGATGTTTTGGGACTACAATTCCCATCATCCCTGACCACTGGTCCTGTTAGCTAGGGATCATGGGAGTTGTAGTCCCAAAACATCTGGAGGGCTGAGTTTGCCTATGCCTGCTCTAAGGAGTTCAAAGTGGCATACTTGGTTCTACCCCCTTCTTCATTTATTCACCACAACAACCCTGTGAGGTAGGTTAGGTTGATAGTCACTGACAGGCCTTAGGTCACCCAGTGCGGTTTGGGACTCAGCACAGTGGGGGAATTTGAACCCTGGTCTCTCCTGGGTCCTGCTCTAACCGCCACACCACACTGCCACCTCTTGTGTTGTGGAATAACAGAATCATAGAATTGTTGAGTTGGAAGGGTATCCCAGAGGTCATCTAGTCCAACCTCCCGCAATGCAGGAATCTCACCTAAAGCATCCATGACAGATGGCCATCCAACCTCTGCTTAAAAACCTCCAAGGAAGGAGAGTCCTCCCGAAGGAGACCATTGCACTGCCGAACAGCTCTTACCGTCCGAAAGCTGAAATAATCTGGTGAAGTAGAATGGAAGGAGATTTGGGACAGATGAGAGGCACTGTAGACTTTCATGCCCTTTGCAGTTTCTTTGTGGGACACCACGTGTTGGAAGCTGCTGGAGTGGGTGGCTTTGAAAGGGGATCGGCCAAATTCATGGTGGAGCCTGGGTGCTGGGTGTGTGTGTGCATCTCTCGATGGCTCCTGCCATGGTGCCTGTGTGGCCCCTCTGTTCAGAGAGAGCACTGTGCACTGAATGACAGTAGCAAGCGAGAGTCTGACCCAGGGGGGCTCTTCTTGGAAGGTGACTCGAGTGCAGGGCCGGATTTAGGTCTGATGAGGCCCTAAGCTACTGAAGGGAATGGGGCCCTCTAAAGGTCCAGCTGTCCTTTGTCAGAAACAATTTGTCGCTGTTTTTCATGTTGAATATATGCTATATGGTAATTCAGGGACCTAATAGGTATCTAAAGCCATTTGCACAAGTTGCCATGCAACCAGTCCATGCAGAATGTAGGCACCCTCTATATAGAAATGAGCAAACCAGTGATATTTTAGGGAGCAGCCTAGCAGGCGGGGTCCATTACATACATCATAGGAGCCTACACAACACAAAACACTGTTGCTGTATGTAGGTTTTATTTTATTTGTTTTTTATCTTATATTTTGGATTTTTTCCCCCTTTAGATTTTTTTGGGGGGTCCCCAAGAAAGTGGGGCCCTAAGCTATAGCTAGTTTAGCTTATGCATAAATCTGGCACTGCTGAAAGTGTAAGAAGGGTCACAGAGTCTGCTTTTCCCCACTCTGCAGGTGGAAGCTGAGCGTCTTTTCAGCAACATCCAGGAAATCATCCAACTGCACCGTGCTCTTTGGAGAAGCGTCATGGCTCCTGTTTTGGACAAGGCCAGGACCAGCCGGGCTCTGCTAGACCCCACGGACTTCTTCAAGGGCTTCAAGATGGTAGGTGTGCATGCAGTGAGTGTGCCTACATGCGGGTGGAGCCAGGAGAGGATGGTGCTTTGTTCCTGAGCAACAGCGGGAGACCATTCCAGTGTCCCAGAACTGCAGCAGCAGAGGAGCGCGAAAGGCCTCCTACCCCAGCTCTGAAGCATGTTCTGTTTTATTATACCAACATGTTGTAATGAAGGTTGAAATCTGGCTGTTGAAGGTGCCACAAGTGAGGCAAGTCACCTGGCAGGGGGCACTGGGTGGCCGAGAAAGAGGGCCGGGAAATCTGGTGTTAGCTTGGTTTTGATCCAATAGTTGGACCCAAACCAGAGTGAGCAGCTTTTCCGGGACCAAATGCAACCCAGCAGACTCCTCATAAAAGGTGGTCTCTGCTGAGCTGGTAGCTGCAGTACCATCTCTGGCCATCAACAGGGGTGGTGCTGGAGAGCAGAATGGAAAAGGGAGTCTAGCTCCCAGAATCTGCGCTTTGGGACCACTGCGCAGGGCCAGTTGGGTTGCTCAGGTGGCCCTTGCTTTCCTCCACTGCTGCTGCCTCCCTGCACCCGTGTCTTTAGTCTGATCCTTTCCCCTTGCAGTTTGGCTCCCACTTCAAGCCTTACATCCGCTACTGCATGGAGGAGGAAGGCTGCATGGAGTACATGAGGAACTTGTTGCGGGACAACGAACTCTTTCGCATCTACGTCACGGTAAGAAGGCTGTGACCATCCTATGAATCCCACACCTGCCTCTGTCCTCAATATTGAGTCCTACATTCAGAAAAGCTGCAGGCACCCATCACCAGCAAGTCAAATGCTGGCTAGACAGAGGTGCCAATGCCCAATGCTCACCTCTCCTAGTCATGCAGGGCTGTTTAAGCCCCACACTTTAGGAGTGCTATGTGGTTAGCTCAGTTGGTTAGAGCATGGTGCTGAAAGCACCAAGGTTGTGGGTTTGATCCCCGTACGGGCCAGCTGTATCTTCCTGCACTGCGGGGAGTTGGACAAAATGACCCTGGTGGTCCCTGCCAATGATACAATTCTATAATTAATCCTCTATTATTATTGCTCAGCTAAAAGAGGGGAACAATCTTAAAAGCAGTTTCAAAATGGCTCCGGAGGTTCTGGGGAAGCGGTGAGTTGGTAATGGCAGAGGTACTAGCCAATAGGTACCTTTGCTTTTCCTCGATTGGTCCAAACCAGGCAGACAGTCTGCAGAGCAGACTGTTGCTGTTTTTACAGAGTTTTGTCTGGAGGCCGAGTCAGAACTATTGAAAATAGAATAGGCCATTCTTTAGAATATGAGTCTGTCTTTCACCTAGGGCTCCTTTTGGAAACTGTCCATTCCTGGGCTGGTTGTGGCTTGCAGCATGGGCACCTTTCCAGGGCTGGCTTGTGTTCCTGATGGGAGTTACGCCCCTGGCTAGTAGTGATAGACTGGCTAGTGGCCTGTTTCTTGGCTCCAGGAACTGACGCTTCCCTTCTTCCACTTGCAGTGGGCCGAGAAGCACAAACAGTGTAACCGGCTCAAGCTGAGTGACATGCTAGTGAAGCCTCACCAACGCCTCACCAAATACCCTCTGCTGCTGAAGTCGGTGCTTAAGAAGACAGAAGACCCCCACACCCGAGAGGCCATCATCACCATGGTAAAGTTTTGCCAGTCCACCCTGGTACACCTGCTAGCATTGGTGATGGTGGGCTGGGAGCTGCAAGGAATTCAGCAAACGTTTGCACCCAAATCCATCTCAGGAAGGGCTGGCACTCTGTTGAGATGGGGGAGAAACACAGTTCAGTTTGCATTTGAAGGCAAACCTACCTAACGCTGACAAAGTCTAGCCACGGTGGAACCTCCAACACCCGAAGCAGTCTACCGCTAAGGATTTGATTCCAGGGGAGGACTGCAGCATGAGAGGGCTGTTGCATTCACACCCTGGTTCTGGGGCTTCCTGGAGACATCTGGCCTGGGCCAGCCTCCCCAAACCGTGTGACTTCCAGATGTTGCTGGACACCCAGCACCCTCCATCAGTGCTGAACCGCTGGCTGCTGGAAGTTGTAGATCAGCACAGCTGGAAGGCACCCAGTTTGGGGGAGCCAAGTGCCTCCCTCGCCTTATTGCTGCCTCCCCCTGGGTATAACCTCTGGCGGGCTTCCCTCCTCCCAGATCAACTCGGTGGAGCGCTTCATCAACCACATCAACTCGCGCATGCGCCAGAGGCAGGAGCAGCAGCGCCTGGCCAGCATCCTGAGCCGCATCGATGCCTACGAGGTGGTGGAAGGAAGCACGGATGAAGTGGACAAGGTGGGTGGCGAGGCTGTGGCTGCAACGTGGGGGAGAAGGGTGGGCAAAGGGTGCCCAAGATGGCAGCCTGGGCTGGGTGGCTGGAGAGAGTGTCTCAGGCGCCTGAACTCTCTTGGCTTTAACCCCCTTTCTTCAGATCCTGAAGGAGTTCTTGCGCCTGGACCTGACAGCCCCCATTCCAGGGACCTCCGCCGAGGAGACCCGGCAGCTTCTGCTGGAGGGAAGCCTTAAAATGAAAGAAGGCAAAGACAGTAAGGTAAGCCTTGATGAGCAGGGGAAATGTTCTTCTTGTTGTTGTTACTATTGCAACTCAGACTAGGAGACCTCATGTGATTCAGCCCGGAATTTCTACCCCCAAAGCCAGAGGCTGAGACACTGCCTTTGCATGCAGAAAGCTAGGCAGAAAGGTCTTTTCCCTGACATGCTAGCTTTCCATGTGCAGAGAGGGTGGAGAGGAATTTTTTTTTTGGGGGGGGTGTTATGTTTCACTTGCAGACTAATGTGGTGCACATCATCCCTTGTCCTCTCTAGAAAGGGTCCCCATTCCTGCCCCCTTCTCTCTCCCCCACCCCTGCATCAAGCTCCACGCAGGATGCTCTGATCATTTGGGATCTTTTTCTTCTCCAGATGGATGTTTACTGCTTTCTCTTCACGGACCTCTTCCTCATCACCAAACCGGTGAAGAAGGCCGAACGCACAAAGGTCATCCGCCAGCCACTGCTGGTTGACAAGCTGGTGTGCCGTGCGCTCAAGGATCCTGGTGAGGGGTGTTTGTGAGCTGGGTAATTTTTCACAGACAACTGGTATATGTCTGCACTGTAGGATTGACCCCTCGAGCTGTGCCACAGCCACAGCCTCAATCCTGACACACACCCCCGCAACTGCTTTTTGTAAACAAAGCACTCATCCACCTGTTATTTGTATACTATGTTATACCCACATAAAAACACATAATACATGATAAAAATAAAAACGACCCAATAATCCCCTCTCCCCAATACATTTTAAAAGGGCATTGGATGTCAATCAGCCAAAGGCCTGATTAAAGAGGAATGTTTTTGCCTGGCACCTAAAGGTGTATAATGAAGGTGCCAACCCAAACTTCCCTGCGGAGACCATTCCACAAACGGGAGTTTAGTGTGGATTTTTGTGGTGTGTTCTCCCTATCCATGCTATGTTCTCCCTATCCAGCCGGCAGCCCACAGTTTCTCAACAGTAAACTCAGATATTCCCAATCCGGGGAAAATCTGCGTGCATAAGTTGCCCTGTGATAAGGGCTGTGTGATCCTGGCCCTGCAGAATGTCGAAACCTGCTCCAAAGGAATCCAGATTTTGCTTCTGCAGTCGATGAAGATAAATCATAGAAAGGGAGGAGGGGATGGAATTCAAGCCTGATCTTGGGCGGCTGAACATCAGAAGAGCCTGCTGGATCAGGCCAATGGCCCATCTAGTCCAGCATCCTGTTCTCGCAGTGGCCAAACAGATGCCTGTGTGAAACCAGCAAGCAGGATTCAAGCGCAGGATCCCTCTCTTCTCTCCTGCGGTTTCCAGCAACTGGTATTCAGAAGCATTGCTTCCTGCAACTTTGTTGGCCGGGCGCAGCCATCGTGGCTATTAGCCTTCTTCATGAATTTGTCAACTCCTCTTTCAAAGCCGTCAACGTCGTTGGCCACCACTGCCTCCTGCAGGAGTGAGTCCCACAGGTTAACTATGCACTGCAGGAAAAATCTACTTCCGTTTGCCTGTCCTGAGCCTCCTAACATTCGGCTTTATTGGATATTCATGAGTTCTAGTGTTAGGAGAGAGGAACTGTGGAGAGTTACGCATTGCCTCTCCTGCAGTGGGCGGCCGCCGACATGGGTGGCTTCAGAATGGATTTGGACAAATTCGTGGAGGATAAAGCTATATCAGTGACTACCAGCCAGGATGGCCACGCGCTGCCTCCATGGTCAGAGGCAGCAATGCTTCTGAACACCAGTTGCTGGAAACCGCAGGAGGGGACAGTTCTCCCTTGGGTCCTCTTTGTGGGCTCCCCACTGGGCCACCTGCCACTGTGAGACCAGGATGCTGGACTAGGTGGGCCACTGGCCTGATCCTGTAGGCTCTTCGACCTGTCCTGAATCTTCCGCCATTCAGCTTCCTGAAGCCGAGCTTGTGCCGGCGGCATCTTTCCCTCCCCAGGAGTAACCACTAACCTAACACCAGACTCCCCCTCCCTTGTCTTCCTCAACAGGTTCCTTCCTGCTGATCTACTTGAACGAGTTCCGGAGCGCGGTGGGAGCCTACACCTTCCAGACCAGTGGGCAGTCTCTGTGCCGGAGCTGGATCGAGGCTGTCTGCAATGCCCAGGTGGGTGGTGTGGGAGCCAAGAGGATTTCCCCCGAAAGGTGGAGGTTGTGGGCGCTCTGTTGCCCCTGCAGACATTGCTGGACTACAACTCCCATCATCCTCAACCACCCTGGGTGGGTCCGATGGGAACGAGTCCAGCAATACTTGGAGGGCTGCACGTTCCCCATTCCTACCCAAGGAGGATCTCCTCCTCTCCTTTATTTGAGGTTTTTTAAGAGAGATCGGATGACCACCTGCCAGGGATTCTTGAGCAGTGCTTACTGCATTGCAGTGGGATGGATTGGATGAGCCTTGGGACCCCTTCAAACTCTACCATACTGTAATTCTATGAATAGATTTCTTTTGCTGCAGTTTATCCTCCCCACCCTCTTTCCCAACTGGGGAAGATGAATTCTTCGACTGGGAGGACATCTAGTCAAGCAACACTCCTGCCCTTTGCCTCCAGGAACTGGCATTGAGACTCCCACTGCCTGTAGACTTTGTTCAGCTGATATTTATTTTATCTTTTTGTTTTCATTTTTACTCATTTATTCTACTTGTTTCACAAAATGCATTTAAAGCGATGCCAGCCCCTGATGACAGTGCCCTGTGCCACTTTTTTAATAGTCCCTCATCCTTTTGATAATTTTCCCCCTCCAGTCATCTAGAACTCTGGGGGTCTCACTCGAGAACTTCTCCCCTTTGCTTGTCCGCTTTTGGGTGCGGATCTGTCTCCACCAAGGGTACTTGCTGGCTCTTTTTATTTTTTTACATTTTTTTTTTTTTTACGATTACAATCCACTCTTGATAAATTCCCTTATACCCCAGCTACAGTGATTGACTTCAATTGGTATTAACACATTTAGTGATTTCTAAATTCGCAAGTGAAGTTCTCCTTTCTTCTTCCTGTGTGAGGTTTTAATTTTCATCAATTGTTCCCTTCATTTCTTTATAAATTTTATACCCGTAATAATTATTCCTGGTCTCCTTAGTGCCGCCTTACCCATGCTTTGTTCCACAAACCACAAATTGTCTCACAGAGGAGCAAAGAAACCATGGCCTATACTTGCATAAAAACTGCACCTGCTGATTCATATGCCTAGATACATCTTGAGCAAATTGAGACAGTGAGTGCTTGGTGCGAAATGTGCTGTAACCACACCCCTCCGCTGTAGTCTCTGCTGGGTCTTTCTACTTATCCCATCCCTCCTGTACCTTCTTGCAGAACAAGTTGCAGCACCTCCGTCTGCAGGAGCACCAACGTAGCCAGCAGCAGCTGCAAAGCCTTGAGGAAGAAGAGGAGGAGGAGGAAGAAGAAGAGGAAGAAGAGGAAGAGGACGGGGAGAGTGGCACCTCGGGAGCCAGCTCCCCCACCATCCTCCGCAAGAGCACCAACAGCTTGGACTCACAGCAGTGGTATGCTTGGGGTGGGGAGACAGCCAGGAGCAGAGGGGGCTTTCCAGGGGCCACATGCCAGTGCCGAGTGTGGCCGGAAGGAAAAGTGATGCTTATTGTGTAAAGAAGGTCATTTTCCAGCCATGCACTAACCAGAGGCTTCCCCTCTACACCCACCCACACCACAGTTTAAATCTGCCTGGATAGCTCAGCTGGTTAGAGCATGGTGCTGATAATGTCAAGGTTGCAGGTTCGATCCCCGTATGGGACAGCTGCATATTCCTGCATTGCAGGGGGACGAGATGATCCTCAGGGTCCCTTTCATTGAGGTGTGTGAAGCAGGGTTCCTGAGAGCTGTGGCCTAGGGAGCTGGGATATTCTTTTGGGAGAATTCTGAGTGCCAGATACAGAGGGCCGCATGTGGCCCCTGAGCCACAGGCTCTGTTATTGACATAAGGCAGTGGTTTTCAAGCAGTATGCCGTGGCAACCTGGGGTGCCTTGAATGATGGGTCAGGGGTGCCACGGGCAATGCTGGCCTCTGTCCCTCTTTCCTTCCTCCAATGCCCTCTCGCATCTCTGCCTCCCAAAGGCTTGCACAACTATTTGTTTGTTGCAGCAGCCCTGGCTGCAAGTTCCCCAGGTGAATGGTGCCTCTGGGGCTGGCTTCCCAGGCCCCTGTTGGGCAGTGTCAGGAGGCACCTCCTCTTTAGCTCAGAGACCAGGGGTGACAGCAGCGGCTGCCCAGAGGACTCCCAAGGAGAGGGGAGAGGAGAGGAGGCTGAGGGAACACTCCACAAGGGAGGGCTGAGGGGCTGCTAGCTCTGCAGGCAAGGGCTTCTGGGCTTCTGAGCCCTGCAGGGGTGCTGCAGAGTGCAGGAGAACTGAATGCTACAAAACCCATGATAAGAACTGTGCCAAAAACAAGTTGTTTTTTAATATATAAAAAATAACTCTACTTGCTCACCTCTGAAGGAGGGTCCATCTTATCCCCTCACACTTCTCCCCATACCTGGTGAACAGCTGAAGTGCACTTTCGGTCTCTTAATTCAGAAATGAAGGAGCCAGCCTTACCTGTCAGACGTTTTGGAAACATTACGATTACAAAATATCCTCATTCATTCGCCACAAACCTCCAATAGGGGTAGCAAGAACCTCACATTCTCTCTCAGTCCCCCAAATGCCTGGTGGAGTAGAAGTAGTCCAGGAATTAGATTTATGGAAGCATATGTCCTCCAAGGGACGCGGGTGGCGCTGTGGGTTAAACCACAAAGCATAGGACTTGCCAATCAGAAGGTTGGCGGTTTGAATCCCCACAACGTGGTGAGCTCCTGTTGCTCAGTCTCAGCTCCTGCCAACCTAGCAGTTCGAAAGCACATCAAAGTGCAAGTAGATAAATAGGTACCACTCTGACGGGAAGGTAAACGGCGTTTCCATGCGCTGCTCTGGTTCGCCAGAAGCAGCTTAGTCATGCTGGCCACCTGACCCGGAAGCTGTACGCCGGCTCCCTCGGCCAATAAAGTGAGATGAGCGCTGCAACCCCAGAGTCGGTCATGACTGGACTTAATGGTCAGGGGCCCCTTTACCTTTACCTATGACCTCCAAGGAAAAGGGTGGTCCATTGCAGAGGTGTTACCATAGGAAGGCCCTTGCCTCGTTCTTCCTAACATTTAGTCAAAGTCTCCTCTCTTGAAATTGAGCCTAAATGGATCTGAAAAGCTAACTGGCAACCGGCACCTTCCTGATGTCTCCCTGCCTCTTCTTTGCAGCCTCTCTGACGGCTCCACCGAGACCATCTCCGTGGTGGTGGTAGATGCCAGTGAGGGCCCCCCTTCCCCCGACTTCGAGGTGGGTCCCTTCAGCTCCCAGTCCGATGAAGCATCCATCAGCACCACAGCTTCCTCCACAACACCCACCATGGAACTGGGCGAGGCCCTCCCTGCCAGCACCGCCAACCACTGCCTCAAACCGGAGTCCGGGTCCTGCCGCTCAGCCTCCATCGACAGCGCCTATGGTACCCTGTCGCCCACCTCCTTACAGGAATTAGCAGACCAACAGCAGCGGCAGCAGCGGCAACAGCAGGAGGAGACTGGGGGGTCTACAGAGCAGGAGGACGGCGCCCCCATCCCCTCGCAACGGACCGGCTCCCCGAAACTGCGGCGGCAGGTGCCAGTCCAGCTGCTGCCAGCCAAGACCAAGGTGCTCAAGTCCAAATCGGAGGCAAACCTCTTGCAGATGCTGCCAGCCTCCCTGCAGCTGGCCCAGAGCAAAAGCCTCTCTGAACTCTGCCCGGCCATGTTCCTGCTGGGCTCCCCGCGGACTAATGGGCCCCAGGGCCACAGACAGGGCAAAGCAGGGCGGGGGGCCGGCGGGGGCGGCAGCAGCAGCAGCAACAGCAGCACCTCGGAGCTGTCTGAGGCCGAGGAGGGGTCACCAGCCGGGCTCTGCGTTTCCCCAGAGTTGCCCGCCGCCTCTGCGGGGCTGCAAGCGCCTTGCTGGCTGGGCAGAGAGTGCCGGGGAGAGGAGCTGCCCACCGCCCGCCGGACTCTGTCGGACCCGCAGGCGAGCCAGCACCGCAAGCTGACGCTGGCGCAGCTCTACCGGATCCGAACCACGCTGCTGCTCAACTCCACGCTCACTGCCTCGTGAGTGCTGCTGGGGAGACTGGGCTGGGCTGGGGGAATTATAGGTTACTGTAGTTAAACTACGGAACTCCCTTCCACAGGAGGCAGGGGTGGCCACCAATTTGGATGGCTTTAAAAGAGGATTGAATAAATTCATGGAGGGGAAGGCTAGTGATGGCTGCTAGCCATGAGGGCTGTGCTCTCATACCCTCCAACATTTACCAGCAGAAAGTCGGGACGTGTGTCAGCTGGCTTGCTCAGGAGCATGGCACCAAACGAGGCGCATGTCAGCTGCCCACCTCCCCTACCTGGTAGCTGCTCTCTTCCCTCCTCACTCACTTCTTCCTCCCATGCTGCACCTCACACTGCCATAAAGGTGGCGGCAACTTTGGTGGAGGCAGAGAGGGACTGGCAAGAGCGTTGCGCGAGTCCATCGCCTCCGCTCCAGTGCGGAAATGCCTTCCCCACGCACAAGGGTTCCACTTCCTGAAGGTTTCCCCGCTAAGTGCAAGCCCTGGCCCATCCTCCTCCCGTGTTTGGAGCGGAGAGATGGGACATTCCTGAATGAAAGCAGAAGCCAGGGTTTCTTCTGCAATTCCATGAATTTCCCGGGAAAACAGGGACACTTGACGGTTATGTGCTCTTCCTCCGGGGTCAGAGGCAGTGATGCTTCTGAATACCAGTTGCTGGAAGCTGCAGGAGGGGAGAATGTTGCTCTTGTGCTCAGGTCCTACTTAAGGGTTTCCCAATAAAGGCATCTGGTTGGTCCCTATGAGAACAGGATGCTGGACTGAATGGGCCTGATCCAGCAAGGCTCCTCTTATGTAGAGGCTTCAGCTCTCTTCCTGATCCTCTCACCCACTTTGTTCCGCTACCTCCACCTTCACACGCTCCTTTTGCAAGAACTTGCCGTATTTTTCGCTCTATAAGATGCACCCGACCATAAGACGCACCTAGTTTTTAGAAGAGGAAAACAAGAAAAAAAATATTCTGAATCAAATGTTGTTGAAGAGGCTTTGCGTGGCTATCACTGAAGCCAAACAGCAAGAGGGATAGCTGTGCAGCCTGCATTCACTCACACACATTTCCCCTTACAGTGGTACCTCTGGTTACGTACTTGATTTGTTCCAGAGGTCTGCTCTTAACCTGAAACTGTTCTTAACCCAAAGCACCACTTTAGCTAATGCGGCCTCCCACTGCCGCTGCGCTGCCACCACACAATTTCTGTTCTCAACCTGAAGCAAAGTTCTTAACCCGAGGTACTATTTCTGGGTTAGCGGAGTGTGTAACCTGAAGCGTATGTAACCTGAAGCATATGTAACCCGAGGTACCACTGTACTTTTTAGGAGGGGAAAAGTGCGTCTTATAGAGCAAAAAATATGGTAGCTAACAGTAGAAACAGGGCTTGTTTTTCTAGTTGGAGCTCACCGGAGTTCAGCTCCAGCACCTCCCAGGCCATTGCCGTTCTAAGAGAAGAAGGGAGAAGTTCGTGGAGAGCTCCAGCATCTCTTTCCCCCCTAGAAAAATCGAACCATCTAAATAACCTGTTTTGTCTGATGGTCTGCTTGCTGCAGGGAAGTATGAAGACATCAGAGAAGCGCAAACCACAAGCGGGAGATGCCGTGCCCGGCGCCGGGAGTTCCACATCATCCTTAAGTTATGCAGCGTCACCAGCCTTCGGCACCGGATCCCCTTGCCCGCTCCTTGGGTGGTGGTGGTGCCCTGCTGACCCGGCAGGACACAGGCACGAGGGCGAGGGGCACCATCCTGCAAGCAGAGTCCGTGCCGCACGGGACGAGGCAGCTGCGTGCATCGATGTGTGTGTGTCCGGGGTCCATGCATATGTGGCAACTGTTGGGTTTGAGTGCGCGAGAGGCAGCCTGGCGGTGGAGACGAGAGACAGCCACACCTGCTGACGGCTCTTGGCGGATGCACGGACCTCCCAGGACCACATTTCCTGCTTCCTTGCCCTCTCCTGCTTCACCTACATTCTGGGTGGGGGGGAGTAAGAGGCAGACGGAGTGTACTCCCTTTGACAAGGACCTTTGGGGTGGGGCAGTGGGGAGGGGTCTTTCCCAAACAATGCACTTAGGACTGCTATCTCGTACCATGCCCAGACGCCTGGGCATTAACACTATTGTGGGATGCTTCCAACCTAATGCCCTCCCTCTGTCCCACTAATTAACAGTTCTTCCTGTGCAAAACTCCTTGAAAGAGCAAGAGTTTATGCCTGCTGTGCTGGTACAGCCCTGCTGTTAGACGGCGGGGGGTATTGTCCCATTGCCCGTGCTGAAATAAGATTCGACTGCTAGCAGCCAACTGACTTTGTCTGGCCCTGGGGGTCAGATGGATCTCTGTCTCTCGCTTTGCTTCTGCCCCCTGTGGGCGCCCTTCCTTGCCTCTTGGTCTGGACATGTGCAGAATGGCCAGATCAAGGAAGCAAACCCAGATGGCGAAGCTGGCTGGTCTTCCACTCTGTCTCCCTTTCCGTACTGCGGAGACCCCTGCAGTGAGGCCACGATCCCAGGTGCATTTGTAGGGTGTGGGGAGGGGGTGCATTCTGTGTGGATCTGTCCTAATGAGAAGGTCCTTCTGCCTTGACAACATGGCTTGTCTGATGAGTGAAATGGCGTGCATGGCTGCTATCTTCTGCAAGGGCGCCCAGGATGCTTTTCCTGGTGAGGGCACGTAAATGGTTGACGTTGCTCTCTGGTTGCGCCCAGAAAAGCCATCCCCCAAGGGGGTCCTGCCAACCTGCTGGCGATAGCCCACATTGGTTCCAAGGCCCCATGTCCTGTGTATGCAGCAACATTTGCCCAGGCTTTGCACCCGAGTGTCCTGATTCCACTAGGGGGGGGCTGCCCAGCAGGGGAACAAAGAGGGAAGCAGAATGTCGGAAAGGAGCAGAGAAGTGGGAGGTCTGGGGGATGTGCTGGGAAATCCAGATTCTGGAGTAAGGGGGGAAAGTTGCTGGGGGAGGGCGAAGTGATGAGGAATGGCAGTGCAAAGTGGGCAGCTGAACGGGTGGAGAGGCCGAGCGGCCTATATAAACAGACGGCAGAGCCAGACGCAGGCCAGGAAGTTGGGAATACGAGAGACTGGGGATGGAGCAGAAGATTCGGGGCCTGCACTGCTTGCCATTCTCAAAAGAGGCTGTGCTGTCTTTGCGGGGATGTTGGCTTAAGGACTGGAGACATAGGAGACCCCTGGGGAAATGATGAGGGCGGCAGACTGGGGTCCCACCACCCCTGCACTTTGCAACCTTCTCTCTTTTATTGGGAAACATGGAGGCGAAAGGACCCCTTCTCCCCCCCCAAGTGAATCCCCGCTGTGCTGAGCTCTCTTCCTTTGCCCTGGTGGCAAATTGGGGCACCTGCCCTGTCCTTCCCTTCCCTTCCTTTCACCTCCCTCTGGCAATAATAAGCCTGCAGGCCTCCCAGTTTGATGGGGACCCTGCTTGCTTTGCTCTCTACGGGGAAAACCCAAAGCACAGAGTGTCGTTCTCCTTTTCTGGGAGCAGGGGGTGGGGGTCTGTCGAGAGCTTCCTGCCCTTTATGCCCGTAATAAGTTGGCATTGGGCGCTGCACTGTGTAGAGCAGAGACTGCAAGGGGGAACTGAGGGAGACCCTCTTCTCCACCCCAGTCCATTTCCCTGTGCATGATTTAGCCGGCTGGTGTATTTTTTTTCTGTGTGTGCGTTTTCAAGTTGCCTATTTATTAAGCTTAACTATTTCCCTAGCACCCACCTCAACTCCCCCCCCCCAGGCGAGGCCAGTTCCTTTTATACCACTTTATGTATTGACGGTCGTGACCCCACCCCTCCGCCCTTGTCCTTCCTGATATCGGGCAGATGTGTTGGTTTCGGCCATCCCTCTAATGCTAATGTCCCTTGCTCAGTGCCGTCAGTGTCACAGATAAACCATTAAACATAACCCAGATCTCTGACTTGGTGTTTTTCTGTTTTATGGGTGTGTGTGTGTGTGTGTGTGTGTGTGCAATGGAAGGTGGGGGTGGAGGAGAGAAATCTTCTGTGTGGAGTTATTATTGGTACTATTATTTATTAAATTTATATTCCACCCTTCATTGAAGAGCTGTTTGGCGGTGGGACGGACTCCCTGCTTGGGAAGGTTTTTCAGTAGAGGTTGGATGGCCACCTGTCATCAATGCTTTAATTGAGATTCCTGCATTGCAGGGGGTTGGACTAGATGGCCTTTGGGGGTCCCAACTCTATGCTTGGAACTTCATGGGGCAGTTTACAACATGGAGCACATACTAAAAAAAAGACAATAACTTCAAACAAAGGCCTATTTGAAGAAGAACATTTTTGCCCTGCGCCTAAAGATACGTAAGGAAGGTGCCAGGCAGGCCTCCCTGGGGAGCGTATTCCACAAACAGGGAGACACTGCAGAAAAGGCCCTGCTGTTGTGTTGCTACTCTGTCCTCACATGCATACCCTCCAACATTTCTCCGAAGAAAATTCCAGAATGATAATGTTACTATTTATACCCCACACATCTTACTGGGTTGCCCCAGCCACTCTGGGCAGCTTCCAACATTGTAGAGCAGTCTCATGGGTGGCCAGACTTAAGCAGCCAGTTGCCTGTGTTTCTAAAGGTTGGGGGTTGAAGCAGCAGGAGGGGCAGGTGCCCATTTTTGTGCGCCTGACAAAGCTGTGGATGAAGTCCTTTGCACACACATGCACATTGATTCTGCTCTGTTTGAAATGTGGCAGAAACAGCACGTTCCCTGCAACCCTAAGGGCTGACTCAGCTGCTCATCGAGTCACTATTTCCAGGGCAGATCGATAATGCACTAATTTGCATAACAGCATCTTTCAAGGAAGCCCATTCGCGGCGACGTCCTTTGCAGTTCGCAGAAGAAACTCATAATGGAAACGAGAAGTGCTTTCCCTTTTATTTCCCCTTTGCTCTACACCGCAGAGCTCTCGAAGCACTGCTCTAAATTGGGCGATGAATCAGGGCCCCTATCCACAGGGCCCCAGCATTGGGGGAGACCTCGGATCGAGTCCTGACGCTGCCCAGCTCCCTTTTTGCTGCCCCTTTCGCCCTGGTCTTGGATTTCCCGCGGACTTCTGAACGGTTCCTCTGAACAGCCACGCTCTTAAACAGACATTTCCTTCCTCCCACGGTGGTTTTGCCTGAAGGGCTTCCTTGTGATGGCTCTGCCCTCATTTCCCACCTGTCCGCTGGGTGAAATGTTGAGGACACCCTCTGCCCTCATTGCTTTCCCCAGGGCCTCCTTCTTGCCAGGCTGCATCCTCGGCGGCCTCCTGGTAGTCTCCAGTGGCCCCTGACAGCTGTTCCTCTGGGGATCCTTGCAGATAATGGGCTCCTCATCCCGGACTTGAACGATGAGGTGGCAGCGACCCGCTGCTGCTGTGGTAAGTAGACAAACGCAGGGAGGGCAAGTTTTGCAGGGGGTCGACAAGGAAACTGGCAATATCCTAATGCAGTCCTACAAACCTATGGGATCTGGCTGCCACTTGGGAATCTGAGTGCTGTTCTGGGGTCCCATGCCCATGGAAGGAGATTGTGGAGCTGGGTTAAGGTTCAGAAACGCTGCCATGGAAATGTTCGGGGGCTACATTGACTAATGCTGTAGCATTAGTAGTCATAGAAGCATAGGTTTGTGGGGTCATCAAATGGGTTCTTGCTAGCAGAGGGCTGCTGCACTACATAGAAAGGTTGCAGTATTTTGGACTTTTGAGTTTAGAGGAAAGGTAAGAGGCGATTTGATGGAAGCGAATGAATTACGCCTGGCATGGAGAAAACACAGAGAGAAAAGTTTTTCTCCCTCTTTCACAAGAACTTGTGGATATTGAAGCAGAATGTCGGAAGATTCGGGACAGAGAAAGGAGAGTCCTTCACACAGTGCATAGTTAAACTATGGAACTCGCTGCCTCATGAAGCAGTGATGGCCACCAACCTGGATGGCTTTGAAAGAGAGGGCTATCTGTGTCTACCAGCCACAATGGCTTCTGAATTCGTGCTTCTGAATACCAGTTGCTGGAAACTGCAGGAAGGGAGAATGTTCTTGGGCTCAGGTCGTGCTTTCAGCCTTCCCAAATAGGCATCTGGTTGGCCACTGTGAGAACAGGAAGCTGGACCAGGCGAGCTATTGGCCTGATCCTTTTCTTAAGTTCTGGGATGGCCCTATTGTTAGGCAGAATGAGGCAGCTGCCTCAGGCAGGACATAATGGAGAGTAGCCTGGAGGTGTTGGAGGATGAAGGTATAGATTCTCATTTGCTGGGGTAAGTGGGTCACTGCCCAACCAACCTCAGTCAACTCACATCTACCTGCCTTCTTGCAACCAGTCCACACTGTGGCCCTGACTGCCAGCTTCCTCAGCCTCAGGGTTCTCTCCCCCTGCCCCCCCTACAACTCAGCAGGAAGGAGGATAGGGACAAAACCAGAATGAGTTGGCTCTGTTTATCATGGGGTCTAGTGCCCCCTACTGTTGGGCTCCCCACTTTTCTTCCTACCAGCCCCAATGGGCACCAGCCACCACTGGGGCAATGCGGGACAGGGAACTTTTCCTGAACCCCCAAAGCTAGCTCCAGGGGCAGTAGAAGACATTGACTCATCTCTGGCGCTGAGACTGGTTTCAGCTGCAAGCCAGGTCAGTTTGTGCATGTGGAAGGGGGTGGGGGCTGCCATTTAATCCTTTTCCCCCAGCAAAGCAATGGCTCTCTTGCTAGTGACATGCCCCATGATTTTCATATTGTAGCATTAGTTTAGGTGGTGATGTCAGCACTCTGGACGGGAAGGTTTATTAAATGATCTGCCAGGATCCCCTACAATTGTCAAGTGGTCCAAAAAATATTTGAAGATCTGTTATTTAAAGGTGAGAATAAGAGGGAAAGCTTGTAATGGTTTGTGGGTTGTGTGTGTGTGTGTGTGTCTAATGTAAAGATTGTTCCACCTTCAAGGCGAAGCAACTTTTTCTGAGGGTGAGGAGCAGAGGACGCAAAACTTGGAGGAAGTTTCCAGTTGTGCTATGTGGCTTTTTTATATATATACTGAGATGCTCATCTCCAAATTCACGGTCTGAGTTTTGGAACTGAAATTTGATAAGCAAAAACACAATGGATTGTATATAGAACTAGTCCTACTCAGAGTAATGATAACTGCTAAGGCTAGAAGAGTTGCTTGGAGCAGCTTACAGGTAAAAAGCAAAAACAACCCCTGGTTATTATTTTGCTGAAAACAGCAGTGGCATCAATATTGCAGAGAGCAGCACCCACCACCAATACATTAACCAGCAGCAAGAGAATCAAACTCCTGCATTAAAAAAGCGAAAACTTTTTCTCCATTGCCTCCAGGAGGACACTAATAAAGACTGGCTCCCCTCTACTCGTCACAAGAAATTGTGACGGGGCTTTTGGGCCCTGGCTTTTTAGACAGATAGGTTCTGAAATGTTTGATTGGCAGGTGTGGATTTGCTGATGTTGGCACAATGCAAGTGGGGAATGTTTGACATCATCACAATTCTCAGAGGAGAAGTTGGAGGAGCAGGTCCCAGGGTGGGGTGGGGGGCTTATTCATTTCAGCTCTGCTCTCGCCCACGGTGATGCGCAATCTGTCCCGCTTTGTGTAGGAGGGCTTTACAAGAACAGGGCTGGTACAACCACCACAAGGCCTCTTCTGAGGTCATGGGGTTTTTGAGGATGGCAAAGTTAAGAGAGAGGAAGGGGGTGGGGAAGGAGGAGGAGGAGGAAGGCTGATGGACCTGATATTTCTATATAATATCAGCATCTCATCTGTTGCGTTTGTGTGTGTTGGGATGGAAGGGTCTGTAAATTTCAGGTACCTCAATTTCTCATTTCCCCCATCATAAATTCAGTTCTTTGCATTTTGCAGCCATATGTGGTATGTTTCTTTTAATCGTCATGAAAACTCACCAGCGTTTTAGTGCTAATTTCTCCCAGCAAAACACCTTCTTCTTCTTCTTCTTCTTCTTCTTCTTCTTCTTCTTCTTCTTCTTCTTCTTCTTCCAAGCTTTCCCCCCTAATGGAATGCATTTTGTCTGCTAATTTCACTAATTCCTTCATTTCTACACACCCTTTCCTCTAATATATGCATTTTCATAAACACTGGCTGGAGAGCCACATTGCAAAATTCAGATCAGTGCGGATTTCAAAAAAAGGAGAGCTGTGTTCCATCGGTTGATGTTTGTTTTCACCCCCCAGCAAAGGCAAGCCCGATATATTTGGCTTTAAAGCCAAGTGGAATTGAATTTTCTCTCCATCTCTAGTAGATGGTGGAATACGTAAAGATCAAGGCAAAGACTGGACTGCACATTAGTACATGTGAAAAAGGATCTCGCGTGAACCAGCAACGTGCTGCCACGGCTAAAAAAGCAAATGTGGTCTTTGGCTGTGTGACAGAATCATTGCATCCAGATCATGAGAAGTAATAAGCCTGGCTGAGTTGTTCCTACCATCGTGCAACAGGGAGAGCGGGAGAAACCCCTCTCTTCCAAGACCCTCAAGTCCCCATCACTGTTCCTGCAGTGCCCCACCACTTCGGGGGCTGGACCTCTGCAGCAGCAGGCCTTTGTTGCTAAAGTCGGTTCCTCGCAGGAGAACACAGGAGCTCTTGCCTCGTCTGTGGGATTTGGAATCCTGTGTGGGGTGGTCAGAAGGCTTGGAGACGCTTAGCCTGGAGAAGAGGTTCCAATATCTGCTCAGATATTGGCTTTCTGTTGCTCCAGAGCCCAACAGGTGGAAACCACACAGAAACAAGATTTTGACAAAATGTTAGGAGGAACGTCTTCATGGTACAAGCTGTTCAACACAAGAAGGGGCTGCCTTTGCTGCTGCTGGTGGGGTCCTTTGCTGCAGGTATTTAAGCTTCCATTGCCTCCTGCATTGCAGACCCTGACTTGCACCCGGGGTGGGGGTTGGACTCAGGGCTGGATTAACCATTAAGCAAAATAAGCACATGCTTAAGGCATCAAGGGAAGGGTTGGGCGACACATAAATTTTCCATTGCTAGGTTTTAACATTAACGGTCCCAAATTGCTCAGCTGAGTGTTCATTTACTCATTCGAAGTCTATTACAAATCCCAACAGGACAACTAGGCAACAAGGCGGACTGCATGCCTTGTCCCTGCTAAGTATAGAAGCAGATGTGTTATGTGAGATTACTTTCGGGGGTCTGATCAAAGACTCTGCAGTTAGAAAAAGTGGGAGAAAAATATTAATGAAGTGGAAGTTTACCAAAAATAATCATTATTTTCCAACTTACTTGTAGGTTTTGTTTCATTTCAGAAACTAAAATTTTATTTTACGGTTTTCTATTGTTTATATTTTGAATTAGATATACCAGTATATGGTGGCACCAAAATCTTTTAAGTGCTATCTTAAGCCTTCTAAAGGTCTTAATTTGGCCCAGGAGGCAGGAGGCAGTGCTTTACTGCGGGGATTTAATCTGCCATCACCTCCTCCACTGCAGACCCTGACTTGCACCCAGGGTGGGAGCAGGTTGGACTAAATGAATCCCAAGGACCTCCAACATGATGATTCTTTTCTTCTCCACTGGGATTTAATTCCTTTCCCAGGCAAGTCAGACCCCAATTTGGCTTTGGGGCCAAATACACTGTTTCCAGGAAGGTAAAGGATACCAAGAGATCCTTCGGGGAAAGGGCACGATTATTCTGGTAAAGAGCTGCCTCAGCAGCCCTCCTGGCTTTTTCTTATCAGTCCTGGCTTGTGGTTGCAGTGCCATCGAAGGCGCAACACATCCTGCCTGCTGAGATATTGCTTCCGGGCTTCAATACTGGGTCCCTAGGGCAGCCGCCCCCAACTCTGGTGCCCTCCTGAGACAGCTGGATTCCTACTGACGGAGCACTTGGCTAGTAGGCATGATGGCGAAGCTCTGCCTCTGCAGCAGGAGGAAGCAATGCATCTGAGCACCAGTTTCTGGAAACGGCAGGAGGGGAAAGTTCTCTGGTGCTTGAATCCAGCTTGTGGGTTCCCCACAGGCCTGGCAGCAGACCCAGAGCACAACAGCAGCACTCTCCCCTCCTGCGGTTTCTGGCAACAGGTATTCAGAAGCATTTGCCGCCTCTGATCGTGGAGGCAGAGGAGAGCTATCATGGCTAGTAGCCACTGAGAGACTGGTCTTCCAGGAATTTCTCTAATTCTCTTTTAAAGCCATCCAAGATGCAGACCCTCCAAGTGCTCCTATTTTCCAGGGACAGTCCCGGATTTACAGATGCCGTCCCGGTTTCTGATTTGATCCTGGAATGTCCCGCTTCTCCTTGGGAGAAAATGGGAATGTTCCCATTTTCATTGGAGAAATATTAGAGGGTATGGAGTTATGCGACCCCCGATTCAAGGAGATAAGTAACTCTACAACCTTTAGAAGACATACGTATAGGGAAGGTGTTTTTTAAAATGTTTGTTATATTTTTATATATGTTGGAACCTGTCCCGCTGCTGCACAATTTCTGTTCTCATCCTGAGGTAAAGTTTTTAACCTGAGGTACTTCCTGGTTAGTGGAATCTGTAACCCGAAGTGTTTGTAACTTGAGGTGTTTGCAACCCGAAGTACCACTGTAATAACTTTTTTATTATTATAGACTAGGAAGTCCCTATTTTCATTGGAGAAATGTTTAGAAAACATCTGAAGGGTGCCCCGTATAGGGAAGGTTTTTTTTTTTTAAAAAAAGTTTAATGTTTTGTTATGCTTTTACGTATGTTGAAAGATGACAAGAGTGGCTGGGGTAAGCCAGTCAGATGGGAGGGGTATAAATAAAATTATTATTATTATTATTATTATTATTATTATTATTATTGAATAGGATGTCCCTATTTTCATAGGAGAAATGTTGTAGGGTATGAAGGTGGTGGCCATTCCTGCGTCCTGTGGCATGGAGTTCCATTGTTCAACTTTGTGCTGTGTGAAGGTCTTTCTGCTATCTGTCCGGAGTCTCCCAGCACTGGATATTCCACAAGTTTTAGCAATAAATTAGCAAGAACTAGCTGTGATTATTCAGTAAGCATGTGCAGAGTGCCAATTTATTTCTTATTCCTGGACTCTATTAGGAATGTGTCAGTCAGGCCACCTAGGTCAATATTGTCTGCAGTGACACGCAAAACGAGTGCTGTACCTTGGTTTAAGAACAGTCCGGTTTAAGAACGATTTGGTTTACGAACTCCACAAAACCGGAAATAGTGTGCCAGTTTGAGAACTTTACCTCAGTCTAAGAACGGAATCCGAACGATGGAAGGGCACCAGCGGCGGGAGGCCTCATTAGGGAAAGGACGCCTCGGTTTAAGAACAGTTTCGGTTGAAGAACGGGCTTCCGGAACAGATTAAGTTCGTAAACCGAGGTACCACTGTACCCATGAGCCGTTATCCCTTCTCCTATTAGAATTATAGAATGGTAGAGTTATAAGGGACCCCAAGGGTTGTCTAGTCTGACCCCCTGCAACGCAGGAATCTTTTGCCCAGCGTGGGGCTTGAACCCACAACCTTGAGATTAAGAGTCTCATGCTCTGCTGATGGAGCTAAATAAGTAACACCCAAAGCATGTTTGGGGTCTGTGTTGCTCTGAGCCCTGTTATCAGCTGGGCTGGCTGTTGGGGCTGTTGTGGTGACAGGGCGAGTCATTGACCTCAAACGTAAATTTCAGGTTATGGTGAGGAGTCATTTGGATTGCGACAGGCAAGACGTTGGTGGGCAGGCAGCTCTCAGCTGTCTCATCACAGACGCAAGGCCGTGTGGTGCGCCTTTTCCCCTTTCTCCTTTGCAAACTTTATCGGAGTATGCTGGCAAACACCCACAGCGCCAGGGTGACGCTGAACGGGGCCTTATCGGCGCCGCGCACTGGGAGTGAGTGGGAGAGTGCTTTTGCGGGCAACTCGCGGTGTTTCCCCTGTCATATCAGATAAGATCAACCCAAGGAGCTTTGAAAAATTACCAGCCTTTAAGAAAACCACCACCAGAGCAGCAGCAGCAAGAGGAACTACGATTCCGATCTCTTCTGCCTGTGAGATGAGCGAGAGCAGATGCTCGAAAGGCCTTGCAGGTTAAAATAAGGGGGCTTCCTTGCAACACCCCCGTTCTTGTACCAAGAATCATTCCTCATCATTGTACATTTCCCCTGTAGCAGCTCTGCTCTGCTTTCTAAATACCAGTTGCTGAAAATTGTGTGTGTGCACATACACTTTCATGCTTAGGTGTACAGACCCTCCAAGTGCCCCTATTTTGCAGGGAACTTCCCGGATTTACAGAAGGCACCCTGGTTTCTGATTTGATCCCGGAATATCCCACTTTTCTTTAGGACATCCCTACGCGGGTGGCGCTGTGGGCTAAACCACAGAGCCTAGGACTTGCTGATCAGAAGGTTGGCGGTTCGAATCCCCGCGACGGGGTGAGCTCCCGTTGCTCGGTTCCTGCTCCTGCCAACCTAGCAGTTCGAAAGCACGTCAAAAGTGCAAGTAGATAAATAGGTACCGCTCCGACGGGAAGGTAAACGGCATTTCCGTGTGATGCTCTGGTTTGCCAGAAGCGGCTTAGTCATGCTGGCCACATGACCTGGAAGCTGTACGCTGGATCCCTCGGCCAATAAAACGAGATGAGCGCCGCAACCCCAGAGTCATCGACGACTGGACCTAATGGAGCAGGGACCGAGCAACAGGAGCTCACCCCGTCGCAGGGATTCGAACCGCCAACCTTCTGATCAGCAAGTCCTAGGCTCTGTGGTTTAACCCACAGCGCCACCTGCATCCCATTATTATAGAATAGGAAGTCCCTAATTTCATTGGAGAAATGTTGGAGGGAATGGGTGTTTCTTGTGGGTTTCCCAACAGGGCACCTGATTGGCCACTGTGACACTCAAACCCCTCCTCCGCCACGGAGTCATACAAATCAAGGATTCTGATGAGGCACTACAAATCCTCCAATGGGGACTGGGTGATGACAGCCTTACATTTTTATGTATATAGGGAGATATCGCTGAAGGTTCTGCCCCAACAGTGGTGGACCTGGTTTCTGGTTTCTGGTTTCTGGACCTGTGCTTCTGAATGTCATTTCCCAGAAGCCACAAAAGCGGAGGTTGCTCTTGTGTTTGGGTCCTGTCTGCAGGCATCCCACAGGCATCTGGTTGGCCTGCTGCAAGAACAGCATGCTGGACTAGATGGGACGCTGGCGTAATCCAGCAGGCTCTTCTGATGTTTTTATGCCCTCCATGGTGCTGGTCTTCAGCTCTCATTAGCCCCAATCAGCTTAGCCTATAGCAGGCTTCCTCAGCCTTGGCCCTCTAGATGTTTTGAGACTACAATTCCCAGCATCCCTGACCACTGGTCCTGCTAGCTAGGGATCATGGGAGTTGTAGGCCAAAAACATCTGGAGGGCTGAGGTTGAGGAAGCCTGGCCTATAGCCAAGGAGGCTAATGGGAGCTGAGCATCTGGACCACAGAATCATAGAGTTGGAAGAGACCACAAAGGTCATCTTGTCCAACCCCCTGCAAAGCCCAACTTGGGGCTCGAACCCACAACCCTGAGATTAAGAGTCTCGTGCTCTACTGGCTGAGCTATTTATGGTGACTCCAGCATTCCTGTTCTACCCAGAATTCAACCCTACAATTCCCAGAATACAACCTTACAATTCACCTGTCAATCCCTCCTCGCAGGGAACTCTCAGCACTTTTAACAAATGACAGTTCTCAGGATTCTGTGGGGGAAAGTCATGACTGTTTAATGTGGTATGATACTGCTTTATATAGAGCAGTTTTGGCCCTAGGTTCCAGGCAAAACAGACATCAGCACCACCTGGTGGGCATAGCGTTCCTTCACATAATGCAGGTTTCAGTGACTGCTGTCACTGCTGCAAAATTCGGGATTTGTTGGTTGGGATTGCAGCCTACCTCGCTAGTTTGATTTCATGTGTCCGTATAAACTCTGGTGGATCTCATTTCCCTCACTGAGGCATCAGGCAAAGGACAATTTAGCATGCTGTTGACATTTTGGTCTTTGTCTCCCGGGCTGAAGAAATTCCCGTGGACACACTGAACAGTTTACAGGCTCCCTCCACAAAGTTATTTGTGTAATGCAGCATTTTATTTCGTAAATGGATATTTTATAAAGAATATGGTCACACGTGCACCTCTACTGGAATGTAACGCTCAAGCTAATTTAAGCTTTAAATGTTTGCGATCAACGTGGCTTTGGGGTTGTCAACTTGAAATCCTAGGACATTAGCAGGTAAATTCCATGTTGGGGGCGGGGGAGAGACTACAATAATGAGGGATGGCATCCCTTTGTTCTTTAACATGCACAATACAAAGTGGGGCATGGCTGAAAGCCTAACCCAGGGGTAGGCAACCTAAGGCCAGGGGGCTGGATGCAGCCCAATCACCTTCTCAATCCAGCCCATGGATGATCCTGGAATCAGCGTGTTTTTACATGAGTAGAATGTGTCCTTTTATGTAATATGCATCTCTGGGTTATTTGTGGGGCATAGGAATTCGTTCATATTTTTTTTCCAAAATATATAAAATATTTATTAAAGTTTAAACATTGCAAAAAAACAAAAGAAAAACAAAAGAGAAATATAAACAATAAACGGTTGCAAAGCCTCAAAAACAAAATCAAATACAGCAGTACCAACAATACAAAAAAAAGAAAAGAAAAGAAAAGAAAAGAAAAGCATTTAAAAAAAAACCAAAAGAGAACAAACAAACATACAAAAGAACCCCATATTTTCATATCCTTATCTTTCATTAGCTTATTTCCTTCCAAAATATAGTCCAGCCCACCACATGGTCTGAGGGACGGTGGACTGGCCCACGGCTAAAAAAGGTTACTGACCCCTGGCCTAACCCCACTTACCTAAGCCCCATTGAATTTCGAGTGTTACGCTTCTGATTTGAGTGCCACACTTCCATTTTGAGTGCCACACTTCCATTTTGAGTGCCACAGTTCCGTTTTGAGTCTTACGCTGAGGTCTGTCTGTTTTTGCTATTTATTTTGCGTTTTTGTTTTTGCAGCTTTTTTGTTTTGTTTTTGTGACTGTGTAGAACCCAGTTCGGCTACTGATTGATTGATGGATTGATTGAGTGACTGCAGTACATTGTTTATTGCTTTCATTTTATGCATCAGTGGTCTCGTTAGATAGTAAAATTCACGTTAAATTGCTGTTTTAGGGGTTGTTTTTAAAAGTCTAGAACGGATTAATGCATTTTGCATTACTTTCTATGGAAAGTCTGCCTTGGTTTTGGAACGCTTTGGTTTTGGAACAGTCTTCCGTAACGGATTAAGTTTGAGAACCAAGGTACCTCTGTATGTAGATTTTTAATATGTGGATATTAAAAAATAACAACAGCAGCAGCAGCAGCAGCAGCAAAGTCCATTGTAGAGAACTAAGTAATTGCAGCAAGATTCTGTTCTGTGATGCAGCTGAATGGGCAGACAGGAGAAAATCTGTTTGATAGTCCCTCTTCAAGGGATTCCCCAGGCATCCCTTCCATAGCAGTCAAGCCTCCAGAGCTGTTGCACAGGCTCTTTCTCTCCATCTTTCCTCTTTCAGGCCTTTCTGATGACTCTCTTGACCTCAGCCTGCAGCTCCAGAAATCTGGGTAACACAACTCGGGGCGAGCTCATACGGACGCTTCGGAAACAAGGGACCCCAAGGAGCCTGTGGAGTTCGGAACAAGAGGTGCTGATTCGCAACGGGCGGGAGTCCACACCGCCACGAAGGTGCCCATATGGTAAGTGAGGGGGGCTGCAGTCCCTCTGCAGGGATGGAGCACTTTCAGTCCGGCTGGGGTTCCTCCTGAATCTTGTGGGCATTGAAAATGTGGGGCAGGTGAGAGCTGGTAAAAAAACTACAGGGCCAGAAGGGGCCCCTGTCCCTAACTATCTTGCATATGTGTGTTTTTTGCAATCGTTAACAAAATAAGTATATGTCGTAGCTCAGTTGGTAATCTCAAAGTCACGAGTTCGAGTCCCATGTTGGGCCAAAGATCCCTGCCTTGCAGGGGGTTGGACTAGATGGCCCTCGTGGTCCCTTCCAACTCTACAATTCTGTGTTCAACACATGCACAGTGCTGAATGATGGCTTGCAAGCATATGTCATGAAAAGAGCATTTGTAAGTATTTCTGAGGCTTTCTTACTACAGAGGCTAGAGACGGCTGGATCAGGCCAATGGCCCATCTGGTCCAGCATCCTGTTCTCACAGTGGCCACTCAGATGCCCATTGTGGGAAACTGGCAAGCAGGACCCATGCACAAGAGCCCTCGCCCCTCCGGTGGCTTCCACAAGCATTGCTGCCTTCATCTGTGGAGGCAGAATGTAGCTATCATTGCGGCTAGCAGCCATCCATCAGTTGCCTTCTCCTCCCTGAGTTTTGTCCAATCCTCTTTTAAACCCACTCAAGTTGGTGTCCATCACGGCCTCCAGTGGGAGAGAGTTCCACAGTTTAACTTTGAAGGACTTTGTTTTATCTGTCCCGAATCTTCCAACGTTGAGCTTCATGGGACATCTCTGAGTTCTAGTGTTATGAGAGAGGGACAAAAACTTCTGCTCACTTTCTCAATGCCGTGTATAATTTTATAAACTTCTTCCTCGACTTTCCTCTAATCTAAAGAGTCCCAAACTCTGCAATCTTTCCTTGCATGTTTTCAAAAAAGAAAGCTGGGCTTTCCAGGAAAGGCTCGAAGGTTCGAAGCCCCCTTCGGCTCCAAAAGTAATTTATTTCTCACACATTGGATGATTCTCTTAAGGTATCCAAGCTAGCCCTTTCTGGAACATGGTTGTAGTTTTTTTAAATAGAAAATGTACAAAGGGGTGTGCTTGTTTTGCAGGGAATATGTACTGGATATCACAAGAATGCGAAAAACCTGCAGACAGATGCTGTTTTGGGTGTGCATTTTGTGAAGGTAAGAATCCAGAGCGGGGTAGTTTGGGAGAGTTGGGCAGAGCTGGGGCAAGGCTGGGATGGAAGCTTCCCCCCCCCCCCCTTGCATGGAAGAAACAGAGAGGAGAGGGAAAGGGTGCTGAGTCCAGCCTCCTCTACTCATGCTTCCTTCCTGGACAAAACCTCCCAAAGATGTTTGATTTAATGTACAGTAAAAGCAAACTGATTAATCCAGATGCAAGCGACCAAGTCGTCGTGACACCCTGCAGAGACTTCCAGAACACAGTGTGCGGCTGTAAGTCGGGCTACTTTGAGGAGTCGAAGTATCCTGGGCACCTGGATTGCCAGAAATGCACAGACTGCTTGTCTATGAATCGGCAAACACAGCAGAACTGTGAGTATCCCAAAGCGCTCAATATCTGCCTTTGGATCACTGTTTCCCAAACAAGAGATAAATTAGGTACATAATTGAACAAGAGATAAATTAAGTTTTTCTTTTCTGGCAACCCCCACCCCCCTTCTTGATAATTTTTATAGCATCAACCAAGTTACCAAAAGGAAATAGAAATGAATGAAATTAAAACTCAGTGTGTGTGTGTGTGTGTGTGTGCGCGTGTGTAGGCAAGTTGTCACAATTGCCAACTAAGAGTACAGCTACGTGATGCCTGCATTGCAGAAGTTTGGATTAAATGGCCCTTAGGGTCCCTTCCAACTCTACAGTTTTATTATTCTTTTTTTTTTAAAAAAATAGCAATTTCAACATAACAAAATATCAAAACATATCATATTCATTATTTTTCCCCCTTCCCCCCACCTCCCCATTGAACCTCTCCCCTCCCCCCGAGACTTCCCTCAGCTCCTCTCTGATTTCTCAACACATATTATTCTCTGCATATTGTAAAATTGTATACCGGTAAATCCTTATATTATCAGTCTATTATGTTAACAGTCAATAAATTTGTGTATGTTTATTCAAAACCTGCCAAGGAGTCCAATTCTTTTTGTTGTCTTTTAAAGTAATTTGTATACAATTCTATGATTCTATGCAGGATTTTGTCAGGGCTTTGTCGAGAAATTTAGGAGAAATGTGTGTTAAATGCTGAAGAATTAAAAATAAAGAAAGAAAGAAAGAAAGAAAGAAAGAAAGAAAGAAAGAAAGAATGGCAAGCCGATGCAGAAATGTGACGAACTCAACATAAGATTGGAGAAACGGGAAACCAAATGAATCCAAAACTCATGGCCTTGTCCAACCCTCCGAGAGAGAGGAGACTAGTAGAGCTGCAGTCAAATGGCTGGCTGTATTGAAATCCTAAACTGGTCCCGAAACCGATTACCATGGGGCTTCTCTTTCCTCGCAGGCTCCCGAAAGGCGAACACAGAGTGTGGAGACTGCCTGCCTGGCTTCTGCCTATCTGGAGAAAGCTGCCAGCCATGCCCAACGTGAGATGCCCTTGGTTGTTCTTGACATCCTTCCTCCATGGGGAATTCTGAGGGAGGGGAGGATACTAGAAGTGAGGCCTGGTTTTCCCTTTGGCTAAAGGTCTCCCAAGAGGGCTGCCACATTCTCAGCCATATTTTATTTAAAGAACCACACCAAAATAGGGCAGGGGATACTCTCTCTATTGTTCCTTGCTTATCAGCCTCAGTTTCCTGGTTCCCTTGCTAAAAATTTGTGAGCGTGGGATTTGCTAGCCGTGTTCAGCACCTTCCCCTGAGGATCTCTGAAAGTTAAATATTTGAGCACAGAACAGACCCATTCTGGACTCTTCCAGATAACTTTTTATTGAGCTTTCATCCTGATATGTTTTCCCATATACAAAATGGGCTGCTTATTGAGTATTCACTCTGATTTGTTTGCCTTGCACCAATGGATTGTGACCCTGCACTTTCCATTCCATTTCCCACCACTTTCCTTACTGCAAAAAGTCCAGGGTTGGTTTTTTGGGTTGGTTTTTTTAAAAGCAGGTTTGTTGCAGCAAGTCAATTTCAGCTGCACAACCTGAATTTGATGTTCCATGACTGAATCCGACTTGCAAACAGCCGTCTGGAAGCAGCCCTGGTCTGCCATGCAAATTCATCACTGGCACCTGCCAGTCGACGCTACCCATTTAGGACTGTTTGATCACTGGTTCATTCTCTTTTTCAAGTATATTCCTTTGGAGAATCAGCCCTGGACTTTAAATTGTTGGCAGTCAGCTGGGTTGGGAAATAAACCAACATGGCGGGCAGCAAATGTAATGTCAATGGTGATGTGGACAGTAAGAATTCAATGAGAATTGCAATGTTCCAAGCTCATCCCTGTCTTCGTCATTTTAGTCAGTGGGTGCCAGTAAGCTCCACGTAAAATCATTTGTAAATTTCTTTGATTTTTATGTATATATTTATTTATTTTGCAAAAAGCAACCAATAATTTTTATCAAAATCATCATCACCATTAGTAGCATATCCCCCATAGAGATTCAGGTAGGTAGCCGTGTTGGTCTGACACAGTCTAAATAAATAAATTAAAAAATTGTCCAGCAGCACCTTGGAGACCAGCTAAGTTTGTTCTGGGTATAAGCTTTCATGATACACTTCAGTTACACTGAAACAGAAGTATCTGAAGAAGTGTGCATGCACACGAAAGCTTATACCCAGAACATACCCATAGAGATGCTGTGGATGAGTCTCTCTTAAATTCTCAAGTGCCCTTATGTTCTCTTTGACATACAACACAAAGCAACCCTCAACACATCATTTCCCTGTCCTTTGTAATGCTTGTACCCAGGCATAGCCTACAAATTCTCTCCATTCCTGCAGTTTCTTATTATGCTTACTGTCTCTGTGTTCTTAGTTCAGCTCCAAGCCCTCTCCAGCTCCCTCCTATCACCTCGGAAGCCTCCGCCATTAACATATAAGTCCCTCTCCAAATGTCTCTGGTGTCCCCATTGCCACCACCATGGCCTTGGGCCTCTTTGTGGGCTCATGGCTGAGTTCTGCTCTACCCAGTTTTGGTGACCTTGAATGCTGAGGCCAGCCTTCCTCAACGTGGTGCCCTCCAGATGGTTTTGTATTGCAGTGCCCTTCCTCCCTTACCGCTCTTTTGTCATGTTGGCCAGACTGGTGGGAATTGGAGAAAGCCATGTTGGGGAAACCTGGTTAGCATCCTTATCCCATAGGGATGTGTTACCTCAAGCTAGACATTCTCCACCTTTTGTCCACCCCCAACAGACCCCTTTCTTTCAGTCCCCTGCATTGCCACCCTTCTGTTTGGGGGCTTAAGCCCCACTGATCTGTAATCTACAAGTGGAGCCTGTCCCTTTCTGTCTATGATCTGCTTGTCTCAAAACACACCCTGCTCCTGCACGCTGCCTACCAAATCAAACTCTATTCTGCTCACACCCACCATCTCTCACGCAGACATCGGAAGCTCTCCATCCCACCTCTTGCTTAGTTGACCTCAGGAAGCATTTCTGTAAGGACTGCCTTTAGATTTCAACAGACTACCTAGAAACTTATTTTATCTTTCCCCCCCAGAGCAAGAATGCAGTCTAACTCTGATGCCTCACGACTTCCGGTACCCACCACCCCAAGCAGGCAAGTCCCCACGCGATCACCTGCCCCTCACAAAGTGATCTCTCCCTGAATCACTTTGTCATCACCCAATAAACAGGTCGCTGTGATGAAAGCAGGGGTGGTCAAAAGAAGCCTCTTCCCACCCCTTCCCTTTCCAACTGTAACACAACAGCCCTGCAGTGCGGCCTGGGAGAATTGTCTGGGAGAATGGGCTGCCTTTGTGACCTATATTTACCTAAAGGACTTAACTCTTTTTGACTTCCAGCAAGAGTCCCAGAACTGAAATCTGCGGCAAGGACTGTAAATTTGGTAGGTCATGGCAATCCCAGGATATGTCACTCCTGGTGTTATGAGCTCAGTTTAGTGTTTATTGGAGGGGTGTGGGTAACCTCAGGGTCAGGGGCCAAATGCAGCACTCTGCCTGGCCCTTGGGAGTTTCCCCTGGTCATGCCTCACAGTAGCCTGAACTTTGCACCTTCCTGGAGTACTTTGGCTTGACTGCAATGTGTCTATGGCCTGTGATTGCACCTTCTGCTTGCCTGGATGATGGAGAAAGGGGTGTTTATGTGCATGGAAACCTGTTTCTTGTGCGACTGAAACATAGCCTATGATAGGGCTGTCATATTTCAAGAAGTGAAAATATGGACGCAAACAAATTGTTGACTTTAAAAAAAAATCCCCTCCAAAATGCAATTTTTTGGTTATGTTGCCGAAAATCCAGAACAAACTGCCGCTTTTCGGACATTCCCCCCAGATATCACTTCTGCCACTGAGATCCCAATTAATGTCTGGGAAAATCTGGACGTATGGCAACCGTAGGCTCTAAGATAGTAAAGTAAGAGTCACATTACTTGCCCCAGGTTCAGTCCTCAATGGCATCTTCAGGTGAAGCTTTACAACTGGGTTGGACAAATTTGTGAAGGAGAAGTTAAATGTGTGTTACATTAGGGTTGCCATCCATCTGGGTTCAGCCATACATTGCCAGGATTCGGCCGTCGGAAACAGTGTCTGGGGGGAAATCGCTTAAATGTCCAGGAAAATCTGGACGTATGGCAACCCATGTCAGAAATGTAGATTTTGGCAAATTCCCTTAAAAATAGCTCAAAAACAACTTCTTCTTCTTCTTCTTCTTCTTCTTCTTCTTCTTCTTCTTCTTCTTCTTCTTCTCTCAACAGCTGTTGCGTCCAGATTTTCACTTTTTGAAATGGTTAAATGGGACCTCCATGCCACTTTTGTTCAGGTTGAGCCAGTACAGTACAGAGGTTAGGGTGTTCAGCTAAGACCTGGGAGAGTCTAGGGTTCAAATCCCCACTCAGCCTTGAAGCTCACTGGGTGACTTTGGGTCAGTCACTGTCTCTCAGTCTAACCAACCTCGCAGGGTTGTTGTATGTGTGAGGGGGGCGGAAGGTGAGGCAGAATCATGTATGCCACCTTGAGCTTGAATAACAGTGAGACTGGAGAAGCCAGTATAAGTTGCAATTTCAGTTGCATTTGGGGAAACCGCTTGAGGCATCCATTGTGTTGAGCTCCTTCAACTGCTTCTGTTTGATTTGCTCATTGCGGACAGCTGGAAGTTTGTAAATTTGTGATAATATACCTGATTTTCAATGGGGGGAGGGTTTCAATAATTTCGATTGCAACTGTATGTGCCCATGCACTGCGGTAGTACAATGTCTGGGGAGCTTGGCCAAGGCTAGGTGTTTGATTCCTCACTTTTTGGTCTCTTCCTGCGTGTCTTCTAAGCTATAGGTGTCTGTGGATGCTTGATGCTTCTGGCAGCAGCCTTCATTGTGTACTGTATAAGGAGATTTGCCCCCCGTGCTGAGAAGAGCTACTCCACATCTCCATGCATCCAGACTGGCCAGCCTACCAAACACCTTTGCAATGGTAATCCTAAGGTGGAAACAGGACCGGTCCTGCCATTTGGGTAGAGTGTTTAGGGGCTGTAGCTGCAGACCCCCCTCCAGTCCATTCACCTCTGTTGGGGATGGGAGCTGTGTGCCCCACAAGCCAACCATTTGCCCTCTCAGCTGGTTCACTGAAGTTCAGTAGCCCCAGGCTGTTGCTGAAGTAAGATTCAATCAGTCAGCCTGAACAGCTTCTACACATGGAACAGGGCAGGATGGGATCCTATCCTCTGCCTCAGGCAGAAAAATGTCTTGGGCTGGCTCTGAGTAGGAAAGTCCTCTCACGGGGTGGTCACATCCACCACACATGTAAAGTGCTTCAGACCGATTACAATATATAGATCAATCCGTATAAGTCCAGCTGTTGCAATTATACCCGTTTTGCAGATAAAGAACTGAGGCTGAAATAATAACAGCTCGCCTAAGCTGGCAAGGGAGTTAATGAAAAGAGTTCAATGCAGAGAGGAACTACAGTTCCCAGGATTCTTCCCCCCCCTCTCTCCAGTCATTTACCGTATTTTTCTGTGTATAACACACCTCCTATTTTGGGGGGCTAAAAATTAAGAAAATGGGGGGAGATTGCCCCCATGTATAAGACTACCCCCCCTTTAAACATTGTTTTTAAGTAAAAAAAACCTAGTCTTATACACAGAAAAGTATGGTATATTAAATCTCCAAAAATATTCCAGAACATTATGATTATTATTATTTTTTTAAAAATGTATAAAGTTTCTTGACTTCCTACCCCTATCCTGTTGTTCATTTTTTTTACTCCATTTTATTAGCTGTTTTACAACACATGCGTTTTTACTAGCTAAACTCCAGTATCATCAATCCACCGCTTATATTTCAAATGCTGCCATCCTCCCATCCTCCTTGGACACTTCATCATTATGGCCTCTTAATCTGGCAGTTAATTTTGCCATTTCAGCCCAGTCCATCATTTTCATAAGCCATTCTTCCTTCCTTGGTAATCCTTCCTCTTTCCACCTCTGTGCATATAAAGTTCTAGCTCCTATTACACTTCCCATAATTCTTTTGAGGGATGCCATGACAATCTCAAATGCTTTAAATGTTCAGTGTGGATGGGCCCTTTTCCTAGCAACCTAACCACTAAAGGTGTAGCAAATATCATGTCCAGCTCATGCAGAAGCTCTCCAAGAATTTCGACGTGCCCATTGCTCTCGGAGACCAGTGTCTATGCCCCTTGAGATCTCCTGCTGCAGCTGGAAGATGCCCCCAGAGCCTTGCGGTTGGTAAAGCCAAGTCTTTGTTTTTGCAGGCACGGTGCCGATGCCCCTCCTATTTCTCCATTCAGAGCCTCCCGCCGCATCCCTCACCGAGAAAGAGAAACTGGTGAACGGAGCACCCCCGATCTGTGGTTTGCTGCAAGGCAGAAACATGTACGCCGTGATTGACGCTGTGCCAGTCCGGCGCTGGAAAGAGTTTGTGCGGGGTCTGGGCCTGCGCGACAGGGAGATTGAGCTGGTGGAGCTGGAGCACTCGCAATTCCGCGAGCAGCAGTATGAGATGCTCAAGTGCTGGTGCCAGCAGCAGCAGGGGCCCTCGACAGATGCCATCTTCACCGTCCTGGAGAGCATGCAGCTGGGCGGCTGCGCCCAGGAACTGAGACAGCAGCTGCACACCAACAGCTAGCAGGGGAGCCCCTGAGATGAGGTGGGGGCAAAGATCTGAGCTATGCCGTTCCCCACCCCATCTCAGACAGACTTGCGCTGGGGCAAAGGAAACAGAGAGCTCCAACCTCATGGAAGGAGCACTGCAGGTATAGAACTTTGCAGTGACATTGAAATCCTACTCCAGGTATTCTGGAACATGTGTAGTGCCTAAGACACTGAGCTGCAACCCAAGGATGATGCAGTTCCAATGGATATCCTAGGTGGCCTCTGAGATAGGGAGATAATACTTCATCCCCCTTACATGCCGGTAGATGTAAAGTTTGCTGAGATTATGTACGTGAAATGCTTTGCACAGACTAAAATGCTCTAAGGTACTATTAGTGATTCAGCAGGACACCTTGCTACAAATTATGGCCAAGACTTATGCCTCAGAGCTTGGCTGCCCACAGGAAGGATGAGACAACCAGAATACTTCTCTCCCACAGCCCCTTGCCCACCCGCCACTCACCTCTCAGCCCTTCTGCAAGTTTCCTCTCAGTCAAACCACCCTTCCGATTTCTTCAGTGTCCAGCAGGGTTGAGCATTCCATGACTGAGCCTCCCCACTCAGGAGTTGGAATGTTCAGGAACATTTTGTGACCTCACAGGAGGTCACCCAATGGCTGGCAAGAGTGCCAGGAGCCTGTTTTGAAAAATGTATTTATGTGTTTTCACTATGTCAATTCTAACGCACTTTAACAACCAGGGGCTCGTGATTCTGAACCTGATTGAGCCCTGGAAAGATACACGTGATGGTCCCAGGAGCTCCTAGTTTTCCCACACCAGGAAGTCTGCAATTTGATTGGCTTTCACTGTTTTTTAATTTGTTAAGTGGCCAAACACAGGGCAATCTCCAGGCGTCTTGCAATCTATTTTAATCATGTACCAAATCCTATCAAATGCCCGAGTGAAGATGAGGGCTTAATCAGGTTCTAAGAAAATGTCAGTGTCGGCACCAGGCAGGGCTCACTTGGGAAAGAATTCTGCAGGTGGGGGGGACACCACAGAAAAGGCCCTGTTCCTCACTGCCATGCCTTAAAACTCTCTCTGAGCCAGCCCACAGAAAAGGACCTCAGGTGATGTTTATAAGGGTTGTCAAGAGAAGTGGTGGTCTACCTGCAGACTAAATAATGTGTCTGTAGGCCAGAGGGAGCTCAGCATAAGAACTTTAGTACAGCCTTCAGGGTGAGGCCAATGGCCCATCTAGTCCAGCAACTTGTACACACCAGATGCCCTGGTGGTAAACCCTCAAGCACATATTTTGCATGGGGGGGACCCCCTCAGGTGCCATTCCTGCCATCTCTAGGGGTTTTTGGGAAGACCCTTGCTGGAGACACTCCTGCCCGTCAGCTAGGCGGACCCAAAGGTTTGGCTTCCTGTGTTTTTATGCATAGAAAGAAGAGAATAGACAGCTAGCTGTTGGGGACCCTCCAGCTTTCAAATTTCCGGTCTCGAGCAGCGAATTGGGATTCGAGGGCCGTCATCCAAATCCGGGATGCTGCAGGATTGCTATTTATGAAACATCCAGTTCTCTGCCATTTTTCTGGTGCTACATTTCCAAGGCCATTTTCAGAATTCCCTGCTGGTTGCAGCAACGGGGCACTCAAGCTGAGTTGTGAATATTGTCATTCAAATTTGAACTAGAGACTACCAGCTCTCGCGCTCTCTGCCATGGCCACTCCTTCAAAGCAAACACTGGAGTTGGGTGCTGGTTGAATGCTAAACTTCCTGGGCTTAGAGTTTTGTTTTGAACAATTGAGCGGTATATACATTTTGTTAAATAATAAAAAAATGCTCCACACCTCCGCCTACGACTCCCTTCCATTCCCCCTCTGTTCAAAAACCCTTTCCACCATGGCATCGTTATTTCAGTTTCAGGGAATAAAGTAAAAAAGAAATGATACACTCTACGTTATTAAATATTACTTCTGTGTCCAGAATAACAGCTGCCTGTTTTGTGTGTGGTTCATAGGCCCTTGATGGCTGATCCGGAGAAGGTTAGTTATCCTAGGTCCCATTGAATTCAGTGGAGGCAAAGTGAGTCACACAACAGGGGCATGGGGAGGAATTCTGGCTGGTTCATATATGCACACACATCTACCCAGTCCACTCCCTCTTAATTGTCACCCTTCAGCAACCAGGATGGCATAAAAACGTTCTTGCAGTTGTATCAGTGAAAGCAGAAGGGAGTCTGTGTAGAAGCGATTCCATCCTGAGGGAGAGGTCAAAAGCAAGAAAAAACGAAGGAAAGACCAGCTTGAAGAGGGACTTGCTTTTTAACAGCTGATAAGGTCAACATTCTGGGATCAAAAGAATCCCCAACCTTCAGAGGCCTCGAAGGTGGACAGGACCCAAAGCCATATAGAAAAGAAGAGTTTGAAGAAAATCTACAGAGCGCTGCTGGAGCTGCTGTGCTTTTAATGAAAATATGGCAGCTAAAGGAACTTCTTGCTTCAACTCATCCAAATTACTGAGATGTACATTTCAAACTGTAACCCTTTTATTTAGAAATGCCCTTTTCCCTTTGCAAAATAAAGTGTGCACCAGCAGAACCTTTTGTCTACAAGGTTCTAATATGAAAAGGGCAGGGTGCTTGAGGAATGCTGCTCTCCATGATACTTTAAGCTACCCAGGTCAGTTTGCAGCAGACAGATTATCTTGGCAGAGAAAGGGTGATGTCAGACATAAAAAGAGGGCTGTGGCCCATCCATCCTGGAGAAGGGGGCCTGAGCGCTGTTTTGCAAAAAAACAACACCCTCTCGTTTGCCAATAAAATAAGTACTCATAAAGACAATGGGAATTCCTTCCAAGTAAACATGCACAGGATACACAGAGCTTTAAAACATTCTTCATCCGGTTTCTGCATCAAGGAACACCAGATTCTGCAACCTGTTTAAACTATGCAAATGCAGCAAGCTTGCAGAATCTCTCGATCCATTTTTTCAGTGGTTATTCTTTTGCTTCTGCAAGTTAAGAGCGAGAGGTCAAAGAGCTTGATGGGATGATGAAGAACCTTGTTCAGTCATGCCCACTTTCGGAATAGAAGTTAAGGGACCAAGAGGGTCATCCAGTCCAACCCTCTTGGGTTAGCCAAGACAGCAGCAAAGGACGAATCTGGAGAAATTATTTTATTGCACAGATGGACATTTGGACATTAAGCAGTTGATATCATACCAGCCAAGTGGGGGTGGAGGGTGTTGTAAGTTGCTAAGGTTGCCATGTGGCTAGATTTCATATTCAACTTAGCCTTAGGGTGAAGACAGACATAACACTCCGGACAGCCAGTTTTCCCACTCCCCCAAGGTGTGACATCAGCTTCAACTTGACTTACACACAAGTGAATTTATGCACACCCTTCCCCACCTTTCAGTACGTCACCCACCTCCCTGCTTCAAATGCTTCTTAACAAGACATTGTGAACATTAATTCAATTCAGAAATACTAACAAGTTGCAAAACTTTTCTCAGGGTTGGTGAAGTCCCAGGTGCTAGCCAGTCAGTGCTCATCCCTGGTGCTTCCCGACACACTGAAAACTGGTACATGGGCGTTCTGGTTTTTTCTTTCTTTCTTTCTTTTCATTCCAGGACAGAAAACGGTACATTATATTTTAGGGTACAGTTTCACATCCCTTCCAGCAAAACTTAAGAATGTTATGTCTGTCCTCACATTGAGGGGGTGGGGGTGGGGCTGGTCTGAAAACGGGCACAAAATGAATAAGAAGAATCGGGGGAACGAGCAATTGGAGAGGGATGGCATAGGTAAAGGAGGTGTGTGTGTGGTTTTGCTGAGAGGAGAGAGAAGCCCAGAAACAGGAAGTGGGGTAGGGGTGGGTAGGAACATCCCTCCTCCTCCTCCTCCTCCTCCTCCTCCTCCTCCTCTCAAACAGCTCACAGGGTCTGAGATCTACAGGATGGAAGCATCTCCAAGCACAGCGGAACCAGGCAGGTGGGCAGATTGAAGGACGCCCGAGTCCTAGTGCTTCGCTATGTCTCCTTTTTTGAGGATGATCTGCCTTTGCCAAGGCGCCAATTTGGATTCATCATACCCAAGAGTCCTTAGCTTTTCTGACTGCTCTTTCTCCTTCTCTTCCTCCTCTCGCCGCAGCTTTTCTTCCTCTTTTCTGTTGGGAAGGAAAAGGGAGGGGAGGCTCAGCTGGTTACCAAAGGCTTGGGAGGCACCAAAGCTAAAATGCCTGTTCGTTCAGCATGTAGGTGAACTGCGGAACTCCCTCCCACAGGAAGCAGTGACAGCCACCAACCTGGATGGCTTTAAAAGGGGAGTGGGCAAGCTCATGGAAGAAGGCAACCAAAGGCTGCTAGCCATGATGGCTATCCTATGCTTCCATGACCAGAGGGCAGTAATGCTTCTGAATTGCCAGTTTCTGGATATCAAGAGACCCCAAAGTTAATGAATACAGAACAAGTGAGTAACTATGGCTTATTATCCTAATAATGGGTGTTCAATTGTTATTTTAGATAAAGTCGACATACCAGACTGTGGGAAGACCATTCTTGACACTGAGCAATAATAAGAACTGGAGAGCCCCTTTTTGGACTTTTTGTGTGGAAAGAAGAATGAATGAAACTGGGGGTGTCTGGGGTTGAAGTTTGGGGAAACATTGCCTAGCAGAACGAGGAACAGCTGGCTATTATCTTGGAATATACCTGGATAGTTTGAATAACCTTAATATACATAATTGAAAGACGAAGAACCACAAGTCCTCCTTGTCACCTCTCTCTCTCTTTATTTTTTGTGATCTTTTTCTTCCTGCCCCCCCCATTTTTTTCTCTTTTATCTCCCATGTTTTTGCTTTTGTTTTATTTTCTGATGTCCTCTTCTCCGGGTTAATGAGGGTATGCACAGGGATGGTTGGTAGGTGAAAGGCCCTGTGTGAGAGGCAGGGAAGGGAAGATATCCCAGGGTGGGGGGCTGGGGGGAGAAAGGGAAGCTCCCAAGTGGGAGCTGGGAGGGTCTGCCCCCCTATTTGTGTGAGACAAGGGTTAAGGTCTACCTTTGGGAGAGGGTATTTTATTTTATTTTATTGCCCCCTTTCTCTTTTCTTTCTTCTACTTGTTGTTGTCGCTTATTTAGATTAGTTCAATTAGTTCATTTTTTTATTATATTGTATGTTGAATAGTTTTGATAATTTTTAAAAAGAAAAAGAAAATAAATCTGAGCCCTCTTTTTCACCAATCCTTAAGCCGCCACCCTTCCGAACCGGTCATGAAAGTAATGACTCACCGCTTTTGCTCTCTGCAGAAGAAAAGGAAGAAGAAGAAAACGTACCCGTTAGATCCCAAATTTATACGAGTAATACTATAAGCATCTACTCAAAAACAAGCATGGATGAATCTCTTCATTTTTGGCTTGTTCCACTTTTAAGAGAAACCACAGCAGTGTTAATATGCCAGAGGCATGTACAGAATCCACCCCCTTCCAATGGCTGAGAACCTGCCTGCTGCCATCTATTGTCCCACGTCTCCAACTTTCCTCTTTTTCCACCCACAGTATGGATAATAAATAAAAACAAATAGGGCCAGTGAGAAGCTGCAGGAAGGATTGGCCTTGCCTGGCTTGCTACCTTCCCCTCCTGTTGTCTTTCCCCACCTACCGTCTCCAAAATGTGGCTAAACCGCCCCATGCTGAAAATACGGCATGACATAATTTAGCATCAATTTAACAACAGCCCGGGACGCGGGTGGCACTGTGGGTTAAACCACAGAGCCTAGGACTTGCTGATCAGAAGGTCGGTGGTTTGAATCCCCGCGACAGGGTGAGCTCCCGTTGCTCGGTCCCTGCTCCTGCCAACCTAGCAGCTCGAAAGCATGTCAAAGTGCAAGTAGATAAATAGGTACCGCTCCGGCGGGAAGGTAAACAGAGTTTCCGTGCACTGCTCTGGTTCGCCAGAAGCAGCTTAGTCATGCTGGCCACATGACCCGGAAGCTGTACGCCGGGTCCCTCGGCCACTAAAGCAAGATGAGCTCCACAACCTCAGAGTCGGTCACGACTGGACCTTTACCTTAACAACAGCCCATATAGGATACAATCTTTGACTCCCATTTTGCAAGTCCAGCCAGGTTGCAGCCTCTATTGGTACTCCTGAGCTGTTAGCTCAGTGCTGCTGTTAGAGTGGTGGACTACTAGGAGCTGGGAGAGACCAGGGTTCGAATCCCCACTCAGCCACGAAGCTCACTTGGGTGACTTGGGGGTGGGATGCAGTCCCTGCCTCTCAGGCTAGCCTACCTCACAGGGTTGTTGTGGGGGTTAAATGGGGAAGGGGAGAACCTTGTGCGCCACCTTGAGCTCCTTGGAGGAAAAGGCGGCATACATTTGCAATCAATAAAGGATGCCCTTTGCCGACAGCATCCCTTGAGCTGCATTTCCTCCCCCCCCCGGAGCCTGCGCTCACCTTTCCTCCTCCATCTTCTTGCGCAGGATATCCCTCCGCCAGGCGGGCATGGTGGCCAGTCGAGCCTCTTCCTCTCGCTCCTGCAAGGCAAAAGAAGCAGCTGAGGGTTTTCCTTCTGCTCAAGCCTGCAAGAAGGGCTGGAAGAAAGGGAAATGGAGGCCAGAGAGAGAGAGAGAGAGAGAGAGAGAGAGAGAGAGAGAGAGAGCAGAGAAGGCAGGTGCATCCGTTCCACAGCTCCAAGCCTGGCTGGAAGAGTTTTGTGGCCCCAGAAAGGAGGAAGGGGACATGGAAGCTGAATTTGTCCTGGAGCACTTACAGGGGAAAGCAGGGATTGGTGGGGGCAGCAGGACATAAGAAACCGCTTTTATGGCAATGGGAAAAAAGGTGAACCCCTTTGCCACCCATTCTCCAACGGATATATGCTCTGGGTGCTGATATCTGGCACCCAACAGGGAGATAGACATACTTAA